ATGGGAGTGAAGATGGGAGTGACGATGGCTGTGAAGATGGCATTGCCTCCGATACCCTGCTTTCGGCACCGCAGGATGCAAAGACTGTCACTGAGCAGAGTGCAACTCCACGATTGTCCAAGTGTCGATGGTTGCTGATGAGGCAGCCAGACCCCTTGATCGTACCTTGGAATGGGCCTCAGATCATCCTGACCGATACCAATGATCAAGACTGGTATATCGACGACCTAAAACATTGGACGCAGATGAGGTCCTGGGCAGACCTTGACGACGAGGATGAGGAGTGGTAAGAGGCCGGTTACTGGATAAAGCGAGCCTCGGTGATAGGCAGCAAAGAAAACCTACGTGGGCGGGCAAGATGTCTCTCTTGTAAACCAAAGTTGGGGAGCTTGGAACGAGACTTAGTGTATGGCAGTTGCGTGATGGGCTTGCTTGTAAACCACAAGATCTAGGTCCTGATGGTACAAGAAATTCAGAACCCAATGACTGATAGTACCTTACTGATGCCGTTGCCTAATCACAAAGTAATAAATACTACGTATCGCATTTGCACCGAACGAATGAATGATTGAGATGATAGTGAGTGAAGGGTAGGATGTATAGCTACTGCACAAAGGTCACTCTTGTATGTAAAGACAGGTGTGTGCAGGCAATACCTAAGGAACAAGCGCTCGTGCCACTTGCCTTATTAGAACATGTGGGCGACGCTGGTTGGTCAGGCGATTGGTTTCGTCTCATCTTTAACGCCTAGCGGCCACGTGCGCCTCCGACCTTGTTTTGACCTCAACCTTCGAAAGTTGATTAAAGCATGCCTTTGTTGTGTTATCTAGGCATTTAGCTAGCTTGCAGGCAAAGTGAACACTGTTGAAGCTTTAGGTCGCTAAAAATACTGGTTGATCATTGTAGTATTGCAAGGAAACGTCAATTGAGTGGAGGAGAACTAGCAAGGTAACTATCTGCCTGCCTATACATGGCAGATTAAACAATCTCCTCCACGCGAGGCAACATATTTGCTCTGCAACGGGCCAAAACCATCAATAATCCAGTGCTTTCATAGGACTCACTCGTTTGGCTCGTTGTCCGCGGGCTTCGGGGACTTCTGAATAGCCTCATACATTGCTGGATCCACGAGGCGTGGATGGAATGTCGGAGAGAAGCGAACAGGATCCACAGACTGAGGTGGCTGAGAAGCGTCGCCATTATTCTGATGTCCCATTTCCTGAGTCGCCACGAAGTGGCCAGCTGTGAATTCGTAGGCTCCCGGCCGAAATGTCGGGTGTTGAATTGGCATACCCTGACCATACAGCAATCTATCAGTGGCCTGCTGAGGTGACGGGTAGTGAGGTTGCATAGTCTGGTCTCCCATGAATCCATCTGCACCCTGCTGAGAGAACATGTCCTGAGCTGGCAGATCTTGATCATTCATGAATTCATCGGCATCCTGCTGAGGGGCCATGTCCTGAGCGGGCAAAGCCTGAGTGTCCATGGATCCATCGGCAGTCTGCTGAGCTCCCATGTCCTGCGATGTCGTAGAATGAACAACCAGTGATGCAGAAACGCTGTTCTGAGATGCTGCAGGTTGAGATGCTACAGGCTGAGGCCCTTGAACTGCATGGGTAGTCTGCTGAGACACCATAGCTGGAAATCTGATCTTGTACTCATCCTGAACGAAAAGCTCTCTCACGATGGCAGCAATTGCTACATACCACTCCCTTCCAAGCTCGACGCGAACCTTGATCAATTGCTTCACCAGCTCATCGCCTACGTTGAAAGGATCGCCAGTTGTATGATTCAGACGATCTTGACGTGGTGTGACCTGGTAAGGGCTTACAGAAGCGACCGCTACCAGTTGCGCATCAAGATTTCCAAGAACGAATTTCAGAGATCTCAACAGGCCGAGGTCAAAGTACAGATGTCCCTGCAAAGTTGGTGCGCTCTTGCGTTTCAGATGGTTCTCGTCGTCGGTGTACTCCATAGGGTCTCCCAGATAGTAGAAATCATGCGTGGACCACATGTGGTCCCGCACAGCGTCGAAACGTCGGTTAGCTGTGAATTTACAGGGGTGCTGAGCCTGCAATGGACATGCAATGTCGGCATTACCGTGGGCGGTTTTATTGTGCTTCATGAGATGCTTGCGTTCGATACGAATGGGACAGCCTGGCTGAAGGCAAGGAACGATAAGATCCAAATGGTTGGACCTACAGTATATTAGCTACACGTCTTAGTATGAAGTGAATGTGCTTACAGAAGAATGACAGTGCTGAGGCGGCCTGCGGTAACGCCGACATGACTCAAGTGCGGATACTTCTGGTCATATGTCTGCCAATAGTTCACATTGTACTGTCGATGAGAGCCAAGGAAGCCGACAGCAGGACCGACAACCGAACAGCCAGTGACGAATCGAGCATGGTCCTTCGAGTCGCTAGTGGGCTGCTGCATGTGAAGAAGCTGTCTGATCGTGCGAGGCAGCTGGTGATGGTCGCGCAACATCTTGGTCTGACCTGAGACTGCGTTCCATGTAGTGATTGCATTCTCCACGGCTTTCTGAGCCCACTCATCCCCATTCATGTTGCCAGTGTGCTGGGTCAAATACTTGTGACCCTCATCGTGCACCAGATGGCCGAACTCTACGGCCGTATATGTGTTGCTGAATGGTATTGATTAGCTCGGATACTATTGGGTTATAGATATCATCGAAGGTTGGATCAGAAGTCATGGTGCACAGGGAATGAAAACCTACCCGAGACCCGCATCTTGAATCTGAGCTACGAGAAGACCAACGACGGCCGCGTCTTGAAGCTTCTCGCACAAGGGAAAGGTGTAATGCTGATGGCCAGGGGCCTGAGTGATGGGAAGAGCCATCCTGAATGTTTGGGATGGATCAATGGATTGCAAACTCAGGCTGAAGTTGAAATCTGAGATGACAGGGCTAGCCCGCGAAGAGCCAGATCACTGTAGATGATAGACGATGGGTGAGAAGTGGTGAGGGAAGGTAAGAAGGGGAGAGAGGTGAGCTTGGAAGGGTGATGGAGAAGGAGGAAGAGTGTAAGGTGGGTGGAAGGAAGGTTGGGTTGTTTTGGACGCGGCCCAGAACGGAAGATATTTGGCCTCCACGTTGCTTGCAGGAGCCAATGGGCGGCGCCGAATATCTTCCGGACTCGAATTATTTATCGAGATGGCTGACGTTGCGTTTTTGTGTGCAAATCGTGGTTGCACCCTATCCTTGGTGATGGGTGGGTGTTAGCTGGACGACAATATGCCTCGACAGCCCGGGGTACCCAACCATTGAGGGGCACCAACGATGTCATAAGTCTTTATTCAAGTCTACAGACATGGTTTGTCCTGAAAAGCACACACCTGGAGAAAATGGGAGCTAACAATGAGCCCAGGATGTCCTCAACCATCTTCCTTGCCGATTATCGTATTGTCTGTCTAGGCAGTATCAACCCCTTATTCTAGCCTTATACAATCTTACCACCGAAGGCCTTGTTCTCGTCAGTTGGAAATTGCCTCTACCACAGCTTCGAGTACAGTCTGAGGCAATGGAGGCCGATTCGGAGCCAAGACACTATTTGGATACTGCCTCAAGGAGTACTCTCTCTCGATTGACCTCCATACTGCTCGAGATGGTCAGTTCAACGGAATGATTGCGAAAACAGCCATGGGTCAGGAGAGTCGAGAAACGGCTATTCGGCCGTCCGTCATATCAAAGAACCAGGCGTATTGGTGGCTCTTGACCGAGCATCAAAATCCACCCCTCAACTGGGGCACGAGAGACTGGACCAATGATTCCTAATGAAGTTGAACATCCTGTGGAAAACTCGGCACCTTTTACAATCCACACAGCGTGTTTAACAGCCCATCACTGTTCTCACTGTTCCTGAACAAGTAGTCGACCGGTTTCGTAATACAGCTCTAGGTCAGAGTCAAGTTCGAACCGTGGAGTCTCGTATGTTGATCTTATTTCAACGGGATTACGCAGTATCGTCAGGAAGCCGTGCGCTTGGTGTTATTCTCGTGGATGCTATCGAGGTAAGTTATCAGTTCATGCTATGACTTGCTTGTCCAGTTGCTTGGCGATAATATTAACAGAACTTAGTTGACGAGCTTAAAGGCGTCCATCATTCGAAGAGATTTCGACATGTACCTTCCGCGTATGGAGCCCAAGCTGCGCATGTCCCTTCCGAGAGACGACATCAAAGCAACATGGTCGATCGATTGCCGAAGGGACACGAAATGATAGGCACAGCCCACAGAATCGAGGCCAACGAAAGCGGAAGCCACCCTTTACCGCGTGGAGGATCGATCAAGTTGTCGAAGAGGAGGCAAACGATTCGAAGTAAACCCGGGCCGTCGAAGTCCCAAAAAGGTTGTAGGGGAGATTGGAGAGTTACCAGAGTACCAATGCGCCAAATTTGGGAGGGCTTGTTGTCGTTCCTTCTTGATGAAGAGCGCCTAATAGAGACAGGGCTGGACAAAGATTTGAATAGATGAAGCAAATGAAGGAAAGTCGGTATACAAAGCCAGGGTTGACCATGTATCAGAAGAATGAATCTCACAGTGATCGCGAGGGAGTATGCCTCGATTTAGAACACAGCGAGAAAGATGCCTCGGAGAAGACCATTGAGACGGTAGGAGAGCCATCGAAGCAAACTATATGCAACCGCAGCCGACAATTTGTAAGATAGGAGGTATAGAGTTGCAACGTCTCCAATCCTTATAGATGAGTACACCAAAACTCAGAGAAAGTTCAAAGAAGCCGTGATGTCTTAGGGAGTCAAGATAACTGAGCTTGTTCTCCCCCAGTTCTTTGATAGCAGGGAATCTTCGAGGACAAATGACACTCCCAAATTGCAAGGCTCAGGCTATGGCTCAACAAGTGGTAGCAACATTGTTTCGACGGAACGAGCTTCCCACATTGCTAACCTCCCATAACCTTCAATAGGAAAAAGACGTTGATGGAATGAATGAGAAATGTCTCAAGCTGTTCGATTATATGACAAAGAGTAGCATCTTAGAATACGATGACGATGGCCAATATGGGCGACAGCATCACTTGATCCAGCAAAGGATCCTACGGTGTGGAAGATTGGCCCTGCCTCTTGCTACTTGCATATCGGTTAGGATGAGGTCCTCAATGACTCTACATATTCCAGAAACAACAGTATCACCAGATATCACACATCCAACTTGCCGTGATGTTAAAGTGCTATCCTGCAGTGGCAGTGGGCCGGGCCGTGTGGCTAGCATCGGCATGAACTCTGCCTGGTTCACGCTACTAAATTATCAGCTAATACGGTGGCTCCAGCGGGTCGCAATTCGGCGCATGTCAGTCATATTCGATCATGCACGAGCGTGATTCAGCAATAAGAAGTGTAGGATCAATCAATCAATCAATGCCTCACTAATCCTCTCTTGTCAGCGTCTCCGCTAAATCAAACGAACGTGTTGAGCCCATTGGAGAGGATTAGAAGTCTGATGAGGTGTTTTTGCATTCAGAACCAACGCTCAATTGCATGACCCGCTATTTACCCCTCACGACATCACCTATTTCAACAAGCTCCCTCCGTCCAGTCCGTTTGCTCCCTCCTTTCTCATTGCAACCGTCTTGCTCATCGTTCGAGAAGAGAATCAAACCATCATCTTAAACTTCACTACTTTCCGAGAACCTGATTGGGTACGAAAGCTCATGTTCAAGAGCCATGGCACCTCTCGCAATGGAGCTATCTACAGATCAAGGTAACTATACAGAAGAACGCATGCCGGGTGTTCGACTTGCGCCGCCGTGACTCTCACCATCTAGGGTCATCTTAATACTTGCAAGAATCAAGATGGATACCCAGATGGAAGACCGCGACGAGCAGTTGATCTGAGAAATACCGGCGAACTTGATCTGGATAATACCAGCGAAAGGACATGCTTCTCTGACCTCCCCTCCCCTCCATCCTGTAGAGGGTAAGTTTGGGCTGACAAGTATAGCATTCCGCTTGATCTGTCACCATGTCGACTGACAAGATCACCTTCCTGACCAACTGGTAGGGATTATTCACCGCTTGCAGAAGAATGCTGGGTTGACTTTGCTTGTAAAGGGCTGCGACCCCGTACCACGCTCCGCTGTACCTTGCCCAGTCCAAGGGCTACTTCAAGGAGGAAGGGATCAAGGTGGCTCTCCTCGAACCCAATGATCCCAGCGTGAGTACTTGTTGCAGACAGGTGCCAATTGCAACGGTGCTGATCCCTTCCGGCAGGATGTCACCGAAATTATCGGCAGCGGAAAGGTCGACTTAGGTTTCAAAGCTATGATCCATACCCTGGCCGTAGGTGTCTCCTCGAACGTCGACTATTATCCATGCTAATGCTGATAATGTATGTAGGCCAAGGCTCGCGGCTTCCCCGTCACGTCGATTGGCAGTCTTTTGGACGAGCCGTTTACTGGCGTCGTCTACTTGAAGTCATCGGGTATCACGACCGACTTCCGCACTCTCAAGGGCAAGCGGATTGGCTACGTGGGCGAGTTTGGCAAGATCCAGATAGACGAGCTCACGTCGCACTACGGCATGACCCCATCTGACTACACGGCCGTACGCTGCGGCATGAACGTCTCCAAGGCTATCATCAAGGGCGAGATCGACGCCGGCATCGGCCTGGAGAACGTGCAGATGGTCGAGCTAGAGGAGTGGCTGGCCGCCGAGGGCCGTCCCAAGTCGGATGTGCAGATGCTGCGCATTGACGAGCTGGCCGAGCTGGGATGCTGCTGCTTCTGCACGATCCTCTACATTGGCAACGACAAGTTCGTGGCGGAGAACCCCGACAAGGTCCAAGCCTTCCTCCGGGCCGTCAAGAAGGCTACAGACTATGTCATTACCCAGCCGGAGAAGGCGTGGGAGGAGTATGTTGACTTCAAGCCCATCATGGGCACGGAGCTCAACCGCAAGATCTTCGAACGTAGCTATGCGTACTTCTCGCGAGACTTGCAAAACGTCCGCCGGGACTGGGAGAAGGTGACCAAGTATGGCAAGAGGCTGGGCGTGCTGGACGCCAGCTTCGAGCCCAACTACACCAATCAGTTCTTGGAATGGGCTTTGGACGAGGAGAGTGAGGATCCTACGGGTGATCAGAAGAAGATGGCCGAGCTGCAGAAGGATGTCGCAGCCAACGGAGGATTCTGTCGGCTCAAGGCTCGCCAGCCCCTTGTGCGAGCATGATCCGAGCGCGTGGGATCCAAGTTTGTCAAACTCGAGACAGGCTTGCTCATAGCTGGCTCAGCAGCACTCCATTCACCTTCTAGTCCTTCGTTACACCACCGGCACATAGAGTAGCCGAGACATTCATGCAATCAATTCCATGCATGGTAAAATCTGCCATGCCTATTCATAATACAGACAGTGATGCGACCTTGTAAAGACTTTGCTGAAGTTCGATGAACGTGGGAGCGTTAGCGTAGCTGGCTACACAAGCAGTGGACTGTGAGTGAAGCCAGGTCCTTCGGCATACGTTATCAAGACAAGACAGATTCACCGCCCCCACCGGAGCACGAGACAATATGTATCACGTGAGATAACAGAGATGCACGGATGCCTCACATTTGAACGGCCAGGCCAAGCTCCATGTTTCGCACGAGGACCGCTCGCTCTCGATTGCCCGGCTGATGAAAGGGGGTTGAAGGGGCGAAATCGGGGCAGGTCACAAGAGCGTGGGGGAGCGTACAGCCTTGGCCTTGAAGCGTGGGGGTGCTACTGCTATCCACTTGCTTGAACATGGGCACGCAAGAGCAGGACTGGAGATTACATTCCATCAAACAATCGCCAATCAAGCAGGATTCCAGCACATCAGCGACTGTGGAGAACTATGCGGAGGATTGACAGGATCACCGTCACATTTCCATGCAACATGCAACAGAAGCCTCCGTCGAACATGCCGAAGCCCCGGATTCGAGGTGAGTCGGGATGCGGGGTGTTCCCTTGGACAGAGGTTCAAAGACACTGTGCCCACGTAGAGCACGCCCGCCCACGCAAGTCGAGGGGGGTCTCGTGCAGCAGTATCGCGCAATCTTTACAGGTTGTTCAATGAATGACTGGATGGAAGGCTGATCAGAAATGTCCCATGGTAACAGAATGCCCTGGATGTGTTGCACGAGCACGCCGATCAGTGAGTACTTGGACGTTGGAAATCGTAAGATGACATATCATTTTGACTTGCACTGCAGCACAGCTGATATGACAGTCGCCAGGAACACATGAGATGATGGAACAGGCTTGTCGAGGCACACTCGCATAGCCTTGAGTGGGCAATTTAGAGGAGAAAGGCATTGGCCAGTCACACATCAAGATGCATCTCACGGCGATGTTTCACTGCAGATGGTGGCGTGGGCGCAAGATTCGCCCCCTTTGGCCCCCTTTTACGCTTTCCCGGGGCACACACCAGAAGTCAAAGTCGTCGCAATGCTCAGCGAACACAAACATGGGAATAACCGGGTTCATCACCATCGGCGTGGGGGTCATCATATCAAGAAGCCCCTCCTGATCCCCATCATAAACAGGCTCGGCGTGCAAGCCCCTCATCTCGAGTCAGGCAACGCCGCAACCAGATACTCGGCAGTCACTCTAACGAAAGCCTGTTCGTATTGATCCAATCGTCAACGTGCAATTAATCGATACGTCGAGAGAGCATAGAACACAGTCCTATTGAGCTTGGAACCTGTCAGTAACCTTGAATCACATCGTGTCAACCTCCACACACTACTATATTCCATACAGTACCAGTAGTACAACAATACCTACCAAGCGGACAACACCGGCAACCTCTCAAGGTTGAAGAAGCCATTCAAAGATGGCCATGCATGCTAGCCGCTATGTGATAGTACCCTACAGCGCCTGTTCACTCCATTCACTTGTAAAGTAGCATGCCGTCCATAGTGGCCGCCAAATGACCCGCCGATCTGGGTCTAGACTAGACAATTAGAGTTACTGCATTGGTGATTGAAACCCCCACGTTGCCGCCAGCCCGGTACGACACCCAAGCCCCAACACCATCCCGTACAAGCACAGTTCCTGCTGCACTCCACGCTCATCATCTCGCCTCACTCCCGTCCGACCCGGCTATGAATATGGAGCCGCACTCCTTCTTGCGGGGCCTCGTCTCCAGGCACTGTGCGGGTGACTGACTCCGCCCAGGGGGCCCGCCGTCTGTAGGACCCTTAAAAGCTCAGGATGGCCGAGTCTTTCTATCTATCCCACACTTCGGGACTTCGCATGTCCCCTCTGCTCACACCGCCTGCGCGTCATATGTTCTCGGGTGTGACCTGTACTGGTTCGATATCGTGTTATTTGATCCTCTTTGTGCAATATACACTTGCAGATCATCCCATTGCTCATCCTCGGCCGTAAATAGAAGTTCCATATAAAGCATACGAGAGCTCTTGGCTTGACTGGATAAGTCCTGAGGGTTGGAGATCAACAACGCGCAGCATCGAATCCTATCGGATATCTTGAACACGGCCTCCAAAATGGGCTCTCTTGCGCCGGTGGCTCCTCGCATCCCGCCGCCCGGCGTTTATGTCCCTATGCTCGCATTCTTCACCCCTGACACCACAAAGATCGACGTCACCACCACTCAGAGACATGCCATCCGGTTGGCCAACGCCGGTGTCGCAGGACTAGTTGTCCACGGCTCCAACGGTGAGGCCGCCCACCTGACTCACCCCGAGCGCACCACGATCATCAAGGCCGTGGTGGAAGCCGTGCAGAAGGAATGCGACCGGCCCCTGCCCGTCATCGCAGGTTGCGGCGCCCAGAGCGTGCTCGAGACCGTCGAGCTCTGCCGCGCCGCAGCCCAAGCCGGCGCAACACAGGCCTTGGTCCTGCCGCCGGGCTACTACGCCGGGCTCCTCGGACCGGAGAGCCACATCCAGTTCTTCCACGAGGTGGCGGACGCGAGTCCCATCCCTATTCTCATATATAACTTCCCTGCCGCTGCCAATGGTGTGGATCTCAACAGTGACACGCTCCTGACCATTGCCAAGCACCCCAACGTCGTCGGTGTGAAGCTGACGTGCGGCAACACGGGCAAGCTCGCCCGCGTGGTGGCCGAGACGGCAAAGTTCAGACAGGACGACTTCCGCGTCTTTGGCGGCTCGGCGGACTTCATCCTGCAGGGCGCGGTGGTTGGCGCCGACGGCACCATCTCCGGCCTAGCGAACCTGTCGCCCGTTGCGTGCTGCAGGATCATCGAGCTCTTTGAGGCGGGCAAGCTAGCAGAGGCGAGAGCACTGCAAGCGGAAGTGGCTGCCGCGGACTGGCTGATGATCAGGTACGGATTCCCTGGTGTCAAGGCGGCTATGCCAATGTTCTACGGCAAGGGAGAGGAGACAGCCTGCACGATGAGGAAGCCAACGAGGCCAGTGTCTGAGAAGGCGATGCAAGAGATTCGGGCTGGAGTGGAGGCCGTGATTGCGATCGAGTCGAGATTCCTGAAGGAGAGGAAGTAAGATTATGAGAATGCGAAGTCAAGGAATCAATAATCATGCATCGCAATGAACTCACATGCTTCATTCAAGCTTTTGAATGAGACGTCGACATCCATCGGGTGGGGAAAATGAAATATTTAGCATTTAGCTATGAATTTTGGGGTGCATGACCATAGTTAGCATGAATAAAAGGTACTACTATAATAACTCACAAATGCAAACAGTTCTAATACTGTCAACGTTCCTGAGCGCACTAAGCTTGGAGCCATTTGGCTGATTGACATGATCTTCCGGATCCATCTTTCCATCTACCCAGACTCTAGTCTTCGATGCTACTCTCGCCACGCATCATGCCTCCGCGATCACCTGAATTACAGTCTTGCCTATCCCACCTTTGCCTTTGTACGATGACATACACGCTTCTCTAACCTTTTCGATATTCTTAATGTCTACCATGGAGCCTACCACTGGCAGCAATTTCCCTTCTTGTACGAATGTGGAGAGTGTCTCCAGGTCCTTCCCATTCGGTTGAAGAAACCAGTACATGTAAGTCACACCCCAGCGCTTTGCCCATAACCTGCGTAGAGCGTCCACGGAGTTGAGGAACAAGCGTCCGGCCAATGGGATGCGGGGATTATCCGGTCGTTTCATGATACTTGCTCCTTGCAGGGTTGTCGCTGAGGGCGTCGTGGACACCGATACAATAAAGCTTGTTGACGGCACCATAAGAGACAGAAACTGCATTGACTGGCCGGTCGTATCAAAGAGGAAGTCGACTGAGGCAGGCGGTATGACTTTGGTCGGGTCTTCTTTGGTATAATCGATTACTTATATGACAGGGTTAGTTAGGCTGAGGTAAGAGTAAGTCATATTTTTTAGAGGATTCGTACCTTGATCAACAACACCATGACCGAGAAACTGGGGCACCATAGATACTTTAGATGTCGATACCGTAGTAATAACTTTGCCCGCGTGAAAGACGTTCTTTGCCAGCTGACAGGCATATGCACCGGTCCCGCTCACTTGTTGAATATATTAGCATGGGTGAAATGATTGTAAGAAAAGTAAGATCGACTTACATCCTGCTGGCACGAATACCGTCTTGCCCTCTAACGAGCCTTTGTATTGCTTTAACACTTGTAGCGCAGTAACGCCAGCGAGAGGAAGCGACGCTGCGTCTGCAAAGGAGAGGTTTGTGGGTTTTGCAGCGACATATGACTCTGGGCACTTTACAAACTCACTCCAAGAACCTGCGAGGTGGCATCAGTTCATTTGAACTCGCGGCTTGAAAATACGCATTGGATTCATGTCTCACCTCGGCCGATTTCGGGAAGCCGCACGTACACCTCGTCGCCAACTTTAAACCTAACTACCTGATCTCCAGTTGCCTCAACTATACCTGCAGCATCATAACCAATCTTATAGGGAAATCTGGCAATCCAAGTCAACTCATAGTCCATTGTTGCTAGGAGAAATGATGCGGAGCTGCTTACTCTTCGGGTAAGGCCAATTTGAATATGCCTGCTGCCTTCTTCACGTCAACCGGATTGATACTGGCGGCGTGAACTTTGATGATAACATCCGTCTCCTCGGCCAGTATCGGACGTGGCATCTCGATAAGTTCATACCCAGAGGGGTCTGTAAATGTTGGGGCCGTGACAGCGAGCATTTTGGCAGACATGGCGCCGAGTTGTCAATGTCAAATGGTCAAGATCAATTCGAATTCTGTCGACTTTCGATGATGGACCAAATCCTCGCTAAGGAGACTGTTGAAAAGTGATATGAGAAAAGTTTGAGAGTAGACCGGAGGTGCTAACAAGATAGCACAATATCACAATAGGTTTGACCCAACCATCTAAGAACGGTTTGAAGCCTGTTGGTATTTCACACCATGTTCTAATGGTTTTTGTGAAGACTGGCATGACAAATCCGAGGGACGGAATGGATTTTGAAATCGCATACATCACCATTTGCTCTTGACCAGCTGAGTTTCGATATTGCACCGAATTGGGTTTGGCGCTGTCTCAAATGCGGGTGGATTCCAAGCCTTTCCTCGCCACAGTTGCAGGTATGGAGCCTGCGTACTGGGGCTGCCGAGGTAGGAAATTGTTCAGTTGGTCCGAAATCCGCCCACATGGACTAGGGACGGACAAACAGGGCTGCCAACGGAGAACAGAACAATCTATCAAACACGCCTCTTCTGAATCTTCGTTTGCACTCAGTACGGTATTGTCGCCGGATCATTTGTCGGAACTGATGCCTCATCGATGCGCATTGCCGAGGCATCGCAAGTCGATTGATGCGTGAGCAATCGCTGCGTAGTTTCAATGAATGGTGGCGGGAACTGACGGCGTTAATGTCAAGGTACGAGCATGGCAACATTCAAATCGGACTGTATCAGTCGTGTCTATGAAAACATCACACTTCGCTATTTCCTTAAACAATAGAGTCATAGTAGATCAAAATATCTTAAATCTTTTCAAACATCCCTAGGTCCAACTCTATCATGCCGTTGAATTGGCATCTGGTCCGTCATCTCAAATACCCCAGGCTCATCGCCGTGAACACTCCGAGAATCATATTTGATGGCGATTTCCCTAGTTCGCACAATGCCACTCTTGGCGTTTGGTGACAAGATGCTCTTGTCACTACCATCGTCCGTCTTGCCTTCCTCCATCGTATTCAACGAGCGAGGAAATTTGCTGTGATTGTCTGACTTGAGATATGTTCCGGCTCCCCGCGAGCTAGAGCCGCCATATCTTGTGCGGTGAAGATCTCGGAACAGTACTCGCAGAACCGGGATCGAAGCGGCGATGACGGTGGCGTTGGGTTCGGCTTGACCCCAAATAAACAGGAGAGAGAGACGGTCTTGATCATCGTCAGCAGAGCTCCAGAAGGGTTGAGCTAGGATGGCCTTAGAGGCACGGGCTTACAAGGAATGTCTTCTCCTCCCGTAATTGTCGTGATCTGGACAATCTTCATGATACCAACTATACCAGCACTGCTCATCTGTTAGCTTATGAGACCTGAATAGGGAGAGAAAATTCATTGCTCACAGGAGACCAAGGCTCATCGCAACCGCGACACCGATCTTCTCATGCTTCTTCATCTGCAAACTCAGAATGATCTTCCAGGGTAACAAAGCGAGGATGAAATCCACCAAAGCTGAATACGCTATACCAGGATCAGTGGAATTTTCACTCACGAGTGATGACGGACGTACTATTTGCTACCATAGCAACAATGACAGAGTCCTCGACTCTCCAGCACACGTTGGGAAGCACAGCTTCGTATGCGTCAATGCCGACACGATCACAAGCAGCCATCCAGGTCGTGACGGCGTTTACCGCAAGGATGATGTTCATGGTAGCGATGAGGAACCAGATGAGATATTTCTGCCAGCCGGTGGCAACCCGAAGCAAGGTCAATGCGAAGGATGTCTTGGTCAAGCCCAGAGCGATCTTGTTAAGGTCATCGCTAGTGGTGCTTATCAAATGCCCATGCGGAGAGAATGCCAAGGACAGACCGAAGCCAATTCTCATGAGCTCCGTGATTAGTGCGCTCGAGATCAAGATGAAGACCTAATTCAATGTTAGTTGAGCCGTTCTTTGTGAGAAGATTCCATTGGCAAGTGCGCACCCATCCAGTGATCAGCAGGTAATCATCCCACCACATTGCCCTTACTCTGATCCCTCGACAGTATACTCGGAGTGCCAGAAATATGGACGAGATCGCTAACATGGTCCAGATAGACGAGACGACGACTGGCCCCGGGTCCTTTGGACTGGCCGTAGCATTGGTAGATGCCTCATCTCGAATTAACAGGGCGCTGACGGTATCCATACTGGGAAACTATATAGTCAATTAGAATACCGTTGTATTAGGGTGGGGTGGACATATCTTACGTACATTGCTCGGGATGAGTCCAGAAATGTTGCTCGAAGCTTGAGTGTACTGAGACCACCCAATAAATGTCAATCAGAGTATCATGGGCTCAAGAAAAGAATGACGAGGACGAGAGCCTAAAAATGAGTAAAAAGAGGCGCTGGGAGGCAAGAAACATAAATGGTCATATGCCTAGCCTGCCCACAGTTCTGTAGAGACTCTTGAAGGCATACTGCAAGAGGGTGGCTGTCCAGAATGGTACCAAGGACACAAAATCAGGAAGAACCAAGGAAGTGCCCTAGCCCTGCAGGTACAGAGCTTTGGCGGAAACGTCGAACGCATAACAGAAAGCGAGACCAGGGTGTGCTGCGCCAGAATGCAGTTTGATCAGTGTGTGGAGGGTCAGGGGAGGACGTGATAGCTGCAACGTTGTGGGCCACTTTAACTTACTCATTATCAAAGAAGTACGCCACACACACCCCATAAGCCTTTTCCTTCCAGCATACGACTCACATGTGACTTGAGCCTTAGACATCCTCAGGCCTTTGTGAATATAAGATAATTGTTCAATGCTCGAGGTACTCCGGCAAAGATTCTCCTTTGGCTTTTGTTTATATCTTTTCCCATATTTGTTGGCATGGATAGAGAATCTAGATGACTGTTTGTGAGATAACAGTAGGGTCAGCATAGATAACCCTTTGAAGACACAAATTGGCGTCTTGGTAATAATTCATACATCGCTTAGACTCAGACCACTGTGAAAGAACCTCTGCATCATATACAAGTTACAGATAAAGTAAAAGCACATGCGCTTACTCTCTAAGGGAGCTGGAATAGTGGACTGAAGCACTTATTCTAGAAATAAACTGAACAGGGGATGGCATCATCTACCACAACTCTTTTGAGAGTTTCCATAGAATGGCCCGTAGACTTGAACTTCGGGAGGACAGTATTTCTAATGCACTGTTCCCTGCTAGTGTGTCGGAGAGACCTGAACAGCCACTTCGAGGCCTACTGCTGGTTGGATGACCCGGCCCGTTGGCTGCTATTGAAACAAGAGAGGCATGGTGCAGACAATTGACCAGGGAGGAGCAAAGGCCTCCTTCTTGGCAATCCAGAGCAATCCCGTTTTTTAGTTTTTATCTTGTCTCTAAGATTCTACTGGCAGGAAAATACCTCAATGCTTCGACTTGATATAATCGAGGCATGGTTTTCAAAAATAAAATTGGCCGCTGCTAGGTGTCCATGATCGTCCAAACTGAGCAAAAAGTTCTAGATGCAGTCTCTACGCAAGCCTTTTCTAACTTTCGAGGGTATGATGTTTACTTCGACGTAGCAGTGGGAAGATAAGCGCAATCGGAACAGCGTGCCGAAGATGAAGTCGGGCAGCACATACTAATTGCTTTGCTCTACTCGAGAGAAGCAGAAACAATGCGCCCCGCGCCACATGCGATCAAATGGGGAAGGACCGTTACGTGCCGCAATTCTGCAATTTAATCTACTGCACTTTCTGGTCTGCAGGAGGGACGGCTAGAGGTCTTGGCTCGTCAGGGGTTGTCAGCCACAGAAGCTACAAGGATGCTCGGGCACGGCGGCTACGGAGTTTTTCAAGAGCTGGAAGGGCTTTGATGGCCTTCTAATACTGGTTACCAAAGAGAATTCCATCGGTCTTACTTCAACCACCAAGTTGAATGTGTGCCTACGTCTGTGAGGTGTTGGACACGATCAATTAGAGTTAAGGTGCGGCTCTTTGCGCAGTATCCAGCGTATGATTTTATCTCGCATCTCCATCTACGCTCGGATAGTCTCCACGATCCATTCTCCATCACGCTGCGATCGGATACCACTGTGATCGCCTTGATGATGGGAGCCCTCGGAGTCTATTTTATGGGCACCGCGATAGGTCCGTGACTTGCATCCCTGTTCCCCGCGACGGGAACAGGGTTCTGCACATCCGAATAGTTATGCCTACCATCTGGCGCCATTCTTAGCTCCCAGTCCCTACTAGTTAGTTGCAACGTCCGAACAGACAGTTTCTCTGTCAAAGTAATGCAACGTTCTTCACTTTCTCATCATACATGATGGATCTAGGGTCCGGAAGTCGGCGTGGTACATTGCACCTAGGCCCGCTCTCTTGGCAAAGCAGGGCTTCAGCACAGAAGGACAAGGGAATGAGGCTTTTTTCTGGTGCAAGTGCGAATTTCATTGCTTTCAGAGCAGGGCAGCAGGGTTACTAGTCTCGCTGTACCTTGAGACTATAGCAAATGTTATCTCGGATATGTGGTCCCTTCTAGTAGCTGATGATGCTAGCTCGACCAAGGAGGCACACTCTTGTGCGTATCAACAAACCTAACCTCAATTGACCGTCGACACACATCAATCGGAGCCATTATTACACCGAACAAAGAATCCTTAATCCAGGTTGTCGGGTTCAATCTATAGCGAACAAAATGGAAGCCCATCCCGCCTCACACCTGACTATCTTCCTCCTGCAGCTCCTTCTGCCGCCCCTAAGGTAACGGTCTCCGCTTGGCAGCCCACACTCGTTCTATCTGCCTTGCTCGAGTGCACCGTTCTCTTCCCTCTGCCATGAAGGTGTCCCACGCCACGTCGCTCCTCCTGGCTCTCGGCTCTCATGCCGCGGCAAAGCAGTGCCACTGTTTACCAGAGGACAGTTGCTGGCCAGGAGAAGCCAAATGGAGACAGCTTAATGCCACTGTCGGCGGCCAGCTCGTCAAGGTTCAGCCCATTGGTGCCGTATGCCATGATCCAACCTACGATGAAGCCAAATGCGCTGAGCTGCAGGCCAATTGGGATGAAGTCGAGACACAGTAAGTATTTGTGCATACCTTGACCTTCTTCTGCTGATTGGTCGTCTATTAGTTACTTATCTATGTCAAGCTTGATGACATCGTGAGTTCTCCATCCATTCTTCTCACAAGTCTCTTCGAAGAGACTTGATGATGGCTTCACCCAATTTTGATACAATGGCTAATTACTTAACAGCTACTCCACGGGTCAGACATGTGACCCATTTGCACCGCGAGAATCTCCGTGCACCATCGGAAACTACAACACCTATACGGTCAATGCGACCAAGGTTGAAGATGTCAAGGCGGCGCTAGACTTCGCGAAGAAGAACAACATTCGCTTCGTAGTTCGCAACACGGGCCACGATTTCTGGGGCCGTTCCATCGGCCATGGTGGTCTCGCTGTTCGCATTGCCAACCTCAAGGACAACAAGGTCATTGATTGGAATGACAAGTGGTACAAGGGACCGGCTTTCAAAATGGGGGCCGGCATGATGGGATTCGAAGCCCAGCAGATCCTCGAATCTCACGGCTACGTCATGGTCTCCGGATACTGTCCCAGTGTCGGTCCAGCCGGCGGTTACGTACAAGGCGGCGGCCACAGTCCTCTGAGCTCACACTTTGGCATGGCAGCCGACCAAACCCTCGAGTACGAGGTTCTCACTGCCGGCGGTAAACTCATTCAAGCCTCTCGAACCGAGAACTCTGACTTATTTTTCGCCCTCAATGGAGGCGGTGCTGGTACTTGGGGCGTTGTCATCTCTATGACTGTCCGCGTGTATGAGATGCTACCCATGGCCGGCGCGCAGATGTTCATCGACCCAACAACCATGGATCCGGAGGTATTCTGGGCTATGGTCGACAAGTTCTATTCGCTCATTCCGGACTTTACTGACCAAGGAGCTTACATCACCTATGCCTACGGACCGTCACACTTTGGTCTTTTCCCTTTCTCTGCATACAACAAGACAGCCGCCGAGGTGGAGATGATGCTCAAACCCTTCACTGACTATCTTGCTGAGAACAATATCACCCCTCTTTTCACGCTATACAATGACTCCCCTACATACCTTCAGCATGTAGCCACGAACTTCGCCAAATCTCAACCTACGAAAGAATGGCCATCCGGCGGCCGGATGATGCCACGCGAGGTGCTCAAAAGCCCCACCCGCCGTGCCGAGCTTGTCAAAGTCATGCGCAAGATTGTGAGCACCGGCGCCCTTACATCGAGCACATCTATGCGACCTCTCGACCGCACCGGCAATCCAACCTCTTTGCACCCCGCTTGGAGAAACGCGGACGCGCTGGTCATAATGACCTGGCCTTGGGAGAACAATGCCCCTGAGCTCATGCAGCAAAAAGTCGACATGTTTGCCAACGAGCTCTCCCCGCTCCTTATCGAGGTCGCCCCCGAGAGCGGATCGTATAGCAACGAGGCTGATATCTATATGAAGGAATGGCGCCACGAGCTGTACGGGCCCAATTGGAACCGTCTTCTCCAGATCAAGGAGAAGTACGACCCCAATGGAGTCTTCTGGTCTAAGCACACACCCGGAGCAGACATGTGGAGAGTCGATGCCGATGGACGCATGTGCAAGTCAGGTTGCAAACCAAAGAGCAAGATGTAGAGCATTTGGCAAGACCCCCAGTCAGCCTGTAAGCTATTGCAATTAAATGATAATCAATAGAAGATCTCCTCTGTATCGTGCCTCATCTCTATCTGCTACATTGTTCACTCCTCTAACTTTCCTCTATTGCCCTTGACCTTTCGAATTCTCTAACGTCGATAATGTAAGCCTGTAAGATCTTGGCTTTATTCAACTTTTCATGTCTTGGTCCGGGTATTGGAATATTTGCACCCGCGACAAGTGCTCCAAAGACCCAGTGTGCAGTTTTTTATGGCAACTCAGACGGAGGTAATTGTAGCTATGTCATACCTTGACTTCATTCTAGGTTGTCTTCCCTTCAATAGAACATGACACATCGAATTACCAGTAGAGGTTCTACCTTTATCAATATGTTAAGGCCCTCTATGGAAGTATGATCTCTAGGTCGTCTCTGTACGAGAAGATTATATGCTTCTAGTTAGACTTGAGTTACGCAATAGCTTATTCACAGCTTACATTGACTCTATGACTTGCCAAAATACAAGTAGATGATGCATGATCCGTACCGCTCCTCGGCCTTCAATCTTGAGTATCAACATGATAGTAGCTACGTGTGGAAGGTATGGGTCCTACGTTCTCAAAATTTGAGATATCAACCCTCTTCGAAAGGCAACATGGTATCTGGTCTAGATATCTGACGATTACCGAGACTCCCCTATGTTATGCTGTACAATCATCGCAACCCCCGAATTAGTGCAGGTTTTCTCAGAACATAACTCTTTAATAAGTTCCAAGTAACTGCGAAGGGCACCTATTGTGGTAATTACTCCTAAATATCTGCGTTTATACTCTTAACTACCAGTAACTTGCATCCTGAGCCAGGGCTGTCATATTTCATTGCATCTCACATGCGAAATGCTTCTCTTGGGGACAAAATTGTACAATAATTACACAGGTCGAGATGCTTGACAGAGGATGTACATGGCTCTATCTTTCAATCATACTTTCCATCTCTTTGAATCCCTGTACTACCTTCACACTAACACACAGGGCTGTCCGACTCGGTCACCACACATCTAAACAAGGCCCATTGCAAGCTTTATCACAAGCAGGCACCTCCCAGCTGTCCAAGACAGGAATGAACTGCTCAGCGTTGCCTGGTTTATCCTGCAGACTTTCCTTCTCCTTCTTTCCGCCAGGAGCTATCCACAAACATAAACATTTGAACGTTTCCTCCTCCTCCCTGGAGCAGAAGTGGCCAACGCCAACCTCCAAATTTTGGCCCCTTCCGCGAACCAATCGTTCTCATCCTTGTTTCGAGCTTCACACCGAGCTCATAATTTTCGTTGATCTGAAAAAATTCTGGAGCTTTAGGTCTTCGACGGTAGTCTTGAATTTCATCCTCGAGCTCATCTTGAGAAAGCAAACTTCAACGTCTTCCTCGAGCTCATTGCTTTGGCTGTATAGCTTCATCCCCCATTCATTCACGTCCCTTCACCGATGCTCAAATTCCGAGGTTCCATCCCGGTAGCTTCCAGAACAATGGCTTCATCTAACGAGACTCACTCCAAGGATCACCTTGCCGAGTTGAAGGCCAAATGCGCCAAATTCGGCGAAGAGGCGTGTGAGCTGCTGTCCGCCATGGCTTCAGAGATCCGTGCTACTCAGGATTCCGAGACTACTCAGAAGATTACGGATCTTCAGAAGGAGCTCGACGAGGCAAATGCCAGCCTCAAAGCTGCAAGACAGCTTCACCAGCTCTTCGAGAAGAAGTATCACGCTGCGGACAATGAACTCAAGAAGATGTCTGCCACGAAGCAAACGACGCAAGAGAATCACAACGGAGATCAGGCAGTTGAGATTCGTCGTCTCGAAGAGAAGAATGCCTCTCTCAAGACCAAACTTGGTCAGCGCGAAGCCAACATCGCCGCTTCCTCCACTCTACCTCCGAGCCACCAGAGATCGACGGCTGTCAATGACACTTTTGAGCAATGGCTTCTCCGAGATGGCATGCCTGCTGAGACTCCTACACCCCAGTCAGCCATGAATGGCGGCACTGGTGTACTCCTGTCTGAGCACAATCTACGAATGTATACGCAACATGCGGAGCAGTCTCAGCCTACCCGTATCTACCATCGCCAGCCAAACGATCTGATTGACCTAGAGTCGGTCTCTCCCGTCACAGATCAGAAAGACGAAGCTCTTCAGCCTTCGACTACGCCAGCCATTTACCAGGTGCTTTTAGACCATGGCGCCCTTGCTTCCCTGACCTTGCCAAACAGTCTGCCGCAGGACGAGAGCAATGGTCCCCTGCAGGAATACCTCAAAGACGGCTGCAGAATGGTTCTGATGACCAACGTCCCCACAGACACTCCAGCGCGTGATGTCTTTGCGAGAATCCGAGGTGGCGCTGTGATGAAATTAGTTTTCACACCCCCCCTCGGCACTCCCGGTCGTACGGCTGTCATTACCTTTGCATCTTCAGATGGTGCGAAGCGTTACGTCGAATGGTGCAAGCTCAACAAGATCACTTTCAAGGGCTCTAGTGATGCTATTCATCAGGTCGACGTGAAGCTTGCAAGCGGAGAATTCGACCATCAGCAGGCCTACACTTTCCCGCATAGTCGAGAGATCGCGATTGCTCTCACGAAGGGCCAATCCAGATGCGTCGTCGTTCGAGACTGTACGCCCTTCATGGCCCGCCAGATCTTCCGTGAAATTGGTGCTGACCGACCTCATCTCCGACACAATCTCGAAGATGTTTGGTATGACGAGGTCGCCACGATGATCATCCACTTCACCGACTTCCAGAAAGCCAATTCGGTCTACACTACGCTCACCCGCCACAGGGCCTATATCGACATCCATCAGACCGTCTCCTTCAAGGAAGACCCTTGCGCCGGCGACCCTCAAGATCTCTTCGATGGTCCCAAGCCGTCAAGCGAGGGCCTCGACAGTCTCATGGACATTGCCGACATAGGAGTTTTCGAGCTTGACTCCTACCTTTCCAGACAGTACGACAACGACCGAGATTTGAACTCGCCCGTTCCTACTACACCTTCTTATGGATCTTGGTATTAGTCTGCCAAGGCGACCAATGAGAGGGAGATTTCTGCCGATCGCGCTGCTCCTGGTGGAAAAACATCTCGCATCGCGTCTTCTTCCATGCCTTTGGAGGACTTTCTCAAGATGAGTGACGCGGAGTGGATGCAGTATTGCAGTGATCTGGAGAAACAGAAAGTGGGTGCCTAGGCCAGCATTGCTGTAAGGTACCTTGATGAATCGATATCGTTTTGCTACGTTTGGGGGGGAGTTATCATGCACACAGCCTGTCTTGTCGATCCAGTCGTCTACCTAGTCATCAGTCTCAGATAGCTCGTTAGCTTCATTGCTTTCATCGCTACCTACAGATAACTTCAAATAGACTACTGGACCGTCATAATCGCTCTTTCCCGTGAAATCAGATGAATATTTGTCCTTGTAAAAGCTGCGCTCATTCATCCGTTACGGACAAGAGGTGCGATTGAAGCAGCAAACCACAAGCATGTAAAACACTAACAACACGGTCATCGCAATTGCACCAATGTCTCAAATATATCTAGCGTAATTGCGTGATCACATTATTCATTACGGGTATCATTGATTATGACCACAGACTCTGCCGATCTCCGTCGCAACTGGATGCAGCTCTCGATAACACCGAGGGCTCCCTAAAATGCTCGTTGTTAGGCCAATTAATTTCTAGAAAAACTAGCATACTGGCGAGCAAGGGTCAAGTCAAAGCTGTCTTTGTTTGTTAAGTGCGGCCTACCATGGCCGGTCGCATCCTCTGTCACAACCAGCTGCTCAACTTCGTCGTCATCATCCTCAACGTTCGGTATTTCCTTGGGTACGTTCTCCGTGCCAGCTTCAAACGCTTCTTGGACGCTTGAATACTTCTTGGTCCATGCAGTAAGAGTCGTCTGCTGCGGGCTGGATAGGCTTCCGCCTCGACTTGCCTTCTTTCTGAGGTATTTTCGTACGAGGGCACGCGAGATATTCTCCTCAGGTTCCCAAGTGGGATTTTGGTCAGGAGGCCAGTCACCCTCCCATCGCACTTTGAAATGCCGTACAGGTTGACCATCGATATCAAAGATCTTGTCTCCTTCGAGACGCTTGACTTCCCATTGCTGCTCAGTTTCTGCAACTGGGTCGTCATCCTCGATTGGTTCGGACTCTGGACGCTTCTTCTTCGAAGGCTTGCCATTTGGAGTGCTGGAGCGTTTCGATGCGTCCTGTGAAGGCTTGACTGAGGGAATAGTAGGCTTTCTGCCATGCAGTTGCAAAAAGCTATGTCGAGCTGCAGTGACAGGAGTAAAAACGGTTGCAGGGCTCGAACCCTTGCTCAACTTCCCCTTGTTTGCCATAGAGTTTAGATTTGGACGATGCTTGCCGTTAGCTTGAGGGTCTTGCTGAACTCGCTCTTGTGCTTTTGGTGTGGTTTGATTGTATGAGACATCTTGACGAATCCTTTCATCGGCGTAAGAGCTATTCCGACTAGGTGCTCCGATCTTAGGCAAGGCAGGGGGTGGGATAGGTGTGATACTTTTGCCTTTGAACATAGGGGTAGGTGCTTGAAGCAAAACTGGGGTAGATTTCGCTTGCGAAGCTTGTGATGGCTTGGTCAAGCTTGAATGTAAGCTTCTTCCTGCAGAGAGATCCGGAGAGATACGGTTCATGGTCCCCTTTGGCCAGATACTAGGGCTTTTACTTGAAACTTGAGTCTGCCGGTGCTTGTGTCCCTCTTGCGTCACGTGAGACTGATCAGAAGCCCTAGGCCCTCCGACGACAGAAGACATGCTTGCGGTCGGCTGAGTTTGGGTCCAGAAGAATGGGTGTATCTTTGTTGGGACCCTATCCTGTACATGTGAAGGCCCACTGGCCGATAAATCCTGACGAACAGGGCTAGATCTAAGTGACCGTGAACGTGAAGCCGGCGGCAGCGCGCTGCTAGCACGACAAGAGTCGTCCAACTCTGAACCATCTGTCTCGGTTGAATGGAGCTGGCCTGTTGCTTCTGAATCGAAGTCTGTACCATCACCGAACAACTGTCTGATAATAGCAGTGTCGTCATCCTGGTCTGTGTCCTCTGACAGGAAGTCTTCCAGCTTTCGTTTCTGTGGAGTTGAGAGTGATGGCCCAGATAACTTCTTCTTTTCAAGAAGCTCTTGGTCTTCCTTCCCCAACTTCGGCTCCGGTGGCGGTTGTGCTTCCTGTCTTGCCCTCGGTGGCCGAGCTCGTGCCTCGCGACTCTGCTGTTTCACAGCTCCTCCAACTTTACGTGTTTTGGCACGTTCTTTGGCTTTTAGGAGCTCCTCTTCTTGTATCTCCTTTTTCAGGTACTCTTGATATTCCCAATCTTCCACCACTCGGGGGGAGCAATAATCGTATATCTGATGCGCCGGGATAGTGACCTTTGCCGCTGGCAGATCCGTCCAACCTACAACATAGCACATTGTTCGTCTAGCATCCTTCTCGAGAACTGCACCAATTGGCAGCACAACTCTGCACACAATGTAGCTCGTACCATCATGTTTCGGAAGGAGGGAGATCTTCGGCGGTGGTCGCAGGAGGGGCGGTTTCGGTTTCGGGCGTATTAGGACCTCGATCTTGACTTTTCTCGCATGCTTGCTTATAGATCCTGAGTGTAATATCTCGAGAGGGTCTTCCTTTTTACGATTTGGCGGCATCGTGGGGAGTTTCTGGCGCGCCCCGGCCGGTTCAACGCGACCCAACGCTTAGTCCACGCGCCGCAGCAGACATGAGGGCGGCGCAATGTAGCGAGGACCTACAAAGAAGTAAGCAACTGCGCGAACAGAAAAACCATGAACGAAGAATGCAGGACAAAGCATCAGAAATAAAAGGATGGATTAGAATTACCTCGGAGCCTGCGAATCCCGTAGAGAGCTTCCGATTGTGAATGGTAGTCGTGGCCAAAATGATGGAAGTGGGTGAAGTTTAATGGCAAGCTAAAATTCTAACGTAATAACTGCCAGTGTTTTACAATTTTAAAAAGGGCAAACGCTTATATCTTTCTCACCCTTTATTAAGTAAAATAGTAGTAATGGATTAACGTTTCTATTATTAAAATATTCTCACTTAATAGTATTTTAAAGTTAAATAATAATAATATAAATAATTTTTTTTTACAGATTATTATAATTCTATAGCATTATTACGCAACTTATAGCCTTTTACCAGGTCAATTATCAAATTAAAAGACAAGTAACGCTATAATAACGTCTTAGCGTATGAATAAGACATATACTTTGATTCATGAGTGGTGGGTACTTTCGTGGTACCTGGGCTTAGCGGGTACTCGGGCAGGTGGCATGTTCTCGCCTCAGGCTTCCAAAAAAAGATAGCTCTCACGACATAGGCCAAAGGACGTCAGGCCTTCACTCCATATATCGAAGCTGTCGTAGCTGCACATACCGAGTGCCCGACGGTCAACAACCTCAATTGAAGCTCTCGCAATCACACCTAGAAACCTGAGAACAGTGGTCAACAACCACCATGCTTACTTCTACGACGACAACGATGCTTAGGTCGGGCGTTGCTCGCAACGGCGCTGGCATCCAGCCCATTCTACTCCGCAGCACCGCATGCCCATACTCGACCTTCACCAGCTCTCCGTTTGCTATCCGCCCAAAGCTCGCCGATTCTCCCATAACCTCAACCTCCCGCAGCTCCATCACCGGCCGCAAGTCGGTCTCTGCACCTCTCGTCATCCGCCAGACCGGGCGCCGCAATGCGTCCACCGTTTCCTCGAATGAGCAAGATGCCACAGCCGCCGCCGCCGCAGCAGCAAAGCAGCAAGCTGCTCATGCGGACGAGCCCCCGTTGGACTGGAACACGTTTTTCGCACTGCGCAAGTCCCGAAGGAGGTGGCAGCTCACGTTCAGCATTGCGTCCTCGGCCGCGGGAGGCACTGGAGGAGCTTTGTTCCTAAGCACGGGGAGCGCGGATTGGGCAGTCAACCAGATCCCTCTTGATCCCTTTGTGACATTAGGTCTCATGACATTTGGCTTTGCGGCCCTGGGATGGCTTGTTGGGCCAGTCCTTGGAAGTCAGATCTTCTATCTCTTGAACAGGAAATACAAGTCACAGATGGCTCTGGTAAGTCCAGATCCTGCTCATTTACCGTACAGTTCACTGACATCAAGCCATTTTAGAAAGAGAGCCAGTTTTTCGCTCGCATCAAGAAGCACCGTGTTGACCCGTCCAGCTCGTCAGCTGGCAACCCAGGTGAGCTTCTATCTTTACTGATGATGTTGCAGCCAGCAAGCTAATCTCGGATAGTGCCTGACTTCTACGGCGAGAAGATCTCGAGCGTGGCGGGCTACCGCCAGTGGCTGAAGGATCAACGAGCGTTCAACAAAAAGCGGACGACGTTCGTATAGTTGAGCTCAGGGGGCCCGGAATGGCGAAAGGAAGGAGGATAGCGAAGCTGAACAGTCACGACGACCATTTCCTTATGTGTCGAAACGTTTTTGGCAAAAATGTTGTGCACTATCAACTGGATGATAGTCGGCGTTCAGAGCCTCTCAATCATTGTAAAATAACACCCAGGTATCGTCAGTATAGGATTATGACATACTCCGCTTGTCCAAACTTGTCTCTTCGTCTGCCGCAAGTTTCCTACTATAGGAAAGGCAGAGTCTTATCTACCTCGTCCCTCCAGGCTCGCATGCCTCCTTGAATATCCCCTATGAATCGTTCTCCATTCTTATCTAACCCCAAGTCCTTTAATTGCTTAGTTACGAGCTGAGAATCGTTGCCCACTCTGCAAACGACATATATTGGAGCATCATGCGGCAGATCATTTGGTAACCAATCCGGCGGCTTCTCTACCTCTCCGTCTAGCTTATCGTTCGCTCGCGCGCTGCTTTGGAGTTTCGAGTAGGGGATGTTGATCGCTCCTTCAATACTGCAGATGTCGAAGTTCTCCTTTTCTCTAACATCAAGAAGCAGATGTTGATTTCGTGTCTCCTTGGCAAGTCTGCTGTAGTCAGTGGCAGATATCCTCTCGTCCGGCTTCAGAATAGCAACAGGCAAGCTAGACCCGCCGCAGAATTGAACGTAATCCAATGATCCAGACCGCAGCGTGTCCAAAGTCAGTGTTGATGCAGCCGAGCAGGCAAAGCAGTCCTTTCTACGCCCACGCATCCTCACGCTCCTGAAGCTCGGGGCACCAATAGTTGCAGCGGAGAAGATCAGTAAAGTCGGAGGCGCCATTGAGGACGCTGTCTCGGCCCCTTGTGGGGCATGGAGTCCGGCGGCAATGATTTTGATTGCCTCGAGAGCCTGCAAAATGCCCATAACGCCGACGACGGGTCCGAGGATTCCTCCTTCTCCGCAGCTCACAACGCTCTCTGGAGGAGGCGGCTTGGGGAATACGCATCTGTAGCAGGGCCCGCCTCCTGCCGTGCCTCTTGGAAGAGGAGGACAGTTGAGCACAATAAGTTGGCCATCCGTCTTCAGAGCCGATGCAGAAACGAGGGGACGATTCAGAAGTACACAGATATCTGAGATCAAGTATCGTGACGTTGGGTGGTCAGTGCAGTCAAGCACAATGTCGTACTGTGACACAATCCCTTCTGCGTTCTCGGGAGTGAGATGGGTTCGATGAGCATTATAGGTAATAGATGGGTTCAGTCTATACCTTGTCAGCTATTGGAGCTCACGAATCGCACCACGACTTACTCCTTTGCGTATGTGATGAGACTGTCCACCTTAGACATGCCCACGCGGGACGAGCCATGCGCGATCTGACGGTGCAAGTTGGACAGCTCAACCGTGTCACCATCGACAACACCGAGGGTTCCTACGCCGGCGCCAGCCAGGTACGCAGCCGCGGGACACCCGAGGCCGCCAGCACCTACGATGAGCACCTTGGAGGCTCTTAGACGAAGTTGACCTACAAATAACTTAGTCCCATCAACACCTGTCGGTTAAGTTAGCCAGTGCTCACCTTGAACTCCGACAGCCGGCAAGATCAGTTGTCGTCCATATCTCTGGTACTCTTCAGCCTTCAGGGGCCACTTCCACGAGTTCTGGGATGCAGAGGACGGAAAGTCTGTTGCTACACCTTCAGCTTCAGCAAGTTGTGCTTTCAAGAGTTTGAGCTCTTCTTCGGCCTTTGCAATCTGTTGTCGCAACTGCTCTGCGCTCCTCTTGGCTCCCTCCATAGCCGAAGACCGTTAGAAAACAGGAAAAATCGCAATATAACCTTGCCCTGGGTGCGGTACGCCCTCTGACATGGAATGGTGGGGAGAGTTTTAAGTCCCCAGCCTGACGTTATAGTGTAAGTCACACCAGTACAGTGGGTCGCTTTTAGTAACACCCTCGTCAAGCTCACCTACCTACAGCGGGGCTAAGACCCCCAGCTCACCGATACTGCCCCGCGCTCACCTTAAATTTTCCAACCTTCACCTTGAATTCTTCGCAAAGCTCCCAACTTCCTCCTCGACACATCACACACATTCAACATGGTAAGCCTCCTAGCACCCCCTTTGAGTAGCTCATATCCAAACTCACACCTCTCCAGGCCCCAACCGCCCCCGCCAAACGGCGCTCCATCCGCGCCAAAGCCCTCGAGCGGCTCGCCAACCCCCTCCTCCCGCGCAAAGTCCACCGCCCGGACGCCGCCGTGACCGACGCCTTCCTCGAGACGAAGCGCGACAAGCGGCTGATCAAGCACTCGTCGTTCGTCTCCAAGATCAGCAAGGACCACCCCTCGCGGTCCGCCAGCGCACAGAAAAAGCGCAGGCGGCCCTCCAAGAAGCTCGTCGCCACGCTCGAGAGCCTCGCCGACGCGCTGCCCGAGCTGACCGAGGAGGACGGCGACGCGGCCGCCGCGCTGGGCAGCGGCAAGGTGCGCCACCGGAGCCTGCGCAGCCGGCCGGGCGCGCTGAAGCGGAAGGAGAGGATTGTCCGGGGCGAGATGGAGAGGTTTGGCGTGAGCCTGGCGCAGTTGACGGCGACGAAGGAGGAGCCGGCTTCGCAGCAGACCTCGGTCCAGACAAGCAGCATGCAGGTGGAGGGTGCGGCGTTGGATGCAAAGACTACAGTCGGTGCTCCGGCGACCTCAACCTCGAATCGATGGGCTGCTCTTCGAGGATTTATCTCTGCGACGATGGAGCAGAATCCAGCATTCACTAGCAAGGGTTGAAGCAATTGCCCGAATGCTTTACAATAGATCTCAAGATGGAGCGATGGCAAGGCGAGAAGTGCCTATACGCACAGAGGAGCACGATCGATCTATCGGCGGCTTATTCCAGGGTAACCCATTTCAGGGCCCAAGGCGTGTCATACGAGATACTAGATTTCACTCGACACCACGAACGCAGGTGTTTTCCAAACCAAACTGGCTTTAAATCACGGCGATACCCATTCACAGTAGCACAGTATATAGAAAACCTCAAGTATGAGAGCGTTAAATGATAATTGCATTCATTGTAATGGAGCAAAACGCTGCGTAAAAGCAAATGTCCCTTCAGTGGCACACCGTGGCCTCGAAAGGCATATCTTTAGATCCATCCGTGTGCCAGACCACAGACTATGAGTCCACTTCTCTGTCCTTTGTCCTAACCATCTGTGACAGTATCCAACACGCCTCAACGCCATCGCAGCAAAAGTACCTGGGAATCCAACGCCGTCGAGGCCACACCTTTCTTGTGATCGGCCGCGTCTTTCTTTCCTTTCTCAGCAACACCTTGCCATGCCATTGTGAAATGCCGTGTATGGTATATACAGCCGCGACATATGTCATCTGTCTTCATGAACTCGTGTCATCTTTCTTCTTGAACTCATCTCGTTTCGCCCCTGCACTCGATTACTACTCGATGCGAGGCGGGGTTGAGCTCTTAGCGTAGGGGGAGGCGCTGCGTCTTCGCTCGCCTTCCTTGCGTAGGGTCTCGATAATCTTTAACATCTCCTTTCTTCCACCGTACGAGTCGATCATCTTGTTGGCCATGCTCATGGATACCTTCTCTCGGGCGTTGGCATTGAGCAGGCGCTTCACAAGGAGATGGCGCATGAGGATGCACACGAACACGCCGCAATCGCTTCCATTCTCCTGCTGCGGACAGTCCTCGATATTCTGATATCGGAGAGGTCTCTGCAGGATCTGAGACAGCTTGTCAGCAGCCATGCGGCCCTCGCTATAGTTGGCGCCGCCAAGGGAGTCATAGTGGAATGCAACACCGTCAATAACGGAAACGAGAAGCAGTGACCAATGAGACCCGGTCTCGGCTTGTGTCAAACTACGCGCGTCGTTGACAGGGAGGAAGATGTGGGTGACTTTGGAGAAGTCGGGAAGGGCCTCTTTGACAGACTTGAGGTCGGGCTCCTTCATGAGGAGGAAGGTCATGGACGGTCGAAGGAGGACAATTCGAGCTTGCGGATACTTGGGGAGGATCTCGCGCTCCAGCCACCTGAGGAGGGGTTAGTATGTAGAAGGAAAGAGGGTAGACAAGTGAACGCACTCTTCCCAGAAGGCTATGTTCTAAGGCGACGGTTAGTAAGTCTGCGTGACAAGGAGAGGAGAGATAGATAGAACGAACGTTATCAGTGAGCCAGTCATGCTTGAGTGACTTGATGTCCTCGTTCGTCACTGGATGGGGTTAGTGAGCCGAGAAGGGGCTTTGAAGAGCGGGACTTGGGTTGCATACACAGGACGTCATAGTCTAGCGCGCGCGTCGCAGTTAGTAAGGCTGCCATCCTGTTGGGCGCGGGGCGCGCAAAAAGGCGGGGAGTGTGGGCGGGCAGGACTTACAGGAGAGGTAGGGTTGTTGGGGAGAGAGCTGATCATCGGGACGAGTTGTCAGCCTTGTAGCTCTTGTTGTAGTTCTTCTTCTCGTAGTCCGCTGAGGGCCAAACTTTGACGACAGACAGCCGCTGCCCCGGTTGCTCGAGCGCTTGACGATCCTGTCATCGCCGATGGGGCGTAGCGGCTTCCTACCACGTCTGTCGTGGGGTTCATCCTCGGCAATGCCTCTCTTGATCGCCATGGCCATGCCCTTGGCTTGGGAGGCGCCGCCGCGTTTGTCGGACGGCAGCGGAGGGGAGGGTCTGGAGAAGGTGGAAAGAAGTGAAGCAGGATGGCTTACTGATTCGCCAAAATGACGAGCAACCCGCTGACGGAAGGGCATTTCTTCCCGCACAAGGAGAGCTTGAAGGGAATTGCGGGTTGTTTGTAATAAGGAGGTAGGTAGGAGGACGTAGGGAGGAGGAGGAGGACTTCGTGGCTTTCTGGACGACGACGTCGACCGCGACAGGAGGATGCGTGCGGATGTGCGCGTGTTGTTCGAGGGCGGACGGGCGGGTGCGTCTAGGACGGTGCTGATTGCTGCCGTACTGCGTCGGCTCTCTCGGGGGGTTCTGCTGTCAGGCCAGGCAGGTCAAGGGTCAAGGTTACGGGAACGGAGGCAACGTCAGACGACGGCGCGCGCCACTGCACTGGGAATCAGGCTTGTCGAAAGGGAGCAGCGGAACCGTTGCCGACTTGCGAAAGAGGAAGAAAAGGAGGAGCTTTTCAGCAGAAGGGATGGAGCAGTTCAGGGCTGCTGCAAGGCAAGGGGAGACGAAGAGGATGTAAGGTGCAGGTGGTGGATGATAGAAGAAACGGAGTCGAGGGAAAACACTGGATCCAAGGGATGGAATGGATGAATCAGACCCGCGGACGAGAAAAGAGAGAGAGGGGAGACGGAGGGAGGGGTCTTAGTCCTTAGTCTCAGGCAGTTGCAATTGTGGTGTAGGTAGGTAGGTAGTCCAGGGTTCCCGCCGGCACAGTTTTCTTGTGCAAAAAGGTGGAATTTGCGGGGGTACCGGTAATGCGTGGCTGCTGGGAGGGAGACAAGCACACTGACGGCATCCAATATCCAATGCAGCGCTGCGGTGGTCAAATTGAGGCTGAGCTCCCAGGGTTGGGCTGCAATTGCACTGAAAGGGGGGAAAACTCTAGCGGGCGTATTGCTTCCTATTGTGGGCGTGGGCGTGATGAAGGTAGGTATTGTGCCCCTCATCGAACAATACGAACAATAAGAGAATAGCACTGTTGGCGGGGTTCAATTCAAGCAGGTAGTGGGGTTGCGGTGATAACACAAATCACTTAAGTGTTTTATAAACGATATTCATTGTTCTATCTTATTGTCTGTTTATTATTCATCCCGAAGAAGAAGAAGAAGGTGTCAAGGTCGAATTCCTCGGCGAACACAATGCCGCTTGTTAATCCAAGAGTGCCTTCCAAGGTTTACCTACCTACCTGTACCTTGAGGTAGGCTGGTGACGTATTAGATGGCAGTCGCAACCGTCCGCCGTCGGTCATGCACGATACCTTCCTCCAGGGAGCTTGGCGCAGCTGTTGCCTTAGCTCGCATTGTACTAGTCGGGAAGAGCTAAGCCACATGGCATCGTGTATCGTGTGGCTTCGTCATGCTGCATCACTCTGCCGAGTCGAATCGGCAAGACCCGGGCCACCACCCAGGCGAGCCAGGTCAACCCATTTGAGGACGGAGGCTAGAACACCATCTGGATCCATTTACCGCGCGTCACTGTGTAGGTAGATACCATCAATCAATCAACCGAACGGCGATGAAGTGGGTGCTGTTCATACGATGCCTTGCACTTGAATCAGTGTGACTTCTTCTTCAGACCAGTCGGGTGTACTTTTGGGAATCTTTTAATAGAGGCAAAACGTGAAGTCTTTCTTGGTTCAGTAAACTATGAGCTCTGCTCTTACATGATCTCGATAGAAGAAGCATACACTGAGTCTGGAAGGCCTGTTAAACTTGCTCGCCGGCATCTCTCGATGGCTACATCCCCGCCCTACAGCCAGCATTCATCATTCCAGCTATGGTGTCCCCTAATACACTCTGTTCGCATGCACCACTCATCTCAACCAGCATACATTGAGCCAGACAGTAAGCCAATGCCATTCCCCTTCAGGCACCCTGAGTGGCACGGAGCCGCTCAAGACTCTTGTCGCGGCGAATAGCGGCCATGATGGCACTAATATCGACGGCGGCAACAGCTTCCGCCATTGAGTGGATGTCCTGACGCGTACCCGACCACACGTTGATCAGATCCTTGCGACAGGTGTCGAACTGTCGTCCTACCGTCTCCCGCTCCCTGGTATGCCTGGTGGCGATGCGTTGCACGATATCGCCGGCATTGACCATATACTCATGTACAACATCGTCCAAGCCCGCCTCTCTCCCCTTTAAATGGCGTAGTAGCTTCTGCAGATATGTCAACACCCCGACGAAGCATAACTCGCTCTTGGGAATAGTCCATCTTACTCACGTTGTTGATCGAGTGCAATGCCTCAACAATGCCGCCCGGAGATGGACTACCTGTGCCAACCTCAAGCGGCTCTCCCGCCTTCTGTAGCGGGCTCACCTCGTCATCTATCCACTCTTTCGTTCTTAGTTCATATTCACGACTCAGGGGTAAGCCGCCGCTGAAAGCCTTTGGCTTATGGGGTTGAACAGTCGTCGTGTTGGTTCCGAGAGACCGGTACATGCGTTGCGCGACTGCATTGAACCCGCCATCTTGCCCAGATCCCTGACCTCGATGGCACGGCGGCTGCACCTCAAACAGCGGGAAGCCAGGGTTTTTAGATTTATCCTGCGCAGGTCCCAATCCAAGAAGACGCTGGCTGAAAGTGGTGGTTCTTCCATTCCCGAACCCACCACCAACTCTGAAAGGGTCATCGTGATCGTGGTCTTTGGATTGTTTGGGTACCTCTTGATTATCAGGCCATCCAAACTGTCCCGTATTGTCTGCAGCTGCCATCATGGCGCTTTCATCGCTCAAGAGCTTGGCCCGTTTGTATCGTTGGCCATCCCCTTTTCCAGCCAGTGTCATATCGAAGCCTGCATGTCTCTTTTGACGCCGAGGAGAGTCTGCCGAGCTGTCTTTGAATGATAGTGGCCAAGCCACAGTTGCAGGTTCATGGTTTCGATGTTCGTGCACTCGGGTGCCATGCAGTGATTGTGCGACATTCTGTTTCTCGTTCTCGCAATTGGGCTGAGGTTCATTGACATGAGGAGCAAAGGTTGCTGTTTCATGGTTTTGCAAGTCTTTTAGCTTCAATTTATTATTCTGCTGTGGGGATGGCGCTGTGAAGTTCTGGGTATTGTTTCCCATTCTCCCAGCAAACTCATGGCCGGGCTTCAAAGATTTGAGTTCTATATGATGTTGCACATCTCCCGGACTGTCGTCAGAAGCAGAGGTCAACGGTTCAGGGTAGGTCATGTCGAAAGACTGGAGCTCCAGGCCATCACCAACATCTGCAATGAAATCATCGGTCTGTTCAATGACACGATCATGCGAGGCTGGGGAGGCACGGGAGGCTGCTTGCTTATGTAGGTGAGATGCCTTGACAAGCTGGCTGTCCGTCATGCCCTGGTTTCTCGGACCATTCTTGTCAAAGGAAACCAGGTGAGGCTTCCGAGCGCTTCGATCATTAATCAGACTTTCCTGGCGGTTTCGGCTCTGCACCTGGCTGGGCTGAAGAGGCTGAAGAGGCTTTCTGTCCGAGGCTTTGGTTTGCGGGGCCTTGACCAACTCCTCGGGGTCTTCATAATCTGAAGAGCTGTCGTTATCATCAATGATGATAGTTTTGACATCTTCAGTGACAGGCTTCTTTGAGACGATGACTCCGCCTTTATTCGGCTTGCCCTTTGCTTTTGCTCTTGCAGCTGGAGCCTTCTGGGCAGATCTCGTAGTGGTAATCTTGTGACGCGTGTCGGGCGATGAAGCATCAATATCATATTCATCTGTCGTCGACTCGGGTAGACGGTCGATTTGCTGGTCCTCCTTTGCTTTGCGCGACACGGATGACTTGGGCTTTGCCTTCGCAGCAACGGGCTTGGCCTTGGCTTGCTGTTTCTTGGAGCGCGTGCTTGGTTTGGCCTGAGCCTCTGGCTGAAGCTGGGCTTTCAATGATTTCTTGGGACGAGTACTGAACTCCTCTTCCATCTCCAGATCTGTTTCAAGAAGAAGGCCGAGAGCATCCGCTTTTGGTTGTGTTTTCGGAATACTTTCGTTGGCAATATCGGAGCCGTCGGGAACGAGCTCGCCATCGTCGTGGTCATCGTCATCGCCGTCAAAATATGTCTTCTTGGGCACACGCCTCTGAGGACGGATAGGTCGTCCACCTTTGTTTGGCTTAGGTTCCGGTGCATCTTGATTGGCCTTCTGTGCTGTAAGCAGTACCGAGCGGCCCACGACAGCATTGGCGTTGCTCTCTGGAGTCTTTGCCCTAGGAGACGCCATTTTGGGGAGACTTGACTGACGGCAAGGTCTCGAGACAAAATGACCACAGAATCCAGTAGGAGTGGTGTTGACAGTCTGAGGCGACCTGTATAAGGACCTTGCACGACGGGATCGTGTGGGACTGTCCTCTGCAAGGCAGTCACGAAGGAATGAAATTGGCAAAGGCTGACTGGGCCGTGGCAAAGACTCTGGACGAGAGGAGTGTTTTGGGGGTAGAAAGGGTTTGCTCGTAGTCAGTGTCATCGATGAGCTTCCGCACCCAATGCCACTGCAATTTCTTTCGCTCAGAAGTTCATGCAACCTCGAACGAGAAGGTGCGACCTGCGAAGCCTTACCGTGTCAGGAGGCAACAGTGCCTTCCTGCGAAAGGAGGAAGTCACGACCGCCGAAGGGTTCCTTCCAAATTGAACGCATAATGCCCCAAGTTTCTATGGCTGTCTCTAGAGCCGGTAGGTGGTCCATTTCAACATCCATCGGACGTCTGTGTATAATTGGGTATACCTACCTTGGCAGGTAATTGTGCCTCCCTCTGTGCAAAAAGGGGCATCGACCCCATTTTGTTCTATCAGAAAATCGCGATAAATGGTTATTCTACAGTCTCGTAATGAATCTTGCGATCGTTAGAGCATCATGCCCAAAACAGTGATTCATGGCACCGGGCCGCCTGATTTTGATAATCAGGGCCAATAGCGAAAGGAGTATCCAACAATATTGAGGGCATTCCCGGCTACATTCACTCTTCATACAACTGCCAGGAAATCGCGCGTGCACCTCAATCCAGTCCCACAATCGCAACCGAGATACTTCCCAGGATGCCATTGAGCGATTGATCTATCGAGAATCATCAACATGAAGTCATAATTAAGTTGCATGGATGACGATCGACCCAATTTGCCAAGGTGCGGCGTGGGCCTGCTTCGTTAGTTAAGAATGGAGCACTATCGGCTAAGCACATGGTACGCATTCCTGTTTGACATTAAGCATCTCGGGCACCGCCTCACAGCTGCGTCCAACCGCCAAGCAGACCCGCCCACTGACAGCCAGCGGGGAGCCGCTGGAATGACAGGATCCAAAACCTTATCCCAGGTAAGGTAATGCCAAAGCTTAAAATGCAAAATGGACTTCCCCTACGACGATCAGACAGCATATCCCGACTCTCGACTAAGAACACATGGCAGTCGATCATTGTTTCAATTCCACAGAACAAAGTCGACGTGCTGACGCCCGGATCAATGCGAGCGACGCTACCAGGATGGCATTTCATCTTGGTACATGTCTAGCGAATTCAACACGTTCATCAATTGACATTTTCAATACGCGCAAAAACAGAGGTATGAATATTGTGTTTCCTTATATTAACCTTGTATATGAAGGGTATCGTCGCGTCGTGCGGTATGTTATGGTATGTTACGTTTGTATGTATGTACAGATTTGGGTTCGATCCCGGGATTCCATTCCTATCCTCTATCCGTCTGAAGCCTGTCTATCGTGCCCTGAATGACTAAGGGACTATCCGCAACTGGCTGCTCGAGAGCCCTCCTGTAAACGCCGTCAAGGTGTTTGGACTTCCGGCACGCTTCTCCGCTGCTCTCTCTCACCGATCACGGTCGACTTGCTTGGCGTCAATGGCTCAAGCTCTTCCGCGTGACGCGAGTAGGCGCGCTCTCCGTCTCCCCGTTAATATTTTGCTGATGAACCGAACTGAACGCGTCTTGTTTAGTGCATCAGCTGCATCTGGGCTTGCCTCTCCGCAATTTTCTGCTGCTTCTCATCATCGTTGAGCAGTTCGAAGGCAGCGGTATCCTCGTCCCATTTCCTGACGCAGTCAAAGTTCCAATTGCAGTGCTCGACAGGGCCGTATACAGGATGGTTAAACCTAGGATGTCGGCTGGGCCAATTTGACGCGTGGTAGTGGTGCTTAACCAGGGCGCCACGGGCGTTATGGTTGCCCGAGTCAGAGTGACCCTGGCCCGCTGCGAAGGCCTCGACGTCGAGGACTAAGATGCGACTGATGACCTTGGACTCATCAAGCTCGTGGAAGTTGTCCCATGTAATCTGGGGTGTACCTCGAGGGCGGTTCTCATTCATCTCCTCGAGCACCGCACCAGTGAAGGCTGATGGTCCAGTACCTGAGATGACGGCGTCAAAGTCCAAGACAACCTCAGAGATGGGGACATTTTGCTCGCGGGCCATGCCCTCTAGCCACGACATGATGTTCTCAATCAGACGCATCATCACGGGCAGCTTAGGTCGGCACATGAAAGTCCATTGGCAGAATGATTGAGACTTTTTGCCTAGAATGGGATGATCCTTGAATTCCGGTTGGTCGATTTCCACGCCGATGACCATGTCGACGTCCTCCTCAGCATACCGGTGATCCGGAATGAATCTGCCGACTGGCTTCAGCGCCTCTACGTCGATGTCGGCGTAGACGCCGCCTTCAGCATACATGATCATGTAACGAAGGAGATCAGCCTTGATAATGGTGGCATTGATGGTGCGATACATGTCAACAATGTCCATTCTGTTGAAGCCGCTGGGTCCGAAGTGCTCCTCGACGTAGTTGAGGTCATTGGAATCAGTCAGGACCTCATAGCGGAAGTCCGGGTTCTTTTGCGTCCACGTCTTGGCCGTAGTGGAATCTCGCTCATCGAACTGCAGCGGATCGATCTTCCAGGTCTGCCATATCTTCTTAGGAAAGCCACCGGGGCGGGCCGTCAACGGCCTCTGCTGCACGTGCCTCTTGCTGAATACTCTGTGCTTGGGAATTGAGATGGCGCTGAAGAGGTCTGCATTGAGGATGATGAAGAGGACACAGATGAAGCCCAAATATAGTGGAACACCTCTCCGGACCTGGGTGGGCACGCGATTCCTGAACTTGGCGAGGCCAGGCGTGCTGGGCAGCGACCGTGGGCTGAGCGGCGACAAAGGCGAGGACATCTTGGGGGAACTCATCGTGTGCGTGCGTCTCTGTGTTGTTGCTCTTATGGTCGTGGCTGGCGGCTGCTGACGGTGCTGACTGACCTCCAAGCTTCAACAAAAGAGTCAACGCGCAGAATCGAAGTGTTGTTGTTGGCGTAAACCAGTCACAGCTGGAAGATGGAGAAAAGGCCGGATGCAATGGTCAGGAGAAAACGAGGGCCGGACCCTGGCATCATATCTGGAGAAGCTTTTGATGGGATGGGTCCAGATCAATCAGAAGTAGCACCACCAACAACTGACCAGAGGTACTTTCTTACACCACCCCCAAAATGTTCCCCGGTCTGATTACGCGGGGGGGAGACCCAGCCGAGCTGTCGGGGAGAAACTCAAAAGTCTCGCAAGCATCTGCCAGGCGCCTGGTGTCGTGCTCTCGGTGATCGTCGAATCATTGCTTTCGCTCTTCTCGCTTGTCCAAACGAAGGAATCCCATGTGGAGGCCATCATCGCGGTGGGACGGCCGAGAGAAGGCAGCCGCACCGAGGTCGCTGGGGGGCATGTCGAGCAACGGTCCAGGGGAGAACCTGGAAGAGCTGTACCTGCCCTGGTCTGCACAAGTTTTGCAGGGCACGGCATCTCGCATGTTACTGCACAGCTGCACAGCGGGCGGAATGGTGGTGTGGGAGGGCTGCAACCAATGCAAAGCCAAATGACGCCGGCACACAATGAATACGATACGAGCGAGCACATAGGCGACGCACCACAATGCACACAGAAGCAAAGTCAATCAGAACCGCAATAGAAAGGTGCAGCGGGGCTTGATCCGCACCCCGCCATTGCATCGGACACCATCGTCAGGGAATAAGGTGTGGATGTGTAACGGTGGCCGTCCTTCTAGCGCCGGTCGACCTGCCCTCTTGGGGCAGCGCACTGGGCGATCGCGATGAAGTCGCCTGTCGTTGGCTGATCTCAATGCAACCCACTCCCTGTCCGTCCTCGATAGTCAGGGCCACTCTGCTGCCGCAAAGCCCTGCAAGAACCCATGGCGCATCCATGTTTCTTTTGTTGGACGCTGTCGCAACATCCATGATTCTTTCTGCACATATCCCCTGCTGCTCGGCCTTTTGAGCTTCTGGCGAGATTGGAGATACCGCGGGACGCTCACCCCTTTATTTCCTTCACATGTCGCCAATTTCTGCCCTGCCCGCGCCCCTATCATGCATGTGATGCGATAATCTTATCGTTCCCCTCAACGGCACAGACTTCTGTCAGGCCCTCCACGCCGAGAGCGCAGCGTTCTACCCTGCTTGTTAACGCCTTCACCGGTATTTGTTCGTCCTTCCGGTGTCTCCGCCGCGCGGCAAGACGACTTTCTCCTCGCCAGAGACGTCATCCTAACCTAGAGATACTGCATTGTAAAGCCCGCTTGCCTGCTTGTTCGTGCGTTTTTGCCCGCTGTCAGACGCTTATCGCACTGCCGTCCGTGTCTCAGCCAGCCGAGAAGCTCTTTCTTACAAGCCGGTGGCACTTCTTCCTTCTCGATCACACATTCGCATCCTCACCCAACCCCCAATCCAACCCAATCCCGTGTGTGCCGTTCCGAAGGCAACCCCGCGTCCGACCGAGAGACGGCGTCGGGTTACTAAACGCTAGAGCATCTGGAGTCGAGATCCAAGGAAACTCTTGGAGAGAGTTGGCACACTTCCTTCCCCCGCATCTCCTCCCTCCCCCGCAAAGAGCTGAGGAGGAGCGCTCGACCTCGGGCTATTTGTGTCTCGTGTCTCGGCGTGCCTTTGCTTGTGAAAGTGGGCTCGACTTCTCTCACCGTAGCTTTCACCAGATAGACGCCCAAGGCGAAGGGAAGGGATCAATAGCGTCGTCTATCCGTTGAGGGAGGCTGATTGACTGATTCGATCCAGCCATTGCCGTCATCGGGATCAGGCAAACTATTCTTCATGAGCTCGTTCTTCCAGAAGTTCACAGCCCGAAGGACAGGACGAGGTCCGCCTCTCCCTATTTCTATTCAAACCAGAGATCTGGGGATCTCACCAGCATCACCTATCGTCAGTCCCATCCCAAGCCTGTCTGACACTGAGAGAAATATGTCTCCTCAGCAGGGTTTGGGCATCCTCGACGCTGCGGAATGGGACGAGGTCAAGCAAGACTGGGAAACGAAAGCGCCGTGGAAGGCTGAGTGGAAGCCAGCCTCTCCCGGACTTATGTCGCCAAGCCTGCGGTCCCCCAAGGCTAGATGGGCCCTGAACCGCCTCAAGTCAGTGGTCTTCCCAAAGTCACCAAAATCACCCAGTTCTTCCGAACCACTACGAAGAACGGCCTACTTAGACGGCTTGCGAGGATTCGCAGCTTTTCTTGTTTACTGGCATCATCATGAGCTTTGGGCTCATGATGGGGCCTCGCAAGATCCTTACTTTGAAAGTGCCTTTGGCTGGAACGGCAGGCACTATTTCGTCACATTACCCGGTGTGCGGACCTTCTTCACAGGCGGTCACTGGGCAGTGGCTACCTTTTTCGTGATTTCGGGCTACGTCCTGTCAGCGAAACCTTTACAGCTCATACACTCCGGTCAGCAGGACAAGCTCGCGGACGTCTTGTCGTCGTCCTTGTTCAGACGGTGGCTCAGACTCTACCTGCCTCTCATCGCCGTGACATTTGTATACATGCTCACATGGCACCTATTTGGCGGTCTCTGGATCGATGCCGTGGAGAAAGAAGGCAGCTTGAGGGCTGAGCTCTGGCACTACTACGCCGAGTTCAAGAACTTCAGCTTCATTTTCAATTGTGGTGGTGAGCCGTGGTTCAGCTACAACGTCCACACGTGGTCCATTCCCGTGGAGTTTAAGGGATCAATCGTCATCTTCACCGCCCTCCTAGCCTTTGCTCGCTGCACTAGGAACGCGAGATTGTGGTGTCAGGTTGGCCTGATCAGCTATTTCATGTACATATGCGACGGATGGTATTGCGCCATGTTCTGCTCGGGCATGCTACTCTGCGACCTCGATCTGCTGGCGGCCGAGGGCAACCTACCGCAGGCTCTGGCTAGTCTGGAGAAGTACAAGGAGTTCATCTTCTACCACATGTTCGCAATTGCCGTCTACTTTGGGGGCATTCCCTCCATGGACCAGGACGTCGAGACGCTCAAGAAGAACCGTGGCTGGTACTACCTGTCCTACCTCAAACCACAGGCCGTCTTCGACTACAAGTGGTTCTTCCTCTTCTGGGCGGCCACCTTCACCGTAGTGGCGTCCTCGCGGATCTGGTGGCTCAAGAGGTTCTTTGAGACGCGGTTCTGCCAATACATGGGCCGCGTGTCCTACGCCTTCTACCTTGTGCACGGGCCGGTGCTGTGGATCGCGGGCGACAGGCTGTACACGGCGGTGGGATGGGGCAAGGAGAACAGCGTCAACCACCTGCCGTGGTGGGCCAACTCGCTCGTCCTGCCGAAGACGAAGCCGATGGGCATGGAGCTCTCGTTCATGCTGCCGCACATCATACTGCTTCCGATGACGCTGTGGACGGCGGAGCTCGTCACGCGGTTCGTGGACGAGCCGGCGGTGCGATTCGCGCAGTGGTGCTACAAGAAGGTGCTGAACCCGCAGGCCGCGGCGCCGGGGCCGAGCTTGAAGGCCTAATGAGACAGCTCACAAGAGGTGGAGTTGGGGGCTTGTAATAACACCACTGCACATCTACCGGTATCCCTGGGGCTGGTACACGTGTAGAAAACATCAATCATGCAATTACGATAGTGTATTTTCCAACGGGGCGCTCCACAGAGGAAAGAAGTATTTGTCTGCTTGTACATAACACATGACACATAACATAATAGCACATTGCACTATATATACCCGGTTATTCTAGTCTAGACACAGAAATCTGCATTACTATATCTTCAATGTTCAACATTCAACATTGTGTCTAATTGTAATTGGCTTTCTGCTCTTCGTGCTTGTGGGAAGTGACAAGAGGGGAATTGAAGCCATCGCCAGTCACGTATCTGTCTGTGCTTACACGCTTCCTCTCTATGCGAGTCTCGGTGTGTGTGCGTGTGTATTGAGCAATTGGTCGCGTGCTCAATCCTACTCTGACTCTATGAGTCTCTGACTCTCTTGCCAAGGTCACCCACATGCCGGCAATTCCACCACATCCGATTGTACCGTCGATAGATAGATGGAAAGATAGAAAGATAAGACAACAAAAACGAATGGAATCTGCAGTATCTCTCATCACACACAGACCACAATGACGTTGGCAGCAGCTGTGGTGTGCTGTGCAGTCCCTGTAGAGTAGTGGGTAGTGGGTAGTGGGCAGTGGGTGTATGTAGGTTAGGGAGACCCGCAGCGGACGAGGCTTCCGAATTGAGCTGGCGATCTGCATGGGGCCGTGAGGGGAATAGTGGGCTATTACCCACCAGACTACTACTGCATAGTACCTAAACTGAAGCCAAGAACGGGCCCCCGGGCCCCCGGCACCGTTGCACCAGCGATTCAATGGGGTAATAGCGCCCATTTGCGGCGCTACATGTAGAGGCCAACGCCAATGCCAATGCCAATATTCCTCCCATGTCCTTTTACGCTGGTGATTGACAGCCCACGAGAGCTCACCCTCTCCACCGTACTCCAGCCCAATATGCAGTATTATCGCTAGGTACTCTCGGTACTCTCGGTACTATACTGTGTATGTAGTGCAGTGGAGAGGAGAGGGTGAATTTGGCTGATTGATTGATTGACTGACTGGCTTAGTAGGTACTCTCAGTACTCTGGTACTCTACAGCAAATGCGCGATCGATTTGGGTTGTGTGTTGCATATCGGGACAGACAATCGAGGTGTGGCACACAGCTCAGCTTGCAGCTGGTAATTTTAGTGCGCTGTGCCGGTAAACTACTGCATGGTACTGCGTATGGTCACTGTAGCGTGGTGACTTGTGAGGAGAAAAAGCCGCTGTACATGTACCGTGTAGATCGCTGTGGTGTTCTATCTCTTGCCTCTGCCGCGGCCTCCGAATGGAACAGGAACAAAACTAAACACATGTGAAAAGCAGGATGCACGCATACTACACTACGCACTACGCACTACGCACTACGCACTACGCAGTCTCGCAGTACACACTACGCACTCGCTCGCAACGTTTGCCCTGACTAAGGTTAAGGCAAGGTGCAAGGTGCATAGCTGCTGCATATACACTACCGTTACCACTGTAGGTAGTAGCGAGTACTGTAGTACTCTTACCACCGTCACCGTATCTGCACCATACTGCATAGTACTGTAAGGCTCCATCCAGTTCACCTGCAGATACAGTACAATCGGCCAGCAGGATTCGCTGTTATCATTCGGCAGAGCTGTGGCTGTGGCTGGGAAAGTGGTGTGAAGCTCGGGACTCTGCCGGCACTGTGCTCATCAGCATCTACAGTACATGTACAGTATCTCATCTTATCGCTCCACCCGTGACAGCGTCACAACAACAGACCGGGGACAGACAGACAATCGCTGTCTTTTGCCTGCTACCGGAACCCGAGTGGCTCTGCGTATCGCTGCATCTCTCTATCTCTCTATCTCTCTCGGCTTGCAACGCAGTGACGTGACTTCACCGCGGCGCTTATCGGCACTTGGAGTAGAGAGAGTCTGAGAGACAGACCTTCCCCGGAGCTGGACCTGAACCTGGAAGTGAAGCTATCCACGTGAAGCTGATCTCATTGCGGAGAGAGCTCCACCGTCAGCTCCGTCCGCGGGTCACCTGCAACTCTCCAGCTTCGGGTTTTGGGTCTGGGGTCTGGCTCGTGCAATTCCCCATCAGCCCAGCCCAGCCCAGCCTGCGCGCGCGAATAACGTCAATCTCTCGGGGGGTTTGCAATCCCCCCTGCCCTGCCCTGCCCTGTCCAGTCCAGTCCAGTCCTGCTTCCGTCCTGCTGAGTACTGAGACCGAGTGCGCACGCATACGCACGCATACGCAGGTGCAACTCCTCCGGTCTGGGACTGAGTTGCGCAACCACTCACCAGCCGCTACGATGCTTGTCAGAGACCTCAAGCGGCTGGTCTTCGTCATCGGGCCACTGCTCGTCTTCTTCCTCGTCGCGTTGCGATGCTTCAACTGGAAAGACCCGGCCACTCTCCGGTCCCAGCTGGGCCACTGGAACGAGTGGATTGAGCACAAGTTCACCCCCGAGGCCGACGGCCAGCTGCCGCTCCCTGACATCTCCGGCCTCACCGGCGACTCCAGCGTCTTCGTGCCGCCTGTCCCCGGCTCCGGCCCCGACCCGGACCCGGACGACGGCAAGACACATCATGAGATCTTCTCCGTGTCCACGGCCGATAAGAAGTACTTCAACATCACATTCGGCGACAAGCCGTCCTTGAACCCCAACATCATCCCGCACCCCGTCACCGACGGCACTTGGATCATCGTCGCCCAGCTCAACAACATAGACGACCCTAATCCATCACCATGGTTCGCCGAGTTGGTCTGCGACGCTGTCTTCGGCCCCGAGGGTCTCCAATGCGCCGGGCAGCCCTCCATCCTGCCCATCGCCGCCACCACCGGCGACAAGTGTGAGGGCGACCTGGGCTACTTCGGCTTCAACGTGGGCCCCCACGATGCTCGTGTCTTCTACGGCCCGCGCACCCCCTACGCCATGTACGGCAGCAACTCCATGTTCACCTGCTTCGGCCAGTGGATGCAGGACTTCCGCGTCCTCGTCGACTGGGGCGTCGAGCTGTTCACGCAGGACGACTTCCGCGTCGGCACCGAGCTGCAGCGGCCCCTGCCCTACAGGCCCGTCGAGAAGAACTGGTTCATCTTCTGGGACAGCCGCAAGCGCATGTACGCGCACTACGACGTCTTCCCCACGCGCGCCTTCGCCGAGCTCAACGCAGACGGCTCCGTCGGCGAGGACCTCGCGCCGGCGGCCGCCGCCCGGGACAACAAGTGCCTGGCCGCGTACATGCCCACGCTGCCCGAGAAGCTCGAGTCCATCCACCAGGCGACCAACTCGCTGGCCATCACGCTGTGCCGGCGCGCGGACCCCTCGTGCCGCGCCGCCGACGACAACACGTTCGTCTTCACCATCATCCAGCACAAGACCTTCTACCGCTTCCACTCCGCCTACGACCCCTACGTCGTCGTCTTCCGCCAGCGCGCCCCCTTTGAGATCTACGCCATCTCGAAGAAGCCCGTCTGGATCCACGGCCGCGGCATGTATGACGTCGAGCACGACCTCAGCGAGATGTACTACGTGACGTCCATGAGCTGGAAGGCGCGCGGCCAGAAGTATCATGGCTATCTGGACGATGTGCTCTTCCTTGCTTTTGGCATCGAGGACAGGAGGACCGGCGGCATCGATGTCACGGCTGCGGCCTTGCTTGCGAACTTGGGCCGATGTCCTGAGTGAGAGCGTGTCGGCTGTTTACAGCTAACATATTCTGATGGACAGCCACCCTTGATCCGGAGCTGGCTGCAATTCAGTGCGGCTCCGCGACGCTCTGCTGAGTCAAGCACTCGAGCCCATCATTCAAAAGGCGTCCATGTTCGCAATTGTGCACAGAGCGGCCCATATCTGCAACGACACGTAACGCAGCATTCACAGCTACGCGTTCAACGAGTATGATATAACGGAGCGAGTCAAACATGGGAGTGTAGATCCATATTGAGTCGTCTTGTGAAGGAATATATAGCACATTTGATACCCTGTAGTGCGTACCCAATCACGTACATATACACTATTTAGAGAAATGATAGCGAGCATTGACTGTTCTTGATACTGTACACAACGCAGCGTCTCTCAAGTCTTCTGTTTTGCATCACACGACCAAGCGGACCGCAACAGCCCCTCGGCATTCTTGAAGTAAACATCCTCCACTCGCTCATTGCCCACCAGACGTTGCAGACCCTCATCCATCTCTGCAGCAAGCGCCCTCACGCCGCCCGCCTGCGTAAAGGGGAAATCAGACCCATACAGCAACCTATCGGCGCCGACGCCCATCGTCGCCATCATGCCCTCCAGCTGGCCCGGGAAGACCACCCCCGCCAGGTCGAAGTAGAACCGCTCCTGGAACAGCGCCCTCGCCTCGTCCTCGGACAGCGCAGACACGCCGCTGTCGCCGGGGAACGCCTCTGGCACTAGGCCGCTGAACCGCGTCACGCGAGACAGCAAAGGCGCGAAGCCGCCTCCCGCGTGGGGGATGATGAACCTCAGGTTCGGGAAGCGGCGGGGCACGTGGCGGAGGAGAAGGTTTGTTGCTACGCGAGCCGTGTCGAAGAAGAACTCGAACATGGGGTTTGGGTAGGGAGGGAAGAGCGGCGTGGCGGGCTGATAGCTTGGTCTTGACGACGCGCCGTTGATGTCCTGGCCAGTGTCTGCATGGCATGTGCAAGGGCTGGTAGGATGGACGAAGATGATTGCGCCTTTCTGGTCCAGATACTCAAAGACCGGGTCGAAGATCGGATCGCCGAGGTAGTGGCCTTGGTAGTTGGTCAGGAGGCCAATGCCGTCCGCGCCGCCGTCCCGCAGAGCTCTCTCAGCCTCCTGCAACGACTCGTCGATCAGAGGCAAGGGCAGGCCGGCCCAGAAACCAAACTTCTCCGGATATTGCCTCTTGAGATCCGCTGCGAAGTCATTGCATCTGCGGGTTAATTCAACGGACTTTTCGGGTGTCAAGGGATATAGTCCGGTCCCAGGTGAGCTGATGCTGAGTATGCTCTTGCGGATGCCTACGGAGGACATGAGCTTCAGATGAGCTTCCGCATCCCATTCCTATCCGCATGTTAGACTGCGGCTTGAAGTAACTCGGTGGATAAGTACCGGTACTGCAGGCATGCCATCTGGATGGCTGTGGCCCGTGAGAGCAAGCGCTTCCCTGTAGAAAGCGGGTAGGAAGTGTGAATGGACATCGATCCTGTCTATTGAAGTTGACATTATATTCATAGTTGAGCGGGCGTATACTTGTCACTTTTCAAGGTATTACAAGGAGAGAACTTCTGCGTTCGTGATCGAGGTCGGCCATGTCCGGTGTTAGTTGGGGTATCCCGACAAGGCTTTTCGGTTGCACAACTGCGGAGCGCCAAGACGTGGGATATGGTTCAGCCTACACGATGTCTGACTTGAACATCGCGGAATATCAAACGAGGCAGTTCGAAAATCATATTCTATGTTTCTAACCAAAGCAGACTTGAGCTTCCCTCGATACATGGATGAAGAGGCACTTTCTACGTTCAACATTGGCGGGAGTTCTACATAGCCTCGAACGAGGCTCGAGTCGGCTGTGTTAGAAGCCGGCAAAATCGCCAAGCTCAATGTTGGGTACGATATATGGCTGTACCTGGTTTCGCACCAACGTTTTTTGCTCGAACGCATACGCAAGCCCGATGAGTGTCGCCTCGGTGAACTTCCCACCTAGAAAGCTGAGGCCGAAACTGCGGAATAAAAATTAGTACGACTCTTCGATTCAAGACTTGAATAGTACTCACGGAATCTTGGGACCGCGAGTTACAAGGCCGCGAGAGCTTGTTGTAACGGCCGTGTTAGCCGGATAGAAGCCCAGGGGCACTGTCACAATCGGTGCGCCGACAATAGCAGCTCTTCCAGCAGACGAGCTGGTTGGGAGGATCAGAGCATCTAGATTGTTTCGCGCGACCGCGCCAAGCAGCCCTCCTTCACCACCATAGTAGTAATTCTGCTGTAGGGCCTGCCAGAACCGTATGTCGCTATTGTTATATCCCAGGCTCAGAGCTGCGTCCCATGTCGCAGTGTTGCGGTCTGGGTAGTCCTCCAGGGGGAAGCTCTGAGTAAAAGCCCGCAGGTCTGCAAGACTAGTAATCATATTAGGGTTATACGTAAGCTCTGCGAGATAAGCCGCCAGGTCGGATATAAAGTCAGCTTGGAGGACGATGGAACTTGTAGTTGGGTTGGGCACGGTAAAGTTTGCATCAACTATAACAGCTCCTTCGGACCTCATGAGCTCAATTGCCTCGTAGTAGGCCGTCAATTCCGGCGACGCAGTGATAGTGCTGACAACATTGTACGGAATACCGATGCGGGCTCCTTTGAGAGCGCCTGCATCACATGCCGCTACGTAGTCGGGAATCTTGCCACAGTGTGGGATGGCAAGTGTGTAATTGTCCTTGGGGTCTACACCCGCGATAGCCTTCAAGATGATCGCCGCGTCTTTGACAGTGCGTGCCATCGGCCCAATAGTGTCCTGATGAGAGCTGATAGGGATAACCAAGTGACGAGATGTTAGCCCAACTGTGGGCTTGATGCCCACGAGGTTATTCTTCTGGGACGGTGAAACGATTGATCCCGAGGTCTGTCGAAATTAGTGATTGCTACACTTTATTTCCAAGCGATGCGAGGGCAAGTCCAATGGACGATGCAACACCACTGCCACTTGAACTACCACTGGGATCCATATGAGGGTAGTACGCTCCATAGACCTGACCGCCATATGCAGACCAGCCGTTGCTAGAATTACTGCTTCGATAGTTGGCCCACTGGCTCAAATTGGTCTTTCCCAGGATGATAGCTCCAGCTTCTCGGAGTTTCTTCGCCATGAAACTGTCTGTGGGCACTGTGGCTCCTACCAGTGCCCAGGAGCCGGCAGTATTGTTCATCTTGTCTTTTGTAGCAATGTTGTTCTTGATCAATATTGGAATGCCATGGAGGGTCCCAAGGGTTGTTCCATTTGCCCTGGCAGCATCAAGCTCAGCAGCAATCAACAGTGCATCTGGGTTGAGCTCCGTTACAACATTCAGCGTGCTGTTGACTTCCTGGATACGCGCAATATAGGCATTGACCAAGTCGACGCTGGTGAAGAGTCCAGTTTCGAGACCACCTTGGAGATCATCGATTGTAACATCGATCAGGCTCGGGAACTCTTTGCCCTTAACTAAATGGAGAGAGCTGATTAGCAAATGAAGTCGAAACGAAAGAGCAATCATTTCTTACCAGTCAAAGACAAAACAACACTGCTGAACCCCAGCCACGCGAGTGATGCGGCTACGACGAGCCGCTTTACTGTCGCCATCGGTGTCTCAAATCAAATGAGCTAAATAACGACAATGTCAATCGCAACTCGCACCACGGGCAGATAGATATGGCTTGAATGGACTGTCGGCGATCCTGTACTCTTCAAGGCTGGCACTCTCACCCAGTCCGATGCTGCATTGGTGTGGGGGAGTATCGCGATTTAAATGCAGTCACATTTATTATCATGCATGGTAGTAAACGCGGGATTCATATCAAGATGTATTGCCAAGCTCGAAGAAGCCTGTCCCGACTCCCGAGCACCGGAACAGGCCGATTGATATAGCGCCGTTCACCATGTGGATGAGCCTGATAAGGCATTGCGACACCCAGGCTGTTGGGTCCGGCTTTAGCTATCCTCATGGCCTAGGCAGGTCTTCGGCATGCGATAAGAAGAGTATGAAAAGCGAATTTGACGTCACAGGAACGACCCAAAAGTCGAATGTGGCATAGTAAAACGTTCTATCGATATACATGGCTGCCGCCCAGACGCACCTGCCATCTGTTATCGGCGGGGTTCAGGAACCAGGGACAAAAACTCCGCACACACATGAGCACTACCAGGCGACAAGAGCCGCTTGCCCACTCAAAGCTTGAGATTCCAGCTTCCTAAGGCGGCCTTCGCGGAAATAGTTGACAAGACTATTGGCATGGCCAAGCCAAGCCGCGTGGAAGACTTCAGTGGTGCTTCGATCTCGGCATTTACGGCACTTTGACGAACACCTCAAACTTGGAGATTACACTCGAGTATCTATAGATTATGTCATTCATAATCTCTAGCAGAATCTGACATCGCATTTAATTGGTGCTTTAAACAGCGAAGTGACAGCGTCTACTTTTGTTGCGATAAGTCTGCATACGTGTGTCTAGGATGCCTTTAATGACTATGTGTAGCGAGTAGAAGATAGTGAAAGCTGTTGTTGACCTTGACGTATCGCCCCAGTGTTTTCTAGGACACTGTGGAAGCGTTGAACTTGTGCCATTTTGGTGAGCTCCTATCTCCTCTGCAAGTCAGCTCGAATAACCTGTTTATCCTCTGCTTGTGACATGAAAGAGCCCAGAGTATACACAGGCCATTTACCTCTTAAGCTAACGCTGACACAGCTTCTTCTCAAAACGTGATTATATACAGTATATAGAATGCTTGGAAGGTTAAAGTATTACAAATACGTCTAGAGGGTAAAAACGCTATTATAAATCTATAGATCCTCTAGCCTGCAAACTACAAGAGGTCACGTTCCTTTGATTAGATCAATTCTGGCTTTGCTAACTAGCAATGTTTTTCACAAATGGGTGTAGGCGAATGGAGGGGAGTTAGCCCTCAAAGGCTAAGAAAGCAAGTGCTCCAACAGAACAGAGGAGGTATCATCAAGAACATTACGGCAAAATGTCGTTTGCTTTGATTATCTTTTTTTTGGCACGAACCTACAACAATTGAGTTGTTTGAACCTCGAATTTGGGTCGCCCACATTTCCAGCTTCCTACCCGATTCGAGTAGTCCATTTTCCTTCAAGAAAATATACCACATCTAAAACAAGATCACTGCTAAGATATGAAGAAGTTTCTGCAAACTAAACAAATCTTCCATGTGAGGAACAATTTGCAACATAATTTCGAATTCAAAAAATGCTTCCCTCTTTTAGCAAGACCCACGAACGTCGTCAGGATCCGCAAAGCAGGTGCCCTGCCCGTCAGTGCACTGGAAGCCATTCTTTGCAATAGTTTTGCATGCATCCTCCCACTGGTCACCAGCAATTCCCTCTGTACTGTTACGTTGATTGCACTACGGTATCATCAGCAATTCGGGTGTTTGACATTCATTAGAAGCAGAATTTAATTACTCGACCAGCAGCCGTGTCATAAACGGCACCACCCCACTGCGAACATGGCCTATCAGCATGATGTTCTTTAAGGTGTACCGCGACTCGACTCACTTGGTATTTGGCATCGTCATATGTTGTGCAGGCCTTTATAGTTATGCGCCAATTATAACTGTCGCCATTATTGCAGGCACAGCTCGTGTGAAGGTCGGCCATTCTATTGATTATGAGAACTAGTTTATGCCTGGATCGAGCCGGAAATACTCACGCTAACGATGAGAAGACAATGGCGGACAGAAACTTGTATGCTGAAACATACATGATGAAATAAGGACTGATACAATAATTGTAAGTGATGGAAAATTAGAAATAGTGACTTATGGATGAAAGAGAAATTCCGCTGAAGCTCTGGTGGCTGCTGATTGACTATTTTACGTACGCGCGCGCTGATATTTAACCATCATCATACTTATCCATCCAAAAGCCGCGATGAAGAGAATAGACTGCGATATGATGCCTCAGAGAGCTTATACGGATTCCCCGACTCATAACCTAGTCAGCTAGCTATCTCAGCCCGGGACAGAGCCCCACAGCCAGTGCAGATCAGCCAGGGTGTGATCAGGGTCCTGCAGGGACCTTTTGCTAAGTCGGTCCTTTCCGAGACACGCCAACAAAGTCTAATAGCGTCTGCCGTGCAGGGGTGTCTTTGTCAACTTCCTATCTCATGTCGAGGCATTAATTTCGAAGGTGTACCGGTCACTTGGCTGGGCCGATTGGTCGATCGCCAAGAGTGCTCGTTGGTAAGGGGCACCGGTATGACAACCCCAGATGCATTAAGAAAACCTATTCGTAATAATCTGAAGAGGGGACCAAAAGTGGCTGAGTAGAAGGCGATGCCTGCAGCCCTGCATGAAGTGGGCCTGGGCTGGGCGTCCACAATCATTGGTTGCGTCAATGCACATAGGGGTCTTCATACACGTGTAGTTGGCTCTTGGTTATCGTGATGATCTGGTTATAATTGCTCGCCTATAGTGCCAAGTGAGACTTGGCAATACAGTCGCTCGGATCTTGTTCTCGATATCGGCAGATGTATTAATCAAGATGGAACGGACTTGTTTACTAAGGCATGACATGTTTGTTGGAATACGAAGTCAGGTGGATTCGCGAGTTCTCCATTCATCGGGAATAATCCGTCTAAGAATAGTCAAAGAAAGTTATGGAATTCCTCCACCGATCATTAATACGATCAAGCGAGAAACTAAACTTAAAGCACAGTTTATCCAGGTTCGCAACTGCTAAATTCGGATTAGTGAAACAAAACCTTGTATGTCAGGGCTATCTCTTGAGTCAAGCCTTGACCAAACTACAAAACCTCTAAGATATTCCCTAGGTTAGCTTCAGAGCAAGTCAGTAAGTCATCGCGTTCTCACCTCAAGGAAGTTGACTATCGTTTTACACACAAAAACTTGCTGCCATCTTTGATTCACGAAATTTCTATCTCTCCGACATTTTTGCCTCAGCTATCATCATGCTCCCTCTCGTTGTTATAGCTTTTTCTAGCATCAGCTCGTTTGCTAGAGCCGCTCCTATGGCTCTTTCATACGATGATGTTATTGTCTTGAAAACTGATGGCAAATCGGAAATCATGAAGGCAGCCGACTTCGACCAGAAACAAGCTCGAGCTGGCGATTCTTCAGTTGCTCGTACCAACAGCCTCAACCCTAGCAATATGGCTCCCCGAGGCTGTGACAAAAGCAAGGAGATTCAGGTGCTCTCTGATACTGAGTTTCTCAACTGGGATGTTGCCATTTCGCCAGTTGTTAGTAGTCTGGGCGGTGAAACAGCTTCAGTTGCTGTGACTGATGGCTACATGATCGCAAACTCATTGACGGTTACGGAGGGGGTCAATTACACACCGGTCAAGGACATCCTCCAGTTGACGTACTCTATCTCATATGCCGAAACCTGGACCACGCAGCAGTCACAAACCCTGACATTTACGGTCCCTGACAACATGTACGGCGTCATTGTGAGCCAACCATACGTCCACCGCATTCAGGGCAATGTGTTGAGTGGCTGTACCGACAATCCAAGCAACACCACCTTCATGTCAGACACTTACACGAGCCAATCTTACGGCGACCTGAACTGGGTCAAGGGCGTTATCAGACTGTGTAGCAGCGAGACGTACCCTATTCCTTACTGCATCGGTGACGGCAATCACTCTTAACTGATTATACTGTTTAAGAGAAGCCTTATCATTCCATGAAGCTCATGAGGACATCTTAGATGAGAACTTCGGCGTACAACAAAAAACTGATAGGCAATGCATCTTATTTTCCTATCTCTTGAAGAATATTGAATGTATCTATAGCTTAGGAATTTTAGAATTGAGTTGTTATAGACAAACGGCTAATTATAATGATACACGCAAATAGACCTTTTGTCTCGAACGCAAAAGGGTGTGCGAGCTTAGTAGGAGTGGATGTAGTGATCCATCGAGGTCCAAGTCGTAACAAAAGAGATCTAAGTGAGCGTAGTGCTATATATATGACCCAAAAGGAGCCTCTGACGGGCTTAGGTAAGTGTAAGGAGCAGAGGGTGAATTCAACGTGACACCTTTGCTGTGAAACTGAATTAGAAACCATCTCGTAACACCTCAGCCTTATCATGGAATTCAACTTATAACTCATTAACCACTTACCCTGGACCTGAGATGCGTAATTTTCCATGCCCATTTCATCAGTGACTCGAGGCAACACTATCTATAATCACTCGGTCCATCAACACTCTCACTAAATCTAGATTCAGGGCACAGAATCGCCAGTCCTGCCGAAGTCCAGGTTATCAGGCCCGGCCCCGTTTGAAGGAGGTGAAGATGTATATCATTGGGGTATAATTTCGGCCTTACCTTTGCTTTTTACCTTGCCTGATGCTCCACATTGTCAACGCCCTATGACTATTATTCGCTTGCATCTTGATCTGTTCCACGCTTCCATGGTCTTTCCTTTCGTAGCTAGTGTATAGTCAGCCAATACACCAGGGATCTGTCCCTTGTCTGACGAAAAGGAATACACTTGAGAGCCCAAGGTTGTATAAACAGCCGGCCGGCGCTTGAGCCCCTATGCTCACAAAGATTAGTTCCGCCGTCTAAACGTTCAAGGTCATAATGAGTACGAACTCGGACGCGGTGAAGAGAAACATTTTTTGACACGTGACTGGAAAAGCACTGCAACGATCGCGCATTCACCAGTGTTTCTTAGTGCCTTCTAGCTGTATGCTTATCCATCCTCCGCCTCATCCTCCTCGAAAGGGCCTATCTCTAGGCACTACTATGTACTAGACAATAGATCCCCGCCCCGTATCATATCAAATCAACACAAGTGTCTGCAACCCTGCTGTGTATGGGAAACTCCCCTTGTTGTGTCGCTGGATCGTTCCTTTCGTGCTTCGTGATAGAAGAGATTCTTTTTTGACGATATCAAGCTCTCTACAACCGACAACCCGTGGAACTCGGCGCTGATAGTCGTGAAATGCTACATAACAGTGAGTTTAAGAAGGATTGGATGTGCATAATACAACAGTCTTGTCTGTAGTTTTACGCGGAAGGGTTGGACTTCCTCGCATATGTCGATTGCTTACCCCGCATCTGCTGTAGTCTTTATACACTTCAGCATGCGAGTTTCTTAAGCCTGCCAATACCTGGGATGATTATTGGTTCAGTTGACAACGGAGACAGGCCACAGACAATTAGCTCCAAGGCATTCTAGTCGTTCGCCTTGCGGACCTCAAAGAGGGTGTGAAGCCACCCCTGAAAAGCAGCAGGCTGCGTGCTGTCAACACGTCACCACTGTTTTTATTGGGTCTTGACATTTCCACGATTTAACAATCCCCGGACATGCGTGAAAAGTAAATGTCCGAGACTGTTTCATTATGCAGCTTACTCAACCCCGATTGAACTTGCAACTAGAGACAGGATATCGGTTTTGTTTTACCCATAACACAAAGCTTGGTTCCCAGCTCGCATCAATATTTGCGTTTGCATACTGTGCTGTGGACATTGAATGACTTTTATAAACATATGGCCCAGACTCCGAAGAATAGCTGCAAAGGAATTCAAGTCTACAAATGGACAAAGGGTATGTCATTATGGATCAACCTTGTCGTATATTTGCTCATACAATCTTAGGGTCATGGGAATGGGATGTGTCCAAGATATATCACGGGTCTCTAGATCCATCTGAAGACCTGCAAGGCTCAGCTACGGAAGTAGCGGAGTCTGCCGACGTGGCAATCTTGTACTATTGTCGATACCTTCTTTCTGTGGTAAACTAACCAGGTATTCAGTGTTTCACCCCACGAAGATCTTGTAAGATGCTGTCGCTTATGTGAGAACTGCTTGAACGGATGTTTCGATTTCCTCCCTACTTGGTGGGAGGAGCCATACATCAATTCAAACGGATACTTTGGGTATCAAAATGAATCAGACCAGAATGGAAAGACTGTGGGAGTCAGTGAGTATTTCCCGTCAGTCGAACCAACCCCCTCCGCCAAGTAGCTGACCTCGATAAGGTACTTGGTCTCGCTTTCTATTGCAGTACTTTGTGATCACACACTACAGTACCCACGAAGATATTCATCACCAATGGCGAGATATCATAGCTTTTACTCATTGGCAGAGTTCGTCCAACAAAATGCGGATATTTTTCATCAGATCTCACGAACCCGTCGTGGCTCGATTAATTCGTCGATTTCTAGACGCATTGACAAAGGCCGTTCTGACTGATCCATTATGGCCTTACACGAGCATCCTCGAAGAAGTGATTAGTCCTCAGCACCTGGCCACCTTAGACATTCGTAACATGATAGAATTCGAAGAGCACAGAGAAAATGCGAGAAGATTGAAGCCACAAGCAGATTATCCCCGGTTACACGAGGTAGCCAGACACGCGATTACCGTTACGGAAATTCTTGAAGTTAATGTCAGAACGCTTGACTCAATCGTGAAATGCCATGACCGCTTCGCAAATCCGAATGCCTTAGCATCAGCAACCAAGCGTGAGCTGCAACAGACCCACCAGCGATTTCTTTTCCAGTCACACATGGTTTACAGCATCCGCTGCCGGTGTACCTCATACAAGGAGAGAATCAGGAACGAAATACAGCAAGCATTCAATCTTGTAGCGCAGGAAGATGCACGGACTTCGGTGGACATTGCCGTCGCTACCAGAGCAGACAGCCAAGCATTGACATCTATGGCGTTTGTCACTCTGATTTTCCTCCCACCAACATTCATCTCTGCGGTATTCAGTACTACATTCTTTGACTTCGGATCAGACTCGGATTCGTGGAAGGTGTCAAACAAGTTCTGGATCTATTGGGCCTGGGTCGTCCCGACGACAGTGATTGTTGCGTTGATTTACCATCGACACATGTTGCGAAAGTCTGCTGGCAATCTTGCGCCGCAGCTGCTCAGACGGAGAACTACGGCACTAGAAACCATGGAATTAGCAATCTCCAACAAGTAATAGCCAATCTAAATATCTTGCAAACTTATAAAGAGGTGCAGATAGTATTACAAATGATTGGTTTCGGAAGCTCAATGACGGTACATCTGTTCCTATCGCTATGAAGAGAACAAAGATTGTGTGATCTAGGGCGACCCTATATGAGCTAAGTTTCCACTAATATGCATGATAAGATGGATGATTTGTCTTATAAAGGTAGTTTCGATTCGATCAATTTCATATGTCTGATCATTAGGTTCGTTCATTTTAGCAGCTTATACGAGGCCAAATACGGAGGCAAATACTTTATTGTGGTGATGGTTTGTCTGTCCCATCTACGAGATCTTGCCGCTATTTGGGGAAGTCTCAAGATCTTGAAGGCGTAGTGGCCAGGTTCTATATGACCACGCGTCTGGTGGCTTCTACGATTTGAATAACCCAAGTTCAACGGGTGCAGATCTTATCTGATCCGCTTGGATCTCCTGAACAAGATCATTTCCTGGATACTCGTCCAGATTGAGATCTACGTATCCTCTGGAGGCCCATTTCCTTGCCGCGACAAATAATGAGCGGCCATTGATGTTTTGGTCGCTTAATATGCGTAGTAGACACTCGCCGGCATCTTCAGCTTTAGCGAGCTGTACCCCCGAATTCTCCACATGATCGAAAGTTTTCTCGGTCAAGATTTTGGTTCTGACGTACCTGCATACCATCAACAGACTGGACTAGTTGTACAGAAGCATCGCACCTACCACGGGGAGATCATATTAATCCGACTTCCATAATAGAAAGCCGTCCGCCGCATCGAGTGCATGATGCCTCGCATTGCCCACTTAGTACTCGAATATTGAGGACCTCGCGGGCAATCTAGATATGATGCCCCCGATCCAATAAGGACTAGGCAAGTATCCTCCTGGTGCGGCGAGACTTCTGTTCCATTCTGCTTGATGAAATAATGTAGAGCCAATTTCACTGTATACAACACACCTCGCAGGTTAACGTCAATGATGTCAAGATTGGGTCTCGCCGGTTCCGCGTTATGGCCTAAGGAGCTAGTTAGTACGGTGATTACTCACCTTGATGAAATGCACATACCGTCGAATGAGAAAACCTCGTCCTCATGTGTGATTCCAGCATTCGGAACAACGTAGTGGAGATTTCCCGTCGGAGAGAATGCAACCGCTTCGCGGAAGAGCTGTACTTGGTCTTCCCACCTCGTGACGTCGCATTGCACAAACTTCGTACTGCAAATGACTGTTTAGCACGAGACGCGACGCGCGTGGTTGTAATCTAGTACTTAGGTAACTCAGACGCCAACTTCGTTCCTGCTTCCAGACTTCTGTCTGCGAAACAAACGGTAACACTTTCTGATCAGCTGAAATAATGACACTTTGATCGTTCCATTGTGTAGCCCAGACTCACTTTGCACTGACAAGTGACCGAACATATGCTTTACCGATGCCGCTGGCTCCTACTTGTGGTCAGCAGTAGCGCAGGCGCTGAACGACAGGAGACGATGCAGATGCTGACCTCCAGTGACAAGAGCCGTTTTTCCAGCTAGGCTACTGGTGTCAAAATTGACAGTACAGTCCACCGGATGAGAAGGAGATGAGCTTGTCATGGCTTGTGACATTATGATTAGTTTACAGTAACTGAGAGCTTAAATATGAATCGTAACCAGAAATTACACAGTATTGTCCATTAACATTCCTGCGGTTCTTACCCCGAAGGGTTTGACCCCGAACACTTATACCCCCAAGAACATCAAGACCTCTAGTCTAATGCAACATGCTTATTGCGCTAACCCATCCGCCCCGCAAACCATAATTTTGAGCAGGTACCGAAAGATACTTGGCTACGGTGTCTTGCGCGAGGTGACTGCATTGCATAACGTGGGGGAGCATGACATTAAATCCCTAGACCACGTGGTCTATCTCCACAAATTGCAGGAAAGGAGATTTGTACTTGTTGTGGATGGTGATGATTCCGGTTGCCATTCTACAGACCAACTGTACCATTACAAATCAACTGTATGTAGAACCATGGAGGTGTTTGGATCTATAAGCACCTATGCGTAGCGCACGCTCTTCTTTCATGTTCTTCACCATTGCTGATCTCACGCTTCTTCCGTGACCCGTTCTATAACCCTTTGAGACTTGAGAAGCTCCCCTTCTGCTCCATGCGTTGTTATATTCCACTGCATCTCGGTGGGTGGCAATGCCAGCTTCCTCTCGCCTCGTTTCTCACGCCAGTAATTTGTCGCCTTCAACAACTCTGGGCAGCCTTTTAAAGTCCACCCCCATTTCCGTAAGAATGTGGTGCTGGCTTCCCAACCATGGGGATCCCACGGCTCACCCCAAACTATGAGAGCCGCCTTTTCAGCAGGATTCGCTGAAGTATCAAACTCGACTATGTCGTAACACAGCTCATCCTCATCTATGATCTCGTTTTCGATCGAGGCCAGAATGGTGTCTCGTAATTGAGGCCAAGGCAAGAGGTCAATCCAGGGATGGTGTGTGATGGAGGCTTGAAGCGCTGTCGGTCGGAGATTTTCTGGGTAGGAAGCAGGGAGCGCACTTATTGCGTCTTGATTGGGAGATGGCCCGCACAGGCCAAAGGGCGAAACAGAATGGCAGTATAACCAAGCAGTGGACAAACCCAACATCAACGAATTTCCCGCTAGAGCATTGTGAAGATTGATTTGCACAACTCTGAGGAGGTTCTCGGGACGGGTATCATGACCAAGGTATCTCGCGTAGGCTTGCTCGGAATATTGTCGTACTAAATTTAATCTCGTAGCCACCCTGTCGAGCTCTTGTTGCTCCTCCTCTTTAGGAGGCTCACAAACAGGGTTCACGACATCCAATGGCGCCGCATTGTGTTGCTTGATGCAAAAGGCTTTGTTCTTTGTTGCTAACTTTCTTCTTCCTGTGTCCTCAAATGTTATGAAAGCCACCTAAGTAATCAGAGCTCGATTTTGACTAACTGTATGCTCTTTGGTTGAGGCGGTTCTGTAGCTTCCTTCTTTCGTCTGTACTAGTCACGCCGGCCCAGTCCTCATTGTTTTTCCAGATTTGGAGCTGATGTGACATAGGATGCACCGGAATCCGGACATGTTGCTCGGGAGATTCGTCATGCTCCATGTTGGCTTTCCGGAAACAGGTCGTAGGGCTTACGCTCGATCTACTTCAGGATCTCCTTTTATGCAGGGTGCTGATATTTAGTATGATTCAGATGGGAATTCGAGGACTTAAAAGCTTGGTGGGGAATCGGCACTTTGTTTAAAGTTCTCGTGCATGATGGTGTCTTGGGTTTGCTGCAACCTGCTTACGCGCTAAGTCCGCCAACGAATCATATTACATCCAACGACCCAGAATGTTCGCTAGTGTACTTCCAGGGAAGTCACATCGGTACCTAACCTGCTATGGTGCTTGATAATGGAAATAAGGAAAATAATGCTGGTATGGATAATCACGTAGATTAGGCGGTGTCAAGTTCTGACCTCCCATTTTGATAAAAGTGAACACTGGGGACCAGTGTATATTTGCTAACGTTAGTAGCTACTAATTAATAATAATCATACTACGTTGCATTATATGTAAAGTGTAGCATGGATTGGGATCTTCAGTTGTGGTGAACACGGAACAACTTTAACTCAAAATACCTCGCGAGTTTGGTGCCCCCGTGTGGTTCCATCAATGAGTCCATCGGGCGTGAAGAACACCCTAAATGGCTTCAAGGCATGGCTAAATCTCGTAAATGTCATAATATGGTATAGCAGGTTAGATTCCAATGATAATGTCCTAATTGTCAGCAGGTGGCATTGCTAGAGCGTTCGATCCTTTGATGTCAGGGCAAGGCATCTGACGCAGGCTGCCTTTCATGCTATGTAACCAGTTTCTCATCGTTAAGCCCGAAAAGCACGTTTAACTCCTATTCCGATCCATATATTGTAGCCATGAACCACCTGGCTGTTTCGTTACGATTGGCTGAGTCTCTGAGAGAAATCCTTGCAGCACCGTCTCCCATTTCTATATATTAACCTAAAAGATCCTGTATCAGTCTAATCACCTCTGCTGTGAATTATATTGAGTGAGAGTGACTTGGATAATATTGCGACACCCTCAGTACTCATAATCTGAACTAGCATTCTACTTCTCGCAAAGTTGGCTAAATCCACGATGGCAACAGACTACGTATTCGAGGGATGGCTTGGTAGTTCCCCGGAGGATGTTAATGGAGGGATGAAATGGGGCACATTTGAGCCTAAGAAGTGGCAGGAAGACGATATTGATATTCAGATTTCGCACTGTGGTGTTTGCGGATCAGACCTTCATGTGCTTCGTTCAGGCTGGGGCAATACGCCATATCGTGAGTCAAGATCAACTGCCAAGCCGTCATGATACATTTTGGTGCTGACGACTCGTAGCCTGCTGCGTTGGCCATGAAATCGTGGGCAAGGCTGTCCGTGTGGGTAGGAATATAAAGCATGTCAAGGCCGGAGACCGCGTGGGCGTCGGCCCACAGGCCCTGAGCTGTCTGCAGCCTGACTGTTACGAGTGCTCCAGTGGGCATGAGAACTACTGCAAGAGACTCGTGGTTCACACGTACGGCTCGGTCTATCCAGACGACGTAGGGAAGTCTTATGGTGGCTACGCCAATTACAACAGGACCAATGGCAGGTTTGTAGTCAAGATCCCAGAAGAACTGCCTTCAGAAATTGCAGCACCACTGCTGTGCGCTGGTCTTACAGTTTACACACCACTGCGCGACAATGAATGCGGTCCAGGCAAGAGTGTTGGAATTGTTGGTGTTGGGGGCCTTGGTCATTTTGCTATCTTGTTTGCCAAGGCCCTCGGCGCAGACAAGGTTGTCGGAATCTCGAGGAAGGCTTCCAAGAAATCTGATGCCCTTGCTCTTGGCGCGGACCAGTATATAGCAACCGAAGATGACACGCAGTGGCATCTGAAGAATGCAGCCTCACTCATCTAATCATTTCGACAGTCTCAAGCAGCGATATGCCTCTCGCAGAATATCTCTCCCTGCTGAGAGTCAACGGCAGTTATGTTCAAGTCGGGTGGGCAATCATACATCTCAAATCTTCTCCAACATGATGAGACTAATTTACTATCCATAGAGCCCCTGATGGAGGCGCTTTACCGGCTATCAATGCTTTCACCCTAATTGTAAACAAGATCAAGGTCGGCGGCAGCAGCACTGGTTCTCCCAGTGAAATTGCAGAAATGCTCCAGCTTGCTGTGGACAAGAAGATAAAGCCGTGGGTGCAGACACGGCCACTGAAAGAGGCCAATCAAGTCATCATGGATATGGCGAAAGGAGTTTCCAGATATCGCTATGTCCTTGTTAATGAAAGCTATGTTTAACGTCGTTAGGGGTGGGGGGGCAATATTAATTTCAATCATTGCTGCTTACTCGATGAAATTGTATATTTCACATGTTGCTGCCATCGATGACGAAAGCCCTGCATATCTAGAATTGAAGGGAGAGGTGGAGGAATTGTATCGTAGCATGTTTGAATTCCAACATCCTTAAAGGCATGCTAGATGTTGCAACAAAATTTGTTTCCATGTTCTAATATTAACATACATAAAGCACTGCTAGTGTTAGTTTTCTGAACCCAACAGCGAGATTATTGAGCCGAATGGATCAGCGTGATATTTAGATCGAGCAGACACACTCAGACTTAAAGTCTCGAATCATGACGATCCTTGACTCTAGGCTCTGAAGTCATAACGAAACAAGGATCTTACAATGCTATTGTAATGCCCAACCCCCTTTTGGTAGCCATTTCACACTGATTCTACTGAAATCGAAAGCCATTATGTCTCAGAATCGGTTTCTCACGGCAATAGGCTCGTGTGACGCTCAGGAGACGCAGGGCTTTCCCATATTTCACCATAAGGAGAAACAAAGAGGATGCTATCATGTCAATGAAGGTAGCTTAGATAAAGCAGTTTTGATAATCCAGATTTATTGACGATGGAGTGATAGATCTAATCATCAAATATGTAAGTCACTTCGGTGGTTATATTCATGGAATGTTTTAGAAGTGAAGGTTGGAGGCTGATGAGCCCAACTTGTTTTTAAGCCAATCGTCAACTATCTAAATTCTCGGACCGCCATTTGAAGATGAAGAACTCATCCGCACAGCCTTAGAGCTGGATGAACTGTTCCAGACTTTGTAAAGCTTACAGCACAACATCTCCCTGCGACCTAGTGATCAACTATTGAGATATTGTTCCGCTGTTATTGTGCCAGATGACCGGTCACCTACAGAATGCGGGCAACTCAAGCCTGAAGAGGCAACGTTTCACAGTCTGTTCGGTCAAACTCGGTAATGTAGATGAGGCGGGGATAGTCGTGCTTGTTCTGGGGTGAAATCCAAGCAATTGGAGTCGAAACGCGCAGGCTGGAGGTGGCGCTGTTGAATCTTGTCGAGTAGACAATAATGACCGGCTAGATGTGCATTTCCATTAGCTACAGAGCCTATAGAGGGTCAGCAATGGATACTGTCAGCTAGGGCAAAGAAGAGAAGGCCTATAAACAACTGTTTTGTACGCGATTCGGTCTCCATGGGAGTACCTGAGCATCATGTCATGTATATTTATACAAATTTCTGAGCTCTTTTGCGTGTTGTTCATTCAATTCATGTCAGCAATACGTTTTGGATGAGATCTGCCGCTCTAGAAAGGAGGCGTGAAAGATAAAAACGACAGGGCCTATAGGAGCGTTGTCGGTGAAGGATGGTGTTTCAAGAATCACATTTCGGGTTATTTGCGCGTATTGAAGTTTGTAGCTCTAGCCACGTAGTTATGTGCTTGTCGAGGATCTAGAACAGACGTAAGCCGTTTGTTGAGCGACTGGTCAGGGATGTTGCTTGGGAGACAACTTGTTCATGACGCCGCTAGGAATAGTGCTGGCTGGTGATAAATTTTGATGAGCCATAAAGTGCAAAAAAACGATAATAAGGACGAAGAACTACTGAAGCATAGTGTAATTGGCTAGATTGGATCATGAGCGAGGAAAGAAAATCAAGTGTTGATTCTGCAAGTCAACCTTCATGACTCGATATCCCTACAACGTGTAACCAAGGCTGCTCCTCTTGTCTTCACTTTCAATGCAACTTGGCCTCCGCAATTTACGAAATACCCTAGTAGTTTTGAAACCAGATCTACATGCTCTTTGCGGTTTTCAATGCCCAGGTTATCCGCTTAGTCGCTTATACCACCCCATATATAGTGTTATCATCCGGCCGACAAATCCTTGCCGCGAAGGATGATGCGGGGAGCATTGATGCTCTTGTGACTTGCGGATTTACGTGTTGGCTGGGTCCCGTTGATGGAGTTACCGGTAAGCAATGGACCCCGATAGATATACTTCATTTGTTCGTGTTGGGGATGAGGTCGGAAGATGTGATAGGGGGGTGTATCGGACTTCCCGCTCTTAAGCTCCGGGTGCCGATGGGCGTCAGAGCCAAGACGTGGGACGGCTGAGTTTAGGGCCGACCTGCACCGGAGGGTTTTTGGCGCCAACATCATAGCAACACGTACTTTATAACAAAGACATTTCACCTGAGATGCGGACCAAGTAACGTGATTGAAGGCGAAACGAGATTGGCCAATGTGTCCTTTCATAGACTCAGTCCTAGCTCTCAATTGCGATTTTCAGCTCCTTGCTGACCTAAAAGAGAAGACATTGCAGGCAGTCCGGAAGGAAGAGTAGTGTCCTCAAAAGCAATCCCGCCGTTCGGCGGAAGCGCAATGCTGGTGGGTCCAGCAAATCGGGGCCACCATCAGGCCGAGCCAGACGATTTCGCAAAAGGGCCAACGCGCACGATAGAGCGAACAGATGAGCTTGTGCGACGGGCCGCGCCACTAAGCCGCTTGGGGGAAACGCCTTTCTTCTTTTCCTTTCGTTGTTTGGGGGCTGACCAAAGATCCAGCGGGCGCGTATTCCCAAACTTTTCTTTTTCAGGCTGAAAAGAAAAGATTCAATGGGCCCTCTGTCTTACGCAATTGAAAAGACGGTGACTACAAGTTAGACAGAAGCCTAAGACTAAGAAGAGCCTTAACGTCCCGGAGAGTGTCCACCCGGCGAAGGAATCCGACGGCGCTGAAGCGAGGGGAGAATCGGATGCAGGTCGTCACGTCCTTCGGCTTTGCCTGCCCGCAAAATGCTCGTGTGTCGTGCGTCCGTCGCTGCGCTCAGCTTTGTGACCTCTTCATGACCTTTTAGCGTAACATGATGACTCATGGAGCCGTAGACAAGCCCATTGGACGATTCGGTACTCTTTCCGTTTGCAGGTGTGCAATACGGACTACTACGATACGCCAGTCACGGCTCTCTGCAAAAATCTACGTCTACTGGGATTAGGGCTTTGAGTATTATAACACAGTCCCGTAGGGTACGGCGGGCAGTCCGATCGGAGAATTTCATGAGCATGCAAGAGGCAATACTGGATGGAGCATGGTTCATTCTGCTGTGCCGTTGGGTGCCTATGCTCTATGGTAGATATCCGAGAGGCCGGGGGGCCTTGAAAAAACCCATTTAGCGAGATCTACGAGCACCAGGCTCTGTTGAGGCAAGTACATAGTGCCAATCTTGCGCCATACCTGGGTGAGAGATTGCCAGTTTCAGAACTGGGTCGCTTTCTTGTAATGAATGCCCTTGTTATGCTTGCGAAATCACCCCACGAAAGGAGAGTAGTCTACATCTATATAGGTGGCAAAAATTCACTTCTTTTGAAGAGCGGATTCAGAAGAATCAATGCGGTAGGTACAACATTGGTGAAGCATTATCAACTCAACGCACAGAATGATACTCGCCAACACTCATCAATCTGGGCGTCATGCGCGGGTTTGCGACGGGTTTTGGCTTATGGCATTTCTGAATAATGCTGCAATTGCGCTAAGCTGGGCGAAAAAGACTGTCCAGTAGCCCACCTGAGTTACGGTACGGTACATTGAGATTGTACCTGGGACTCGGACATGCCAAGCGACCCACCGACTCGGGGGGATTCTAGGCCATCGCGGCTCAATCTTAGCTACCTTGCAAGTACCCGAGCCAACTGTGGCTTGCACGAAATGAAGAGCAGATGGGCGTGAGTGAGTGGTCAACATGAGGGGTCTGGGCAACCGGCCAACTTAGAATTGAGTCCCTCCTGTCTGTCTGCATTTGGTGCTGTTGTCGGAGGCTTTTTGCTTATGGGGAGAGGTGAAGAGACTCAAGCGAGGAGAGATCTCTCTCGGTGTTCCCTCTGGTGTTTGTCCGACAATAAGGTTCTGCATGGTAGGGCTTAGCAGGATGGACTCAATGTACCTTAACTCCGCTAGCCTTCTCTCCTTAGCTTTGGCTAGACGGGGGCCGCCCAGAATGATTCGTACTGTCACCACTCCAGTCCAGTCCAGTCATCCGGCCTACCTACACGTACCAACTGTCGTGTCTCGGAGACATACTGCATAGTACTGGCGGTCACTTCACGGGCTCCGCGCCGTCTGGAAGGCAGCCACAGACGCCCGGCATCAGGGCTCGCAGGGGTGCTCCATAGTGATGGTGTGCCCACATGCGATCCCACCCGGCTTTGATCCCCTACTGAAGCTGTATGAGCCGTGCACGATCCACGCACGCCCGCCCGCACGCTCGCCCCCTGGCGATGGGTGCAAGTGTGGATGTGTTTTCTTTTATTTATGATCCCCCTACCCTCCCGGGTCCCGTATGAGTTTATCTGTTCCTGTCAACCTACGCCACAAACGCGGCCCTTTCCTCCTCCTCTCCTTTCCCGCCTTTTCTGTGTTGTCTAAGATACGTGCCAGTAGCTTAAGAGGAGACCTGGGGTATCCTTTCTTAGCTTAGCTCGCCATCCCGCTCTCGCATAATCTTTTTTCTTTTTCTTTTTTATCCTTTGTCTGCCTCAGAGCACCCGTGACCACCTATCAACAAACAGAGAGAGGCTTGCTGTCCAAGATGGCCGACTCGAAATCTCTCTCGTCCGTAAAGGACAAGGAGAGGGATGAGTGGCAGGCGCCGACTGTCGCGCCTAGCACTGCCAGTGTTTCAGACATGGAGAAGGACGATGGCTTACGATCAGACCGGGAGACCGTCCGCGAGACTGAGGATGCTCCCGCCGCCGACGAGACTGTTCGGGACGATGAGAAGCACAATGATTTGGCCAAGGCGCCCACGTCCGCCTCCCAAGCCGGTCATTCTATCAAGACCACGCCGACCAGAGACGATGGCACCGAGTATCCCACTGGCGTCAAGCTGGGCCTCATTTCCCTGGCTCTATGTCTCAGCGTGTTCTTGATCGCATTGGGTATGCCTCATCTAGGTACCCTCAAACGCCATGGGGCTTTTCACACTGACAATTCTATGCAGACAACTCTATCATTGCCACAGCCATTCCCAAGATCACCGACCAGTTCCACAGCCTGAACGATGTTGGCTGGTATGGAAGTGGTATGTTGATTTCCCCCTACTAACTCGGACTCTCGATTGACCCTCTTAGCGTATCTCTTGACTACCGCCTCCCTACAGCTGCTCTTTGGAAAATTCTACTCCTACTTCAGCATCAAATGGGTTTATCTCATTGCAATTGGTATCTTTGAGCTCGGCTCCCTTGTCTGCGGTGTTGCGCCAAATTCGACTGCACTTATTCTGGGCCGTGCCGTGGCTGGCCTCGGATCCGCTGGTATTTTCTCCGGCGCCCTGATCATCCTGGCGTATTCCGTGCCCCTGGAGTCCCGACCTGTGTACACCGGTTTCATCGGCTCCATGTATGGTATTGCTTCTGTAGCAGGACCATTGCTAGGAGGCGTGTTCACTGATAAGGTCACTTGGAGGTATGTCTCGCCGTAACTATATCACTTGCCGTGAAGGGTCGATGCTAATCCCACTATCAGATGGTGCTTTTACATCAACCTCCCCATCGGCGCAATCACAGTTGGCGTTATCGCCATCTTCTTCCCCGACCCGTCGCGCAAGACCCGAAACGACGACCCCAACATGACCTTGTGGCAGCACATCATGAACTTCGACCCCTATGGAACCGCCGTCTTCATGCCCGCCATCATCTGCCTGTTGCTTGCGCTGCAGTGGGGCGGCACCACCTACGCTTGGAAGTCAGGGCGCATCATTGCGCTGTTCGTTCTCTTCGGCGTCTTCATCAGCGTATTCCTCTACATCCAATACCGACAGCAGGAGCAGGCTACGGTGCCCCCTCGCGTGTTCAAGAAGCGCTCGGTGTGGAGCGGTGCTTTCTTCAGCTTCTGCATCGGTGCCGCTTTCCTCTCATCCGTATACTTCCTGCCAATCTGGTTCCAGGCCGTCCAGGGCACCAGCGCCGTCCAGTCTGGCATCAGGAATCTGCCAATGCTCATCGCCTGCGTCCTCATGTCCGTTGTCGCAGGTGGCACTGTCACTGCGCTGGGCTACTACACCCCGTTTATGCTACTTGCTAGCGTGCTTACCGCCATCGGATATGGCCTGATCTCGACGTTCACACCGGACATTTCTAAGGGCAAGTGGATTGGATATCAGATCCTGGCTGGCGCCGGTGTCGGCTTCGGCATGCAGCAGCCCATGATTGCCGTGCAGACAGTCCTCGACATCAAGGACGTCCCGACCGGCACCTCGGTCATTGTATTCCTGCAGACGCTCGGCGGCGCCCTCTTCGTCTCGATCGCCCAGAACGTCTTCACCAACAAGCTGACCGAGTACGTCAAGGCGTACGTTCCCGGACTAGACCCCAAAATCGTTCTTGCAACTGGTGCTACGAGCATCCAGACGGATATCCCCAAGCAGTACCTCGAGGGTGTGACGTTGGCGTACAACGACAGTCTGACTAAGACCTTTGTCGTGAGTGCGGCTCTCGCGGCAGCCAGCATCATTGGCAGCTCCATCATTGAGTGGAAGAGCGTCAAGGGCAAGAAGATTGAGATGGCAGCCGCCTAATTTGGCATGGGTTGCTGTTTCATATATGGTTTCTGGAGCTGGAGTGGCCGGAGGAGAGCCCACAGTTTCGTTACGGTATAAAAGGGAGGGTCAAGGCATGTGTGTGGCATCATTCCACAACGAGTGGAATCGGCGTTTGTAGACGGTTTTTGTTCTTATTAAGGCATGGTTGTGGCGGTTCAGGTGAGCATGGGCTTGTATCATCATGTCAATAGATACCAGGGGAAGGTTGATCTCTCTCCAACTCTACTTAATTCCACTAATAGATAACTTTCAAACATTGTATGGAGCCTTTCACGTTCACAGCGATTTTAAATCATGCCAATATAAGATTCGAAGTTTGATGAAGTTCGTTCAACGCACTCTAGTATTTTGCCCCTAAGCGTCTGCCAGTATTTCATCTATGGAACAGAGATCCTTCTCTCCGATTTTGATTGATGTCCCCCTCGAGACCAAAGCCACACTTTACTCCGCCTGCGGGTTCCTGCCCTGGGTATCGATTGTCATAGCTCGTCGTGTTCTGCATGTCCAGGCCCATCATGCCATAGCCAATCTTCAAACGCTGAATATCCTTCGGGACGTCCCCTCGGTCCTGTCCTGGGCCTTCCCAGTTCACCTTCTCCAGCGGCGGACCCCTCGTCGCAGCCACGATGCTCGAGAATCGCGTATTTCTCATCACGCCGCCGTTTTCATGCAGCGCAAACGCACCAGCAACCAGCCCGAGAAGGGCCAACATAACGGCGATGCCGTACACGATCCACAGGTCTCGAGCGTGATAGCTGTACAAGTTGGCTGTCCGCGAGCGCGTGCATGGATACGAATAGTCTGAATGATTCTGCCTTGTACCCCCTTCCGCTAACGTCCCCGTCTGCTCATCTGTCCTTGCGGCCCAGACAACCTCCACAAATTGAGGGTTTGAAAATATCGAGAGGATCAAGTCCTCGTAGAACCCCTGGACTAGAGACATTAGATTCGGGTATGCAAAGTAGTTGTTGCGTGGATCTAGCAACTTTGTCTGGAGCGCTGCCGTGTTGGCGATGGGATTGACCAGGGAGCTCTCGATCTCAACGGTGCCGTTCACGAATTGCCGAAGCATGTATCCTAGGGAGTGGTATGCCGCTACACGTCTGTATCGCTCCACATCGGAGGGATACACGTAGTTCTCCTCGGGGGTTGCAGTCGTGTTGTCGGCCGTGCCATCATCGGCATCGACGTGCGGCACGAAGGTGGTGTTGATGATGGGTATCAAAAAGGTCCGCTTCTTGACCGTAGTGTACTGTGTCCCATCTGTGTAGTTGAAGTGGACGGTATAGTTAGTCTCGTAGTGCTCGCATCCAAATATCTTGGGAATGAACGAAGAATTCCACTTTGGATCAGAGGGCTCAGTGGGAGGTGTTTCGTCGGGGTTCGCCAGCACAGCATAACCGATCCAGACAATCGGCTCCGTTCTGAAGGCTCCAAAGTGCTTTGGATATGGGGGCTTCATGTTAGGAATGCCGCCCGGCGCGACATCTTTCAACTGCGTGGTTGAATATTCTCCACCGCTTGCAAATGCGTAATATGCGAAGCTACCCTTCGGGAGAAGGAAATCGATCCCGAATGGGGATTTGGCTTCACCCGATTCCTGGGTGAGATTTTTCAGCGTCGAGTCGACGCCGCTCGCCAGCTCCGTACATTTGTAGCCAGGCGCCGTGAAGCTGACTTCGAATGTGCAGTTCCAGCCTGGACTGCACGTCTCGAACGACGCGTTCTTGCGGCTGACTGCCTGGCCAAGATAGGCGCCGATGGTGGCGGTCTGAACGAAGTTGGGTCCCGGCGCGGTGTAATAATCGAACCAGCCTGGCGGATCTTCGCCCTGGGGCTTTGTGGTATTCCACAAAGACAAAGGAATCTCGAAAAGGCCATCAATTTTCAGAGGGGTTCGCCAGTCATTGACATCCTCGAAGGAGAAGTTCAGTGTCCGAACGCCGGGACAGGTTGTGTTGGTCTCGGTGGTCTGAAGCTCTACCAGCAATGTATTGGCTGTCAAAATAACAACCAGTGGTGCCAACCTGGACCGTGTCAATCACTTTGAAATTCACAGACTGTTCGTGACAACTCACCATACGAAGAGCGCCAGTGCTGCTGCGATCTTAGCGCCGCTTAGGAACTCCCAATTCACCAGGGCGAAGAAGTCTTCGGCGGCGGCGAACATCGAATCGATGGCACCAATGCTCATCATCCTCGTCCGCACGGTCGTCCATACTCGCTGCCGGAAAGCGGCAATGACCGAAGCACCCAGACCGGCTTTGGCGGCAAATGCGAGGACTGTTCCATACCGCAGCATTTGAATCTGCTCTTTTGCAGGCTTGCCATCAAGGACGCTATAGAAGACGTGGTGTCCGATAGCACAGGCGAGCCCGAACAGGAAGAACAGGTACATGTTCCATGAGGAGTGCCATCTTGGCGGCCACGCGAAGAATCTGCTCCTCCGGCTCCGGTCATTCGGCGGCCCAAGGTAGGAAGCATACGGCGGCGGCGGTCCGGGACGGCCCGCTGGCATAGGTGAAGGTGAGGCTTGTGGGTGAAATAGCAGCGAAGCGCTCGAGTCTTGCCGCTGTGGTCCAGGATAGCCGCCGTCATATGCTGAGACGGGGAACTGTTCGTCACCGTGGAAGGGCATCCGCTGCGACGGGTGGTATGCCGGGCCACCTAATGAGCTTAGGTCCACCCCGTGCGTGTCCATCTCATGCCATACCGCTGCGGAACTGGGAAGACTGAGTTCTTATACTGCCGGCTTGGTGTAAAAGGGGGCCAGCTGATGGTGTCAGAGTCTAGATGGCGATGAACGGCTGCCGAGACGAGCAGTCCTATCTGCTGAATGCTTCAGGTTGCTTCGTTGTACCAGTAATCAGGCAGTCAAGTCATCAATTGCGTCCAGCAAACTCAACGTCATCCCCAGGTCCCAGCTCTGTGGTAGGATTATCTTTCCTTCAGCGCGGGTGCCCCGCTCTTGTGGCACCAGGAACGAGACGAACTGTTGGTCCAGGAGACAAGGGAACGGGCTTGCGACAGAAATACCCCAGGTGGACTACTCGTATATTTCGGGGACATTGAGGAGGGCCACTGTGGTGCCTCTGATCTACTTATTATCACGATCGACAGCCTAGGGCAGCTTATGCTAAGGATCTGACACAGGACTTTTCCAAACCTGGACGCATGAAAACACTGGAAAACAGGGTGGCTCGCTCGCTCGGTGGCTGTTCAGGCCGTTCAGCCCTTTCCACTCCTTGGCACACAGACAACGGCTGCGTCTCAATTTGTGGCTTTGCGAGCCACCGTGGCCTAGGCCTTGTCAGCTTACGCCAATAACAAATCGCAATCCCTGCAGCCTGAAACCGAAGGATTGTATTTAAACAATTCCATCAGCAGTAGCCTACGGCGCGCCCATTCGGAGATTTAAGAAGGCTTCCCCCCATTACATATTTAGCACGGGAGTTGCGTGTCGAATGTCGACCTGGCATCCGGCAGATAACCACAGAAGGGGAGCATGCACAGGCCTAAGCGACCCAGCGGCGAAACACTCGCTGGCTGAACGTGCAGGGCTATCCGCATCTCGCGGCAAAGTTGCCGTCATCGAGTCCGAGCTGGAGAGCGAGAGCCTAACATGCTTGATTGAATTTTGACCTAGCTAATGACTACAAAGCATCGTGGCTGCTGCGCATTTGTAATGACTCTTCAAATCTCTGGATATGTTCCGTCTCGGGTATAGAGTCTGGCTGAGATGGCAATAATGCTCCCACCACTTATCGAAAGCAGGCAAATGTAGGCACTTGCAAGCGATTGTTCCGAGCTCAATGGCACAAAGCACCGATGGGTTGGGGTAGCTAATCCTTCTCTAGGAATCCGGTGTTATTAGGCTATGAGGTGGAACAGCTTGAACGCTGCAGATGCATCTTTTATCGCCCATTTCGTCTTCACACAAGGGAACATTTTGGACGGTATCAATTTACAACAGGCCTTCCCGTTGAGCGAAGACTCTAACAGTCTCCAGGAAAGGCACGTCTGCGCTCAACCCAAGATCGGTTGCTCGCTGCGTTTTGAACTTGGTTGGCCAGCTGTACACCACCTTCTCTGTCGCTGGATCCCGCTCTTCCTTCACCAGGGCGCGCTTTTCCTTGCCTCCAACCTGCTCCAGGGCGTCTAGCATCTCGTTTACGGTGACGAGGATGCCAGGAAGGTTCACCACTCGGAACAGACCAAACTTCTCCTTTGGCACGTCCTTGATCGCAATCAGGTTCTTGACCACTGTGGCGGGAGAGCTGATCCAGACTTCGAGATCGCGGTTCACTGGCAATATGCTCTCCTGACCCCGGAGCGGTTCCCTGATGATGCCACTAGCGAACGAGCTGGTTGCTGCTGTCGGTGCTCCTGCGCGCACTGTGACTGTTGGCAGCCGTACTATGCGTCCATCAAGCAGGCCTCTTCTGCTGTAGTCGTTCACCAGTGCCTCCACCATGTATTTCTGTGTGCCGTAACTCGACTGTGGTAGTGGTAGTGTTTTTTCCGTGACAATCTCACCCGGCTCTGTCGGCCCATACACAGCACAGGACGATGCAAATACAACCACGGTGCCAGGGTGGTTGTTCCGCAGGTAATCTAGAAAGAGCCGCTGGCTATCGAGGTTGACTTTCAGGCCGAGTTCCAGATTGGCTTCGGCACCCCCGGACATGATGCCGTGAAGAGTATAGACCGCATCAAAGCGGTTGGCCAAGAGGGACGCAACGGCAGAGGCAGAGGTAAGGTCAGATGCCAAGCAGTTGAACTTGACATTCTCTCCTTTCTGAGCCGTAGGAGGAACTGGGGGCTCGACGATATCAGTCAACGTGATGGTGATATTGGAGAATGCAGCAAAACCCGCGGCCAACTCCTGGCCTACGAACCCCGCCGCCCCTGTGATGAGGATAGAAGTCATCTTTGTACCAAGACCAGTATCTACCGTGTCTTAATTTCAAGAAAGAGCAGAGCAACTTGACCCTCAGCAGGCGAAAACTTAACTTATTTCTATAAACCGGGCGTCTCGAGAAGATGACGTGACAGTTGCCTTGATCAATACAGGCGACAAACATCAGCGGGGTCTCAATGGCCAAGGGCCGATCGGCCGTGGTCGCTCGCGTCAACAACCCCGCTGTCCAGCTTGTCTTCCCCACATCGCGGCGCCTGTTCTCCGCTGAAAGCCAGTCTCGGAGTTGTAGATAAGCGCCCACAGCCGTCGCGCGGGGGCTTGCTGTCCCGCTGCATTAGCGATGCCGGACCAGGTCCCACTCGAGTGCCGTGTCGCTCGGTGACTACTTGTCCGCAACCGAAGGCATTCAGCATAGAAAATCTCCCGGTATGGAGCTTCACGTATATTGATACTATGATATTTATCTGCTATTTATTAATACTATGGTGCATCATCTAAGGTAAATCGATCCTACTGAAGAGAATCAATGAGAAAGGTGACACGTCTGCTCATCATGCCGGCATTCTTGAAAGGATCGCTGACGTTGTGTCCTCCGTCTTCATCCTCGTATAAGAACACATTGGACACCCCGGCATCTTTCATCTTCGCCACTAGCTTTCGCGAATGACCTACACCAACTCGATCATCTTTCGTTGACACTGTGACAAGGAAGGGGGGATATTCCACGCCCTCCTTTACATTGTGGAAGGGCGAGTACCCCCTGAGCGCCTTGGCCATCTTCGGGTCCTTAGGATCTCCGAATTCGCGCATCCAAGCGCCTCCCATACCCATCGTCGGGTATCTCAACATGTCAGTTATGGGTACATCGCTGACCACGGCACCATAAAGATCCGGACGCTGAATCCCAACAACGGCGGCAAGGAGACCACCACCAGAAACTCCAAACACGCCAAGGTGCTTGGAAGTAGTCACTCCGTCCTTGATTAGTTTTTCCGAAATGGCAATGAAGTCATCATAGGAGTTCTGGCGCTTCTCCCTCTGAGCGTCCTTGTGCCAATCTGGTCCTCGTTCTCCGCCCCCTCGAATCAACGCAACCACCAATGCGCCACCACTCTCGAGCCAAGGCACCAGAGAAATGCCTCCAAACATGGGTTCCAGATACCTCGTCAAGATGGAAATCCCCATCACGCCGTACCCGGTAATCAGCACCGGCAGTTCCCCTGGCTGATGCTTGGATTCTTTCGGCGCCAGAACTACATAGTCTACCGGCGTGCCGTCTTTACTGTTGGCGACCTGAACATCCAACGTGAATCCGCTCGCGTCAAATGCGGCCGGCTGGGCGTAGAATTCATCCCGTCTTCCGTCTGCTCTTTCCAACCAGGAGACGATTGGGTGCAGCAGTCCGGACTCGCTCATGATGAAGTCGTTGCTATAGTAGTCGCCGGAGGTCAGAGAGATGTGTGATCCCGGAGCAGTTGGCACACTTCGTACGAGCTTCCATGTCTGGTTGTGATGCTCCATGATCAAACGCCGTTCTTTTCCGTTCTTAGTCACAGTGAGCTGGACTCTTGACTGGCTGGCTTGCAAGCCGTCCGCAACGATATTGGGGGTGAACTCGCCCTCTTCAGGAACATAGACTACGCTAGCCCTTTCGTCGACAGGCACATCTGGGTCGATCGAGCATGCCACGATTGATCCCCCTGGTACTTCTACACCGCGGATGACTGCCTTTTCTACCAGTGAGACAACCAAGTGCTCAGAAGTAGTCCTAGGAGGCACCAAAAGACACTGTTTCGATGGAAGACGCAGCTCCTCAACTGTTCCATCCAGAAAGACGGCGTAATGAATCCAAGTTGTGTAATCAACAGCACGAGTGATCAAGGCACGACCATTCTCTGTTGGGCCGACAGACGTAACTAGGCTAATCGCATCGGTTGCTGGCGCTGTATAAACAGCTTTGGCATCCTGCAGGTCCGTTCCACGTTTCCAAATAAATGCTGTGCGTGGCATTCCTGCCACCGTTTTGAGCCCGTTAGTGAGAGACTGCTGTATCAAGATGTGATCCTTGTCCAACCAGGCGGCGGCAAGACGGTCAGGGTCCGCGCGGAACCCGCCTGGTACCAGTCCACCTTTTTTGACGTCGACTTCGACGAGCGAGACCAAGTCCGAGCCACCATCAGATAGGTAGAGAAGGATACGTGATGCATCAGGCCCCAAAACACGGCTCTGAATGTCGAAGTCGACAAAAACATACTTTTTATTCTCGGTGTGGCTCAATTCAGCGATGTCAATCACCACTTGCCACTCGCCATGGGAGCCGTCTGGCTTCCTTTCGGCATACTCGAGCACCCCGTGCGTGTTAGAAGCGCTTTTTCGCAGACGGAAAAGCTGACTGGCAATCCAGCGGTCTGGTGGGTTGACATCTGTCTCAACTAACGACCTCAGCCTTTCCTCAACGATCATCTTCTGCGGCATTGAGTCTATCTTGTCTGTAGTGATTACCGTCTCTCTCTCAGCCCATTCAAGGCATTCAGGAGCAAGTTGCTGCTCAAGCCATGCATATTCAGTGTCTGGTTTGATTGGCCTACAAGGTGGTAAGTTTCTCGGTTCCTAGGCCTATCTGGATGAAGTCTACCGAGTAGAGATGCTCACATGTTGAAGTAAGAATGTATTTGGTCATTAATATTAACCTTTCACAGTTGATCAATGCCAGGCAATGTAATATAATTTATAAAATTGACCTGTGGTAGAAACAAAAACTAAAATGTCTCGGCGAAACAGCAGGATAACATCGTGGTATACATGAGAGAAAACAAGAAAGAGGCGCATGAGGCTCAGCTAATGTCTTGCGTGTTTGATTGACTGATTGATTGATTAATTCATTCACGGGCTCAGAGGATGCTATCGCACGCTATCGATATCGAATCTACGAATCCCAAGTGGGCCCTGGAGGTTCGCTGAGGTTGACGTATTAAAGCGGGGATACTGGTACTGTTCACTCCCCGAAATGGCAGTGAGCTATCGGCTGTCAATGGCTTGGCGCCTAGGCCTCGTTCGTTTGTGTCGAGTAGTAAGAGTATCGATGTAGTTAACCGCAGTCGATGTGAAGGGAATAAAGGTCGTGAATGAATCAGCGTACTTCTCAAGTAATGACATGCCTAACAACGTCGATAGTGAAGGAGAGATGGGACCTAAGTATGTTCAAAGCTTTTCATACATTAATTATTATTAAGCTCCATCTACAGTTGGGCTTTCGTAGCTTGAAGTTGCCTTCTTAGGTTTCCAATTATACCATATCTGCACACCAAAACGTACCCCAAAAGCTCAAGCCCTGAACTTCTCAACCATCAACGCCGCCGAGCCGTTTGTAAAACCGCATTGTTTAGGCTTTTGGTGCTGCAGCCACTGGCAGACTTCCTGGAACCGTCGTGCCTTCGGCCTTCGGCTTTCTCTTGAAAGCGCTGAGTAGACCACCTGATCCTCGCTTTCTGACACGGAATAGGTAGTACGTGAGAACAGCAATGAAGATATCGAAACAAATATACGCCCACATGATACCAAAATTGCGCCACCGTTCGGACCAGTAGATATTGCTGCCCGCCAGATACTGGTCTGCCACCGACAGGGAACAGTATCGGCAACTTTCGGTGTCATTGGGGTTCTGTAGTTGGCCTGGGGCCGTTTCCAGGTATGTAGCAAGGTATGTGCCACATGTTTGACCAGAAGGCGGATTGAACACCGATGTCTCGGCTGCCGAGCAAGTAACCACACGATCATGCATTTGTGTCGCAACCATACCGGCGATCCAGTATGTAAACGGCGAGACACGGTACATGAATATCCAAAAGCCTGGCAGAGCAGAAGGCGACTGCAACACTCCATTGAACATGATACTCATCATGGTGAGTAGTGTCACAATGCCTCCTGCAGTCTGCGCATCCGGGAGAGCTGCGATGGTCATGTGCGCGAAGCAACTGGCGTAGATGAAGAGTTGGATCAGGAACAGCAAGACTAGGCCCTGTCGATCTGAGCTCTGAATGCCCACAACTGGATAGTAGAAACAAGCAAATGTGAGTATAGCAGTGACAACCTGATAGGGAATTTCAACAACGATATTGGCGATAATGAAGGCTTTCCAAGAGTAGGCTTTGCTGGGTCGTTCCCGGACCTCGTAGAGCGAGCGCTGAGTGATGAAAAGAGGTTGTATCTATCTCATATTAGCGTTTGAAAGAAATGAGAATAGGCAAGCTAGTCAGTGTTCTTACCTGCTGGACGAGAGATGTGAAGATTGTGACGACTTGGAACACAGCGAACAAGACGGTCTGCATACCGGCTAGTGTGCCTTTGGCTTGGAAGAAGGTAAATCCAATGAAAAGACCGGCAGCAGTACCGAGGAAGAACTTGGCGAATATGTAACTCGGCATTCTCCAGTATTGCTGGAAAACTCGGTAGGTCACTTCGACCAATTGCGTCGAAAAAGGCATCGCGAACTCATCATTGGAACCGGCTTCGTCATGCCCAATTGATCTGTCGTGCTGCTTCTCGTTATGAAGTCGATCGATTTCAGCCTCCACTGCATCGCGCTGCGGGCTTGACGTCCAAGTGACATTCCACTCCCTAGATTGGCCATCCCTTGTGTTGTTGACAATTTCCAGCATGTATTCCGCAGGGTTCTCCTGGTCGTCGCACTTTCTTGCTCCATTGGACTCAAAGTAGTTCAAGAGTGTACGAGAGTCTTTGCCGATATCACCGAAGTAAACCGTCTTTCCTCCTTTGGCGAGGAAGAGTAGTCGATCGAATTGCTGAAAGAGTAAGGCACTCGGTTGATGCACAGTACACAGAATAGCTTGGCCAGAATCGGCGAGCTTTCTGAGAAAAGAGCAAATTGCCCATGAGCTTTGTGAGTCCAAACCACTGGTCGGTTCATCCAAGAAAAGCAAGAGTTTTGGCTTGGCGGCGAGCTCGACACCGATAGTAAGGAGTTTTCGTTGTTCGACATTGAGACCCTCGCCAGGCACTCCAACAATTGCGTCGGCATAGTCCTCCATATTCAACATCTTTATAACCTCTTCCACGAATTGATACTTCTCAGCCTTGCTTACAGACTTGGGCTGACGAAGCATGGCACTAAAGCGCAAACTTTCACGTACTGTAGCTGTCTCCAGGTGAAGATCTGTGAAACATTAGCTGATGATCCATGTGTGGGCATTGGAGTAACATACCTTGCTGCTGAACGTAACCGGTATTTCTTTGAAAGCTAGCCGACATTGGCGCACCATTTACAAGCATATCCCCGGTGATAACACCCATTGTTGTTCGCTGGGCTAACACATCAAGAAGTGTCGTCTTGCCGGCTCCTGAGACCCCCATAAGCGCCGTCAAGGTGCCGGGCTTGACGAATCCAGAAACGTGATCAAGAAGGCGCCGAGGTTGACCCTGGATCTCAATATCGTAAACAACATTTCTCCAGGTAAATATATCTTTTTGCGGCTCGGTTCCCTTGATTGACGAGGGTTCAGCGCTTGCAGGGACCTCCAATTTGGAGCCCGAAGCAATTTCTTCATCCGACTTCGAGTTCTTGTTGGAGCGCAAATGCGGCGGAATGTGGCCCTGTTGGAAGACAAGGACTTCACCAGTGCTTGTGGATTCCGAATTGAGCTCCGTGGCGACGAAATAGACGATCATGAAGAAGAAAAGGAAGCCAAGGAGGATACCAAAGTTTCTCCAGACATGGCTATAGTAGTACTCGTAATTCGTAGCAATGAACCTATCCCCGCTTACTGTGTACTCCCCGGCGACAGCTCCCACGACAGAGCAAATCCAGGAGTCACCTCTTGGAGGCGAGTATGCAGGAACAATACTCGAGCAAGTGAACATTCGACCGTGAAACTCGTTCGCTACTAAGATCTCAAAGGCGTAGTACAGAGGGTTAATCCATCGAATCCATGAGAACCATGGATGCATCTGCGGAACCGAGATGGTGAAGCCAGTATAAATGACCAATGCCAGTACAGTGATACCTGCTAGGGACATGGCTTGGGAAATGGTTTTCGTAACCTAATTCGTCGAGGTCAGCCATGTCAATCCTTAAAATCACACTTTAAAGGATGAAAACAGAAGGCGAACAGTCGGTTTAGACTTTAAATGAAGGCATCTTGTAAACGAAGTTAACCATGCTGGGACTGCTTACAGATGCAAGAGTTCGGAAGATGGCCATCATAACAAACGTGGCGACGAATGTAATGAGGAAGTACAGGAAGAACTGGGCTGGTTCCCGTCGCAGACCTGCCATGAAGTATAGCACAATATTGAAGATCACAGCAACAATGAACTTGATCGGTATAGATGAGACAATTCCAGCGACAGCTTCAGTAGATGGATGATAGAATGCGTACGAAGCGTGCTTTTCAACAATGGGTCTAAAATCTCGGCGGTTAATAAAAGGTGACAATTTCAGGAGACTCTCGCTCTTACCTTTGGGAGTAGAGCGTGGAGATTTCGGAGATGGCCGTGAGAGCGTTTAATAGCACCTAAAATGACGAATTTAGCAAAATTCCTGCGGTGATCGGAGATGTGAAGCAGCTTTAAGTGTTAAGACAGGCGTCTCAAGATGCTTGCAACAAAAACCACTTACCGCCATGAACAATACAGAACTATGAATGCGAGTTAGCTACTGAATCAGTATATTGACGGTTTTCGAGCATGAAAAAGCAAGCGATCGATATAGCAGCCCTCAAAGCTGGTTTCGATACGCGGAAACAGCAACAGCAGCACTCACCCCTTTGCGAAGAATCCAGCAGATGCATTTGGAGTGCCAAAAAAGATACTGCCAATGATCAAACTTATTATGCAACTTGTCATTGCTTGTGTCAAGGTCGCGGCCTTGTCGTTCCAAATACGCTGATAAGCTCTCCTAGTATTGAGCCCGATCTGCATGGCGATGCTAATGGTGTAAGGTGACTGCGGCCGCACATGTTTGGCCTGTCGGTATTCCTTTCGCTGCTGGAGCTGAGTTGCAGCCTCGCCATGAGGATCGAGAGGATGCTCTTCCTGATAGGTATCAATATCCTCTTGGAGCGCTTTGAACTCGGGAGATTGCCGCCAATAGGTTTCAAATTCTGCAGGCGTTCGAGGCACCTTGTCTTCCATGCCTGGCTGGGCTCTACGCTCACTTGGATTTGTGACAGAGGTGAGGAAATCACCTGTTGTCTGACGCTGGGGACATAGCCAGCCCTGCCTCTCGAAGAAACCTTTAGCTTCGCTGGCTGGTCCAAAATAGATTTGCCGGCCTTCATACAAGACAACAGCCTTGTCGAACAGATCGTAGATTGCCTGACTGGCTTGATAAATAGCCACAGAATGTACACTCCCTCCCAAGTCTGCTGCTATGCGCAGAGATTGAACAAATTTGAAGGCCGTTGCAGAGTCAAGACCTCGAGTACTATATAGGTCAGCATTGATCTCTCTCGGAACGATCGGTCTCGTGCTACCTGTTGTCCCACGCCAAGAATGGAGAGCCAGCAAGCATCATCTCTGCAATGCTAACGCGCTTTCTTTCTCCGCCTGAAACACCTCGAATGAAATCATCTCCAACTTTTGTGTTATAGGTGTGAGATAACCCGCATACTGCCATGACAACCTGGGCTAGGTATCTGGCGTATTCATCACGAGGCATGTTCCCAAGACGATGCGAAGGCATGCGAACGGAAGCAGCAAATTCGAGGGTTTGGCCGACTGTGAGATGAGGAAAATGTCTATCAACCTGCGCGATGTTAGTCTTGGATGACAAGCATCTCTGCCGCTGCGGGTAGATCTCTGTACGAACCTCCTGGTTATAGATAACCTCTCCTTTGAATTCGGTCTTCATCTTCTTCTGTGGGATACCTTGGTAGCTGATGACCGACTTCTTGTCCACGTTCAGGCCACGCAGCTCGCCGCAAATCGTCTTAAGAAGAGTACTGCATCCTGAGCCAGGGCGTCCAAGAACAATTAGCAGTTCACCGCGTCGAAGAACTCCATCGAAATTGTGCAGTATCTGTTTGTGTGTCTTCTTCCCAAAGCTGAACAGACTACCTGGTCGCAAAGGCGAGAGCAGTAGAGATGCAACCGTTTGCTGCACCTGGACCGCTTCACCTGTTCCGAAGACATTCAAATCTTTGTATACAATGCCAGCGTGAGCCTCTGGCGCATGCCCTTGGGCTCTGTGTTTGCGAATAATCCTTTGCAGCCACTTGGCGAGGTCGAATTCTGCATTTTGAGGTTGCAAGGCAGGATCATTCTCTCCCATTGTCACAATCTCGTCCAATACCATTGGTGTAGTAGCCGTGGACTGCCGCCTGGTCAGGACCGTGGCAATTCGCTGGAGCTCCTGTCTCTCGGTCTCCTCAATCATGGCGTTTGTGTTCCGCCGAGACAACCCATACTGCGGCCCATCGCTGTCAGAGGAGGAATCTCCTTCATCGTCAGAATCAATTTGTACGATCTCCTCCTCTGATCCCTGACGCAAGACGCTCTCATTGTGTGCTGCACTTGACTCTCCTGTGGAAACTTGTCTCCCCCGGCCCTCCGTCTCGACATGTGCGGCTGGGTGCAGCTCGGAAGCTGCATTTTCTGACGTTGTCGCCATCGCGAGGACGAATGTCCAAATGAGCGACAGAGAGATTCGGCGAACTGATTGATGGTGCTGTTATGTTGGTTAGGAAAGCAATTGAATTATTCAAGCTGTCTCCAAGCCGACATGCCATGCAGGCCTGATGAGCCTTATCTAAGTTTATTATTTATTTGCATGCGGAGAAGGTCGCAGACCCTTTTACATTCCATCGGAGTGCTCGAGGAATGCGGCCGTGCTGGGGAACCCGAGCCCCAGAGGAACGGAAACATCGGGCTCTGATTTGTTTGGATCCGTCTGGATCGGTTACCTGAGCGAGACATGATCCGCGGGGCTTGGATCGATCCGTACCTAATGATGAGCCGGCAGGAGTAATGAAAGTATGATGAGCATTAATTTTCCACTAAACTTCGAGCTGAAATCCTGAACCTTGCTTTGCATATGATTGTGCCACACAATCACAGACCCCAATGGTTCGCCTGAGGGGTCGAGGGGGGCAATTTGTGGGGCTGCAAAACGGCGTCGGACGGTGGGCAAAGTCCGACGATGACGCACCCGCCGGCCATTGGACGCTACTGGGACGGGGAACGGAGTGGTCAAATTTGCGGACCGTGATTGTCTGCCGGCCGGTCCTCTTGCTCGGTCTCGCATCCTCACAAGATCCCATCCGTGCCTGTAATTCAGAGCCATCAGCCACTCTTGGCAACCGGTATGCATCGGAGACTCCGATTTGCGTCAGAGTGCCTCAGATAGGGCTGAAACCGAACCCATTTATAGCACGGAGTCTTCGTAAATTTGGGTCTCCCAGTACGTCCTTTTTATCAACTTCTCTCTAGGGCCCTGAAGAGTGGAAAGTACCGCACATAGGGCAGACCGGCAAGTGGAGCTGCCATTTGACCGTATCACGTAAGTACTTGGCCGTACCTCAGCCACCACTTTTCTACGTGGTCTGCGCTTCCTTAAGTTCAGTCCGTCAACACTAAAGTCTGATAGTCAGGTCACTCGTGCAGAACGCCTCCATTTGATAATTACTAAGAATGTCTTACAGGAATCATTCATGGTTTGAGACAAGGCTGCAGCCCCAGATTCTGGACAAGAGAATCGGAACAACATCACAAAAACACACCGGGACAGTGGGAGGTTTGATGAAAAGCAACCCCTTCTAATCAGTGCTAAGTGCTTAGATTCCGCCAGTGAACAACATGAAGAAGGTTTTACTTCACGCTTCCCCTGGTTGTGATCGCTCTTCGAGTCTCTGATTGTCTTGAATTCCCTTCTTGTCGTAATGAAATGCCCCGAAAGCCGTGAGGCCCTGGGAACGACGATACCTGCGAAAGTCTATGTGAACTGTTTGTGCATTCAGCCTCCTTTTAAGCACAGATTTCCCCACACAGATTCTATTCCGTTTATTCAAGTTGTGGACTACTGAGGGATCCTTGGGCAACGTTACCAAATCGATTCAAGGTGTCAAGGTGTTATGTTGTAATGCAACTGTAACAGAAGCAGGGACCTGTCTTGGCGCTGACATAGATTAGTGCTCAGTGCTGAGTGTTGAGACTCTCGACAGACACTAATCCCGCAACCACCAGATTCTACAGAGTCTATTTGACAACTAGAGGAAATAAGACTGTTCATCACATCATGCAGCTACATCCTACGTTCGTATTCGGTAGCAGGAATAGGCTGTTGTCCCCAGAAGCATTGCAACACAAATTTGATTGACTTAGCCCAAGTTAATCGACCTGCCTGAAGGAGCCGCTTGCCCCACCGAGTGCCAATTTGAAGACCAACTCGGCGTTACTGACTATTAAAGCAGGCGATTGAGCCTTACTTGAATGTTGCTGGTCTAACTCTAGCTCCGTGAAAGACATTGTGTCTGTTAATAGGAATAAGCTCTACTGTGACTTTCTCAGATCGAAATGGTGCAATGCCTGCTCTGGTTGTGGTTTTTAGGTCTTTCATCGGTGATTACGGTTCTCGCTCAAGCTCCAATTGCAGTAGATCAAACTAGATTCCAAGATGTAGTTCCTGGGGCCTATATTGTCGAGTTTGAGGATAATTATGTAAGTTCGCTTTCAAATCACTGCCGGTCTGGGCGATGGCGTGAGCTAATTAGGTCTCATAGGATGAGTCTTCATTTTACGGCAATCTTCGTAATCAAGGGCTACCTGCATCTAAAAGACTAAGCCTCGATTATTCGCTCTTTAAAGGCTCCTCGTTTCAACTAGAAGGTGGCATAGATGTAGACACTGAATCTACTGCGTTACGGATTGCCAGTGTACCAACAGTGAAGAAAGTGTGGCCGATACGTGTGATAAGCTTGCCAAATGACAACATTGATTCAACAGTCGGAAATAGCAGTGATTCAATAACAAAGCATCGCAGAGCCGAGATTCAAGGAGATGCGTTTTCTCCACATGTCATGACACAGGTCGACAGGCTGAAAGCCGAGGGCATAACAGGCAATGGGGTCCGCATCGGCATAATAGATACAGGAGTGGATTACAACCATCCAGCATTGGGAGGCTGTTTTGGTGACGGCTGTGTTGTATCTTTCGGAACGGATCTGGTTGGCGACACATATAACGGTTATAATGTTCCAGTTCCTGACTCAGATCCATTCGAGAATTGTCTTGGCCACGGAACACACGTGGCCGGCATCATTGCAGCCCGTGAAAACTCACTTGGCTTCACCGGCGCTGCTCCTGGTGTGATCCTGGGCATGTATCGTGTTTTTGGATGTTATGATAATACTGCCACCGATGTGCTTATCGCAGCATTCAACCAAGCATATGAGGATGGCTGTGATATCATCACCGCCTCTATTGGAGGTTCTTCGGGATCGACCGAAGATCCTTGGTCCGTAGCGGTGTCGAGAATTGTCGACAAAGGCGTCCCCTGCACAGTAGCAGCAGGGAACAGCGGTGGTGCTGGACTGTTTTACTCAAGCGCTGCGGCCGACGGAAAGGGTGTAACATCTGTGGCTTCTGTGGAAAATACGGAAACAACTCTTGTGTTGCTTGAGGGCTGGACCATGGTGGATCACAATTGTTCCTCAAAGACATCATTTGGCTGGTCTAAAGGCTTACCTGCATTGCCAAACGTTACACTGCCTCTCTGGGTCGTGAATCCCAATGTCACAGCGGATGGTAGTTGGAACGCTTGTTCGCCCCTGGCAGACAATACGATCGATCTCAGTGGAAAGATCGTCCTTGTGGAGTACGCAATTTGCGGCGCCTGGGTTATAACAAATAACCTGATAGCCCAAGGAGCAGAATATATCCTATTCTACTACTACACTCCAAGTTTGTTCGTTCCCTCCTTTTCACTCCATCGATGTTCTCCTTATTAATGACTGGCGCTAACCTTGTTCCGGGCAGTGTATTTCATCCAATTGCAGACTCATTCGACTTACTGAAAGGCTGTGGAATGGTAACTATGCAACAAGGCCATACATGGCGAGAAATCTTGGGTAGTGGCAAGGATATTCTTATGAAGGTCACTGAGCCTGATTTTGCAAATAACATCGCGGTATCTTGGCCCAACACGGTGTCTGGGGGATATCTTGATTCCTTTACCAGTTGGGGACCAACGTGGGAGGTAGATGTAAAGCCTCAGATCGCTGCACCAGGCGGAAGCATCCTTTCGACTTGGCCATTGAAACTAGGCGCATATGCCGTTGCATCTGGTACTTCTATGGCAACGCCGCTGACAGCCGCAATTTATGCTCTTCTCATGGAGTCTCGAGGTATCAAAGACCCCAGAATTTTGACAAGTTTCTTGTCTTCCACAGCTCAAAGAAAACCATTCTATGATGGAACTAATGTCATGGATGGGATCGCTCCGGTTCCTCAGCAAGGAGCTGGCTTGATTCAAGCCTACGACGCTGCTCATTCGGAAACGATCGTTAGTCCCTCGAGTATATCGTTCAATGACACAGCAAACTTCATCGGCAACACAAGTTTTACCATCACGAACAAGGGGTCGGTAGATCTAACTTACGATTTGGGCCACGATGCTGCTCTAACGATGTACACGTGGGATGACGCCTTGTATCCTGCTTCTTTTCCGAATACCATAGCTGATGGAGCATCTGCTACCTTATCGTTTTCCCAAACCAGAATCACTATACCGCCAGGGGGTTCTGCTGATGTCCGAGTCTCGGTCTCACCCCCAATAGGTCTTAACGAAACGCGCGTTCCGGTCTACAGTGGATATATCACACTGTTAGTTTCGAATGGAGAGTCACTGGCTGTTCCCTATCTGGGAGCCGTGGGCTCGCTGTACTCTGCCCCCACATTGCTTGACCCGTCATGGGTTTTCGTCATTCATTACAACGATTACTCTTTAACCCCAGCGCCTGCTAATGATACCTGGACGCTACCTTATCCCACCACACCTGTCCTACCCATTGATGCTCCGGTGATAGACATGCCCGCGGCCGTGATCCAGCTGGATGCTGGAACACCAATGATCCGCTGCGATATTGTTCCCATTGGCGCTACAAATGCTTCAACAACACAGATTCTGGGTGCTGAGGTCGCTGGTAGTGTTGGCGGGTTCCCAGCTGAGTGGGTACCAAGGCGATATTTTATTAGCCCTTTCACAGGAATGACTCAAGAGGGAGACGTCTTGCCACCCGGGCGCTATGCCTTCCTAGTCCGCGCATTGAAGATATTCGGGGATCGAAATGTCATTACTGACTACGAGACCATCAAGATGGTGCATTTCTCCATTCACTATGAAAGTGACGTTCCGTGAAGACCTTATGACGTCGATTAGATATAATTGCACACCATGTTTTTGTGTTCAACCAGACTCACGTGCTCCTAAGATGATGTTTGATACAAATCTTCTTTCCCTCTAATTGGTGGAGTTTGATAACGGTCTAGACTGCAGCTAAGCCTCCGACCTCAATACGTGAACTCGGCGGGTTGTTCGTAGTTACTGATATATTTAGAAACACGACTTGATCTATCGCGCTGTAAAACGTCAGACATGACGGCTGGAAATCGGTAGACGATATTGATACTGGGTAACTTTTTGCATAGCGACTCCGCGGGACGAAGTGAAGACTTCCGAAGGTCTCCACTTATGCCGTTAAATCGGGCGATCTGCGGTGCGCTTCTGAGCAAAGTTTGAACGGTAATGCGCCATGCTATGCAAGAATCCTGATATCTCCTTTCTCTTATATTCAGCATTCAAGCTTGCCATGAGTCTTGCCTCCTGCGGGGATAATGGATATTCGTCGAGAGTATCATAGATAGACCTAGCAGGGAACAGAGCGATATTTACTCCATACCACCCGGCGTCTGGCTTAAAAAAGATTGGGAGGAGTCTCAGAATGTTATAACGTAAACCATGTAGATCAAATCGTGGTGAGGACTGCATGTCCGGCAGTATAGCCAAGATCGTAGGACGTAGGAGCAGACATATAGACCAGAACAGCGCTAGCGTATGCGCTTTTGCCAAGTCTGTAGTCGATGATTTACGTTTACCGATATTGAGCAATCGGTCGATGTCGAGTTTAGGGGCCGTGTCATTGAACCACGACTCTAACTCGGCGAGGAGCTCATGACATCCATTGCGTAGGTACAAATGTACCGTGGACCCGGTATGAGAATCAACTAGGTGCTCTAGGTCCTCTAGCAAGCCAGTCATCTTGGCTACAATATCGACCAACTTATCTAAGGGCGTTTTCGGAATTTTAGACCATGGGAGGGTCATCCAGTGTGTATTATACAGCACCGATCGCGTTTTAGATACAATATTGGGAATGAGCTGCATTATATTAGCATCATGAAAGGAAGGAAGCGATGAAAACTGACCAGATGAAAACGAGCATCAACAAATGTCTGATGAGCAGCACGTTCCTGGTAAGCTTCAGGCTTGCTGGATAGGAAAAGAGCCCTCTCTCCTGCGTTAAGACTAGCCCATGCTGATGTCTGTGCCAAATGGTCATCATTGTCTGCGCCAAAGAGTACCTGAAAAATGCGTTAACCCTTGCATAGATACCGTGACATGTCGATAGAAAGGGCAACAACCATAAAGAGTGTGAGCAACCGTGATGCAATGATCAACCTGTTCTTGTCTATTCCCGCAGGATTCTGCAAAGCATATCTCATGTTGCCGAGGGCATTGCTGTATATCAGTCTGCCCTCTTTAGACATAAACGTTTCGCCATGCTGACTTCCTAGCATGCATAGACAATTCGCAGCCATAGCCAGTTTCACCACGTCCTCCTGATCACCAATATCTTTGGCTACGTTTGTCCAGCCACAAGCGGTATAACTTGCGTCCTCGTACGAGAAATTTTCTCCGTGGGGTAGATAGGCTCTCCAAAAGAACTCGACATATTTCTGCTGGTCGGCAAATCGACCAAGCATCGCGCAGTTTGCAGGGTGCGGAATGGCGCTTGCAGACAACCCTAGCGTTATTGCTTTCTGGGAATTGATGGTGCTCACAAAGACAACATTGCGCCCAGGTCCAACGCACCGACGCCCGAGCCGTTGACAAGGTGTACAGGCGGGGAGTGCGAAATCACACTACGCAATCGATGAACAATCAGTCAGCTAGCCAGCCTAGCAACGAACCGCGTACTATGGGCTGTGCTTACGGGTTCCCGGCGTATCCTGCAGGTGCGGCAGGATTGTGATCGATTTGAGACACCAGCCATGGGCTGTAGAAATGATGGGTACTTACGTACACGTGGCCAACATTGGAAATGATGCCAGACGATTGTAGGATCCGACGCAGGAATGACACGACGGACAAGAGTTTCGAGGTGCGCTTTTAACTACTCAGCGGCACGTACATCTGACTGACTTGAACAAATTGGGAAGACGCTCGGGCCACTCGGTCGGCCATGTGGGTCGCCATCTCCGCCTCGGTACCTCCTTCGGGGCTCCATCTCGCCGGCTCGGATCTAGACCAGCAACACGCTTCATCGCATTGATCTTGGGGCGTTGTATCGCAATGCGAATGCGACAAAGGTTTCCATAAATTTATAGACTCATAGCCTTAAAAGTACGTATAAAAAGCGTGCCTTGAAGTCCCATAACGATACATACAAGACCAAACAGTATCATTCAGACATTTGTAACGATCTCATTCACGCCTCCGCTTAGTTTAATCATTAAGGGTCAAGCTACAATGTTGCAACTTAGCCAAGACGAGTCTTTTCATTATGAGCTCCTTCGCACCCTCAGCCATGCCAGATATAACGGTGCCGATGTGGGTGAAGTCCTCGAAGCTGCGGGGGCGATATCGGTCGGCAATATCGAGAGCTTCTACGAAGCCTTCAATGCCCTCGCCGTCCGGGTGAACAAACAAGCTGAAGCAATAGATGCAACGAAATATCCCGTCTCTGCCCGTGACGGCTTCTTCCGAGCCTCGACTTATTTTCGAGCCGCTGATTTCTACTTGCATGGAAATGCCGACGATATACGTATCACAGACTTGTGGAACAGGCAACGAGCTGCATTTGACAAAGCCATTGCGCTGCTCACAATTCCCGGCGAGCGCTTCATCCTCCACGCTGCCGATGGGAACTTTGAAATCCCTGGTATCTACTACCGCTCAAACAGCGCAGATGAATCAGGGCCGAGACCAACCATAATACTTGGCAATGGATATGACGGCGCACAGGAAGAGATGCTTCACGTCATGGGCTTTGCAGCTCTAGATCGCGGCTTCAACGTCATAACATACGAAGGGCCAGGACAGCCTACAGTACGCCGGCAACAGGATCTGGGATTCATTCCAGAGTGGGAGAAGGTTGTTAGTCCCGTCGTCGACTTTCTCGTTGAGAAGCCAGAAGTAGACAACAAGAAAATCGCACTAGTGGGCTATTCAATGGGAGCTTGGCTAGCCGTGCGCGCCGCGGCTTTTGAGCATCGACTGGCGGCGGTGCTAGCCGTTGATGGCGTTTTCGACGTCTTTCAGGCGTATTACAACCAGATTCCAGCACCCATACGGGCCTTATACGATGCCGGGGAGATGGATAAAGTGGATGGCATGATTTCAAGCGTCCTCGCTTCAGGCAAAGCATCAACCGCCTTCCGATGGGGCGTTGAGCAAGGCGTTTGGAGCTTCAAGGCCAAGAGTGTCACCGACTTCATGGAAAAGACAAGGCCAATGACGCTCAAAGGGATCGAAGATCAAATTAAGTGCCCAGTCTGGGTTGGATGTGCTGCTGATGATATGTTCTTTGAAGACCAACCAGAATTGCTCAGGGATGCTCTTGGTGATCGTGCGACTTACAAGAGGCTGACGGCTGATGATGGCGCTAGTAATCATTGCCATGTCGGTGCAATGGCTATGGCAAACGCGGAGATTCTTGGTTGGTTTGAGAAAGTAGCTTGCAACATATGAAAGCTTCACGTAGTAATCACTTGTTGGAGACGTAAGACTATTAGACCTTTGCCAAACTAACGTTTATTACCCTGGTAGAGGAGAGATACTGGCATTCCGCTTTCGTGATAAGGTTGTGCGCCAATTTGAGCCATTTCGGGCGGCTCAGTGCAGCATCGATTCTGTTGATGCCAGGCTCGACCCTTGTTTAAGGCTAAGGAAAAACAATGATTGGCAAGTGTGGGGGGGATGGCGCTATTGCCACCCTAGCTGGCTCTGCCTAAAATTGCACCTCGATGTTGTCCGTGACAGCATCGCATGATTGTGCTTTGGCTTGGCTTGAATATCCAGGCTTCTGTCGGATTCAGGATGTGGAAACAGTAGCCATTATCAAGCAATCTAAGGGTGTTCTGCCTAGCCTTGGTGTAAGAGGTTTTACCTTTTTCAGCGGGTTGTGAAGCATTAGCCGAGATTGCGGACCAACGCTAAATGAACAGGCAATCGTACCAGCCTCAACTGGCATCAGGAAGTGCAGTGAAATCAAGTATTTATATCATCAATACTGTCAAAGATCCATTCGAGAGTGTCACCACAGGCGATTGCCAACCTTGAATCTACACAGAGGACTAGCAGAGCTTGATTTGCCGAGCTTTCGTATCTTGACGATCTGTAAGTCGGAGCAGGAAGTGTCTCACGACAATGTCATCCAGCGGCAACAACGATGAAAATGTTGACGCAGTTCTGGGTCGCATGATATTAGAGTCGTGGATGGGCCATGAACTGAGCAACACTTTCCGAACTTCACTTCGAGATCGAGGCAATATCCCCACTCCACTCGAGGACGACGTGAACCTCTTCCCGGGCAGCGCATGCGGTGACAAGCTGTGGATTGTTGACCGAATCCTCGAGCCACAGACATTGCCTCACTTCTTTGAAGCGATATGTCTGCGCAGGTTCTCGGATGGCGAGACGTGCGAGTTAGCATGTCCCACGGACATGGAGATGGTTTTATGTTCCAGGCCATACTCAACCTGGGCTCCAGCCCCGTACAACACCATCACCGGCGTCCCAATGGAGCGCCTGATGGCCCGAATTGCCTCTTTTCAGTTTACCTCAAACCTGCTGAAAATTTCTAAGGACCTTCATTCGATTAAAGCCAGAATTTGGGAGGGGGTCATGCCTCTTTCCAGCAGACAATGGGTGGACAAGGGCCTGGACAAACCAGAGAATTACCGCGAGGCTTGTCAGCACATTGGCTGGGTCATCAAGGTCTTCCAGTATCTGAATCATCCTATTGTGGCTAAAGGGATGCGTGACACCTTCAATAGTATTCACAATGAGCTCAAGAATCTCGAGGATGCCATCAATGCGCACCGCCGCCAGAATGGAGGCGAACCGAATGTGCAGGTCCGAGCTGTGTGGACTGCGTATATCAGAGCACACTTCGACTACATTACGAACAGAGCCCATACGTGGGTGATGGACCGTATTGACCGCTTGCGGATTCCAATCACAGAAGACATGCGTAACTATGCTAGTCCCACCCCCAACACAATCGATCAGAAGAGGTGGGAGCTGTCGAGTAAGATACACGACCTGACCGAGAACTCGGCACTGGCGGACATCAACATCATGCTCTCCATGCAGGACTACAACGGTGTCACACCCTTTGACGACTCTGACTTTCTCTACGGCAATCCGGTCCCGAGCATGCCTCTGTCAGGTGCCCATCCGGACCCCCAGAAAAGAGCTGAGCTATACCACCTCCGCCTCCGCTACCTAACTCGGCTTATGCAGCAGAGAGGAGATCCCAGCACCGAGGCTTTCGAAAGACTGCTTCCTACCCTCAATCCCTATGACGAGGCAGACAGCATCCGCACAACCGAAGCGCAACTACGAGCACAGGCACAAACCCGCACGGAAATGCGTGGTGAGCGAGTGAAAATTCCCAACTTCTGGATCACAGAGTTGCAGCGGCGTCTGGGACATGATAACATGGCATGGTCTTTTGTAGGGTACCGGACATCGAAGCAACACAACGATGAGGAGTGGAATGAGTTCAAGCATAAATTCGACAAGGATCAAAAGAATTGGGGAATAGAGCTGGGCGATATCGAGGACATCCGTGAGATTTCCAAGGTACACTGGTTGGACCCAAAGGAGCTTGGCATCAATAGTGAAGATCCAGATGCCCTAAAGGAGTGAGTTGTCTCTGGTGCCACAGTGCAGCTGTTCATCGAGGGTAACTGACACGAATTATTAAAGACACTTCAGGAAATTTGTCAAGAGCGTAGACGCGCCCTCGCGTGTGTACGATGATATTTATCTCGCAGCCGACCAATCGAGCATCGATTCATATTTAAACCCTATACCGGAGCAAGGCGGCTTCGTTCTGGCAGTCGATGTTGATTTCGATCCCGCCAATCAAACAAGAGCTGATGAGTCGCCAGGGTATGCTGGGACGCTACGGATACTGACGAGCCTGCTCTGGGATGATATCAATCCGTTGATACTGTTACAGACGCAGCATCTGGAAGACTTATCACCGCTGGCAATGCATCATCCCCTGCGAGTATACTCTGGTCCGGTGATGCCTGCCATGCGGCAAAAATGGGAAGCACTGATCGTGGCAAGACAAATTCTGTTTGCCAATGCAGAGAAATGGGGAGAGCTTTCTGATCTTGGTGCGGAGAGTAGCTCCTAGAACAGGGTGAAGAAAACCGAGCGCCAATAGAGTGCAGCACATTTTTCAAGCGTCATAGGTTACTCAGAGATGTTCTGATAAGTTGAACAATTCCAATCTACTGGGGCTGTTATACGTATAACCTAATATCAATCTTCCCGAAATAATGCACAAATATGCCATAATATGTCATTATGTGTATTGGCTATAAGCTAAGTATTCACCTCCAACCCATCTTATGAGCAACGGTATTGTAACTATAACACTATTATGCCTTCAAGATAGTCTATAGACATGGCTTTAACAACATGCGGCTTCTTCAACGATTCTTTAACCGGATTCTGACATCAAAGATCGCATGTAACTCCGCAAGAGTCAGAGTGCGCGCCTCAACAAAAAAGAGACAAACCCAGGTTCCTCTCCCCTCTTTTTCCCTTCCCTCAAAGTAAGAGTTTGGTGGCTTTAGAGAGAATGTTATGCCGAGCACTTTATCAGAGACCATGTAGTTTGGTGAGAAGAAACCAAGAGTTGCGGAATATGAGAAACTTGTGACAGGAAATATAAGCCGACAGATTGAGTCCTTCTGAAGAGGACGCTCTCACTTTTGTCAGTTAGCTCAACTATCACAAAACGCAAATGATTAAAATTTACATTTGCATATAGCTATTAGATTTTATGGCCCCTTCTAATTACATCGACTATTCGAATGGCTACTACTCAACCATACAGCTATCTAAATATAGATAACCGAAGAGAACTAGCAACACTGATTCCGTACACAAGACTTGAAAATATCGTGACAAAGGTGTCAATACTCTTACCACGATTAACCCCACTTTCGGAATGTTCCCCGATCACCTCTAAACGTGATCACTGTGTTCCGCGCTTTTTGATCACTCCGCAATTTTGTGTCTTTATCTCTCGTCACTAAAACCGAAACCACCGACCACACCGTGCCGGAATTTCCGCCACAGCAAACTTCGGAATGGCACCCGGCGATGAGAGCTCAAGCCAACCATCCAAACGACGCAAGGTTGCTGAATCTTGTAAAGTCTGTAGGATCAAGAAGACTCGCTGCGATGGTAATCGCCCGGTATGCTCTCCGTGTAAAATGAAGGGCATTACGTGGAAATACAATGATGCAACAATTCCGGTTCCTTCTAGCACCTTGTTAGATATTGAAGCACGTCTCCGCAAACTGGAAGGTTATGAAACGGTCATCTCGTCACATGCTCCTGTACCCAATCCTGTGTCAAGTCCTCCGGGTATGACCTCGTCCTTCCCGTCCGGCCGAGCTGGCCTGATAGCAATCCAAACAGTCACGCGAACTAGACATCGAACTTATTCTTCCAGGGCTAGTCCTCTCCAATAAGAGCCCATCCCGTGTGTCAATAGTGGTTTGGATTTGGAAACTGAGCTTCCATTCGCAGACCATCCAACAATACGTTTCATTCGAGATATGACACAAATTGCCGATCCTCAATCCTCAACCGTACAGCCGCAGGTGTCGACGTGGAGGATGACCGACGAGTGGTCCATCGACATTCTCATATCTTCAATAGTGTCCCAAAAAGGGATGTGGCTGATGATTTGTTAGACTGCTATGACACCTTTGTCTACCCTCTAGGCCCCGACTTACATATACCAACTTTTCGGAAAAGATATAGCCGTATTTGGGAACCTCAGGAAAAGACACAGTTTGATAATGTGACTGCTGAAGCTTGCTTCTATGCAACTCTTAATATGATTTTTGCTTTGGGATCCTTGAACAGCGCGCAAGTTCAGCTTCACAAATACACCAATCGATGTTATAACACATTGGCAGTAGCAATTCGAGTTGCTCAGATACTTGAATTACATAAAGCAGTTGAATCCACAGGAGATAATTAAGTGAAACTAGAGATGAATAAGCAAGTTTGGTATCACTGTCTTACACTAGAAAGGTCGGTTTGCTTTGAGAGCTTGTCAAGGATGTGATTACTGACTTTACTTTGTTATCGCATTTACAGACTACTTTCTAGCATCTTTGGACGAGAGCCGATGATACATCAGCACAATGACACCGTAGCACTTCCCGTACCCATTGACGACGAATTTCTCCTTGACGACGCCACGGGAACCCAGCCTACAGGGCTTCCATCCATTCTTGAAGATTTCATCGCAAGTATAGAAATATTCGAGGTAATCGAAGGGGCTCAAACATTAATTCTATTCTGCTCACGAATGGCCTTCGTTTACCTGAGCTCGCCGCAGTTCTCCAGGTCAACGAAAGAATCGACGAGATTGAAAGAATCTAGCGCCTCATTTGCAGTGCAGCCTTGAGGCCAACGCACGTACAATTCGAAAGCAGGTATTCCAACTTCAGGCCGAAGCCATCAAGACGAGGTAAAGACTCACCGTCCTTTATTTTTCGCATAATCATCCTGTTTTACTCTATTCTAATGCAATGTGCCTCTTTCTTCTTTTTAAGAATCCTCCATGTCCGCTTGCTTCTTCTCCGACCCAATGTTTTTGCGAGCGCACGCAGTTCACTCACACCGTACTTCCCTAATCAGAGCTCATCTCGCAGCGAAATGGCACTTCGAACCGAAGTGTCAACTCTGTGTGTTCAGACAGCTGTCACCGCGATTGAAATACTTGACGCAAATTTACACTCCAAATCGCGCCTTTTCAGTGCTATTGCGGTGTTTGTGACGCTTTCAGCTGCGACAGTAATCATTGCTGCGTCATTAGTGGCAAAATTAGATGTCAGCTTTGAGAAAGATAATAATGTCTACGGGGATGTGGTGGCCACAGCAATACAGGTGCTAGACGAACATCGTTGAGAAGTCGAGGGGGCAGGAGCAGCAAAAGAACAGATAGAGAAGTTCTTGGAGACAGGACACCAGGCACAAAATCTCAGAAATACTAGTAAGACTTCAACACTTGCTTCAATAATCACTGATGACAAGACATCTGCAGAATGCTGTCTGTTCAAAAGCTAACGTGTGCACCCTGCCCTCTGTCCCACCGGCTAAACGTAGCCTTTACGCACCGTCTCAGTTCAATCACTGCTATGTAGGGAGGCAACATTATACCTGTTTGTGTACATTCTGCTGTGATAACAAGCAAACTACCATACTCTGTGCGTTGGTATTCTACTTCTCCTTCTGCTTTGAGCCATCATTTATTTCATAGTTCTTCGAATAAGAGATGACCTGAGTAAAGACCTTATCAGGTTGAATCATACCAGGTCCTCGCATCTCCTCACTTCTTTGGTAGAGGCGCTCTGATACAGAATCGGTAATGTTGTGGATATATGGCCCGAGCTGGGATCCCTTGGATTGCGCCGAGTCACTTCAAGTTATCATCAGCTCTACTGCTTTCTATAGTTTATAACAGATCTAGGGTCTGCAGAAGGGGAGTTATGTGGAATGGTGAGCCTACCCTCCTTGCTCATGGGTGCCTGGCGGAATTGAAGGCATAATATAAGGCCTAACCAAGTTTTCTAACACCTCTCTCGCGGAATCAGAGGCCAATGAAAATATCTCAAGAGAAAGAGGCCAATCGTACCACAAACAACCGTGAAGTAGATTGGATTCCACAAACTGCCGGACTGCACGCTCTTGAGAATGCAAGACGGCCCTTCCTTGTTGAGGAAGCCAATGAGGGAAAGCCGGGCAAACAACTTGAAGAGCACTCGTGGCCGCCATTCTGAAACTGCAGCATATAAGTATTCATCGCATGGGCCCGACAAAATTGGTGTTCCGAACCGTTTTCCCGATGATACTTGTGTCTTCATAGTTTGAGTCCGGGGCTTGGTTCAGGTCGGTCTAGCTGAGAGCATGGGGGTTTGGGCAAGCCTACACTCCAAACACCACTTTATTCTTAAAAGTAATTCTCAAGCGGTTGTCGGAGCACACTTAGACCCAATTTCGACTGAGATGCAGCATACGTATTCAACCTCAAAAGCGGTGATGGCTGCAGCAGGACCAAAAGAGTGGGCGTTTTGAGTCTCAAGCCAAAGCATTCTAAAGAAAAATATGGCTGATACTATCGTGGGTATGGAGCTTATACAAGTTTTGATACATGTAGCCAAATCCCTGGTGTTCTCGACACTGGCTCAACACTGGCAAAAACACAGATTTCCCAGCCAATTAGGCTGGGTTGGAGGACTTGATCGGGGGCCATCCCGAAGCCTTCGGGCACGGGAGTGGAAGATCTAGTCTCTCTTTCAATGAAAAGAGCGTTCAAACAATCTTGTCTTAAATTGAATTGCATAAGCCAATGGGAAATTGAGAGCGGGGGTTTCCAAAAGGTGGCTTGCATTAGCGGGCGGAATCTGTCAGCTGCTGCGGGATGTGTGCTCATTCACCTTCTGGCTGAGCCAGTTCCTCGTTCAGTCAGATTGAACCTTATTTTGATTTGCTTAAACCAATTAGAAGTAAACACTCTGGCAAAGTCGGGCGTTAACGTGGCAGTGGGGCCGCTGCCTTCTTTTTGTATGTTTTTCGTTATCTCACAGTTCCGAACGACACATTCT